AGATCATGTAACCCACAGTTCATTTCTGCTATAAAACAAGATTCTCAGTAAACACACTTTTCTTATGAGTTCTGGAAGAATTGAAAAAAACTTACAAGCTTCTTGTTATATGTACACACACAGATGATCTCAGCAGACAGACTGCTTTCATAGCTGCTGGAATGCAGTTGTTATTATGGAGTCATAGGTGTGTATGCAACTAGTAATTAGCTTCAGGATACAGTAAGTGAGAATGAACAGATTTGTTGGAAGAAATTGACGAAGCTATCTGCATGAACTTAAGACAAAATATTTATAAATACATAGAAAGTTTGGGTGTGGTTAAGCTTAATATAGTAAGAAAAATTTATAGAACCCTGTAGCCAACAACTAGAGAATGCACATTCTGCTAAGATTTACCTAAACTCAGTTCCCCAATGGTAAATCCAAGTAAGTACAGAATTAAGTTTTTAGCTTCATATGAGATGCCAATTAATAAATGTTAAAAAGAATGGTAAAACTTGGTGAAATTTTGGCTAGCAGCAAAAATATTTACACAGTAAAATTATCCTTCAACTAAACACTTAAATATAAGGCAGTGGATGGGGAATAGTTACTATAATAACTGTAGATAATGAGAGGATCCAGGACTCTATTCTTAAAAAGGGCAAAACTCAGGCCCATGAACATCTGGGCCCTAGGTTGAGTGCCTGGTTCCCTCCCCACTGTGTGAGGCAAGCAGCCACCCCACAATCAGTGCGCTGCATCAGAGCCTTGGCTGAACGTGATCCACGTGCCCTCTTCTCCAGGGCCTTCCTCCTCTGTAGGTAGGTGTGGCCAGGGCAGACACAGTCATTGGAGGTCAGTGGTCTGCCTTATGAATCTTTCTCATTGACTCTGTGGGTCCCCAAGGTACTGGGATGAAAAGAAGTCAGGCCTGAAGCACTGGTGGCTTGGCTGTTGTCCCAGGGTTCCGTATCTGAGCATCTTGGGCACCAGCAGTCTTCCCACGTGGCAGGGTGGCCTTTTCTGTGCTACATGACAAGCAGTTCCTCTCGTTACTGTGGCCTGTGCTATACTGCAGCCCACAGGCCCCTCTGAGCTTACCCTCCATGTGTTTTGGGGCCCCTTGTCTGCCTTGCCACTGCCATCTGTTCAGGGTATGCCATTCCCTCTGGTCCCTGTCCCTGCCTGCATCACAAAGCCTGTTGTCAGTGGCACAGGCAATTGTCAGTGGAGTGAAGTACAGTACTCACTACCTAGTAGAACTTTGTTCTTTTAAAGCCCCTTAGTTTATTTAGATGTCTTTACATACTGGCCACTTGTTTGTAACTGTACATTAGAGCTGAAAGTGTCATGGAGGAGTCCATCTGAGGCTTTGGGGAGAAGATGAGTTGAGGCTGGATCTTGATGGAGATGAGGTAGAAGTTATGTCTGGGTGCCAGGCAGCATTTGAGAAGTATAGGAGGTGGCAAAGACCACCTGGTTCCCTGAGTAAGCAGTGTCACTAGGGAGCATGCAGTCTCGCATGCCTCTGCAGCCCAGGCCCCAGACCCCAGACTCTGCTCTTTTTGAGTGCTGAGACTGGTGACCAGCTGCCCTGAATGTCAGTAAATGATGCGATGATGCCCACTGTATGTGGGGTGAGGACCAAGCGGTGGCCCAGTGAGATGTGTGAGCAGTGGCTGGCAACATGTGGGCACTAAATGTCTTGCTCTGTGGAGGTCACTGCCCGCACGGCAAGTCCTCATGGTGTCCATGTTCTGTGTGCTAAGGGCTGCGCTTTTCCTGTGTTAGTGTGCCAGTGTTCCTGGTGACATGGATTTTAGCTGTAGCTTTGCATTTGGCTCATTACTCAGTTTAGAAAAGAAAATACTCCTCAGCTGCTCACTTTTGGAGTTGAACAGGGTTGCCATTTCTGTAAATACATTGGGTTCCTGGCAGGGAAATACTGCCTAGGTGTGCACATCCCTGTCTGGAAGCTTACTGTTTATTCCTGTTGTGAACTGGAGGATCTAAGTGGAGAAGTCAGCTGTTAATGCTGTCCTAGAATTGGTCTTCTTACCTGATTTAAAAGTTAAGTATCCATGATCTCTGTTGTCATTATTGTGAATCCTCCCTTTCCTGTTAGACCTGAAAATTTTTCCAAAAGGAGGTGCTTTAACAATGATAATTAGATGAAGCCCATGGCATTTTTTTAAAAGCTTATTATGACAGTGGTAAAGGAGGAGGCTACTGTGTGTCCTCTTAGGCCATAGCTGGAGAAGTCATTACTTGAGAGATGAAGCCATTTCTCAGAAAACATACTGCTTGCAAGTGGGAGGTGGAGCTCTGCATCAGAAGTTGGCTTAATCTTTATTCATCTTACAGACCACAGCTCTGTTGGGTGTGGAATTCCTCCATTCACCCGGTGACAGTGACTAGGGGCGGGCAGATAGTGCCCTGTAAAAAAAGAGTATATTCCGGGCAGTCCTGCCGCTGGTGTTACTGGATGTTGAGAAATCAGATTTCCTGTGGAGATGTGATTTGGTTGCCTTTGTGGTATTTCATGCAATATACTTGGTATAGTCTTTATTTTTCTTGCTTTATTGGATCCTTTCAAAGATAGGAAAGAGAAATAACCATAGAATTACATAGAAAAGCATTGAGGGCCTTGGGGCATGGTTCTGTAGAGCCTTTCATTCTAGAGCTTCCTGAGCAGCATAACTAGGGAAGAAGAGAGAACACCCAGCTTCCCACTTTTCCTGATCCAGAAGTCAGAAATGTGGCTTGGTGTGAAAGCTGACAGTGGACTGACGACTCGAGGGAGGAAGGGACTGGCTGCAGGGGGCTGCACATGACAGTGCCATCCCTACCTCCCCCCAGTGAAGCCAGGCAGTGAGTGATTCTTGGTTGTGGAAGGGGCAGCATCCTGCTTTAATTCTACTAAAGAATATGCTTTGATAAAGATAAAGTTAAAGTTTCTTCTAAAAAGACTGACAGTTTCATATCCTGAGTTGTTTGTATTTACAATCTTTAAGGTGCTGTGCTTTAGTTAACAGCAATGCCTGTGGTTTTTGTTCTTCAGAGTCTCTTTTGGATCAAAGTTATATATATTTTTGACATTTGAATTGCTCTTTCGAATACAGCCAAAATTAGTGGTGATATCGGTGTATTTGAGAGGTTTGTTTTTGTTTTGTTTTGTTTTGTTTTGTTTTGTTTTGAGACAGAATCTTTATATAGTTCAGACAGGCCTAAAACTTACCAATAGGCTGTCCTCTAATTGGAGATCCTTCTGCCTCAGCCTCCGGAATGGTAGGATTAATGGTGTGACTATACTTTACAAGAGTTTGTTGTAATCAGTCCTGACAAAACAGTGCAGGGTCAGCTCCATTTGTAGCCAGTTCTGAAGGATTATAGTTTTCCCAAGGACCCCCCCCAAGGATTTTTTTAAAAATGTCACCTACCAACAGAATTGAACTTTTTTTCCTGAGAGAATTTAGTGTTCCTTTGCTTCTGTTGAGCTGGTGAATGAATGTAAAACAGACAGAAGGCCTTTGGGTCAGGCCTGGAAGAACCCCCAAATGGCTTCTGAGGAGCTCCCCATACCCAGCCGGTTTAGGAGATGGTGCTGTGCTCCCCACCGAATTGTTTTTTTGTTTTTTTTTTAGTCTTTTTCCTTTTTATCGGTACCGGGGATCGAACTCACCACTGCCTGCTTGCAAGGCAGGTGCTTATGCCGCTGAGCTAAATCCCCCCCCCCAATTGTTGATGTTAAAGACTGAGGGAAAAGAAAAGTAGGATATTAGGTGTCTATTGGGAACCAGAGGGCTCTCCCTAGGCTCTGCCTCTCCCTAGGCCACCAGGCAGTGGAGGGATCCCCATTTCCAGCCCTGAGAGGGGAGCCTTCCAGTCACAGATGGCCAACTATTTTTAGTTGGGCAGTGGAGATGAATAACCTTCTCCTTGTGATTGCAACACCATCGTGTGAGGAAATGAGAGTCTTTGGCAAGATAAATTAGTGGAATTTGAATTTTAGGCATTGTGTAGCTTTTTAAAAGGCATACATTTTGTTGGTATGCAGCCTAGAGATGTAGTGTGTGCATTTTGTTAATTAAGTGGTTGATCCATTTACCATCTTGTATAATGTAACAGTTAAAGAGTGATTAAACTGTTAAAAAAAGTGCTTGCTGACGTCATCTTTCCGAGAACACTGGTGTATGTGATTTACTATAACAAGATGTTAGTTTTTCCTGTTGGCAAATGACATGTAAAATTTACAGAGGTCTTGGGTTCAGTCCAACAGAAACATCTCAGATAAATTGATGTGTGAAAGTCAAGCCATTTAACTTTCTCTGTCATCTGAAGGTAATATCAAGCCTTTCTGGGTTGAAGGTGGGAGGGTGTCGATGCTTCTGGGTCTCTCTGAGGGAGACAGTTTGTGTAGTGTACTCCCACCGCGTTCATCAGTCAGTGACTCTGCACTGTGCTTCTGACGTCAGTGCTGAGGGTGCTGGGTTAAAGTTCATCCTGTTGGTGTTTGCTGTTTCTCCTGTCATGCTTCTCTTTCTCATTTACCAGATGCAAGGTCAAATTTTGTGTTTCAGATATCTAAATTAGCATAAGTTCTAAATCTGCGAGATTTTTACTTATACTTACTCTTAACAGTCTTAACTGATGCAGTGGGCTCTTCAAAAGCTCAATTGGAATACTCCAATTGTATTGTATTTAAATATTGTTAAGCTAAACATAGTTAAGCACCACTGATTACCTAAATGTGATTGAGTGCCTGTCTGTAAAAGGTCAGTCTCAGGTTAGGATTGTTAGTACAATTGCACTTCCTTTTCATTGCCACAGTGACAAACAAGATTATATTTTGTAACTTACGGAAAGAAGATTTTCCTCTTATTCTGATGCTTCTATGATGCTAACTTATTGTTTTATTTTTGTTTCTTAGAACATTCCTTTCTTAGAACATTATTATTGACAAGAAAAGGAACGACAAGCCTGAAATGAGTTATGGTTTATCGTTCTCTTTTCAGATGACCACAGCCGTGTTAAACTGCAGAATACTGAGAATGATTATATTAATGCCAGCTTGGTTGATGTGGAAGAGGCACAAAGGAGTTATGTCTTAACACAGGCAAGTATGTGGCATTGAGAAGATGACTGAAAATGCAGTTTTTAAACATAACAAAAGGTGTATCTTGTCTTGTAAATGAAATGCTATTTGTTTTTTCTGATGATGAATTGCACACATTATAAAATTTTGAAGCTTTGACTATTTAAGATAAAAATAATTTTTAATGTTAATATGAGCCTTTGATGAAAGTCGTTACTGAATGGCAAGGCAGTTCCTTAGGGCAGATGTCTTTCTGTCCTCTTCTCCTGGCCATGAGGGTCATCAGAGGCCCTGAGGGCTCCACTCTACCCTGCTGGTGCTCAGATGGTGTCTGGTCCTGGGGCCCTTGTGCCCAGGAGCACAAGGCAGAGCTGCTGCTGGGCAGCGTGGGCCATCTGCCTACTTTCTGTGGTTTGCTTGGTGGTGTCCATGTGCAGGCACCACTCTTCTTCCATTTTAAGATAATAGGAGCAATTGTGCTCACCCACACCAGCTCCTCTTTATTTGGCAAATAATGGAGACTTAATTTATAGCACTATTACTTCTCCCAGTTAAAGATTTTTAAATAAAAGATAAGCCGTAATATCTGAGATTTTTAAAAACTTAATTTGGATCAAATGACCTGTTATTTGAAAGATTAAAACATTTGGTACATTAAACATATATTCAAATTAATGTAACTGAGTATACAACTAATTCTAATGCACAGGAAGCTGTAAGATTATTTTACTTAAGATACAACAAATCCAGAAAAAAAAATTAAAAAAAAAAAAAGAATCTGGGGAATGGGTGGCAAAAGACAAACTTACAGTTCAAAGAGCAAAATAAAGGTAGACGGCTGACCTAAAAATGGTTGACACCCATTTGTCTTTAGGGAAGACAAATATTAGGGAAGGTGAATCTTGGCCTGGAATCACAACCTGAGACTCCGGTATGCCTGGGAGTGCACACCAAGTGCTTGTGGGGTGTGAAGGCTCCACACAGCTGCAGCCTGACCTCCCAGAGTGTGGCTGACATGGGCTGGGCAGCTGCACGCACACACCATGAGTGATGGTGGTTTCTGGACACTGGGAGTGCAGAATGATTTGCCATGTTTGGCCTTTGTGTAATAGTGAAAGTATTTTATGTGCATTGGTGATATTTCTTAATAAAACTATTTAGTGGCAACAAAAGTTCACTTTTTGTTGCCACTGTGATGTGAAAATAAAGAGAAGGAAGGTTATCCAGGACTCTAACCACAGCCTTTTGTTCTCCATTGTTTCTTCCTCAGTATTTATTGGTTCTTTTTTCTCTTTTGAATCCTTAAACATATGTCTTTCCCCCAGTTCTAATTTAACTTCTTTCCTTGGCTCCACTTTGTATATTGAGACATTGGTTTTCAACTTCAAGACCCAGGTTAAGCAGCTCTGCTCAGCTCAGGGCCAGTGCTTCGTTAGTTGCTTATTCCTTGAGGTTCTGTGAAGAGACAGTCTGTGGCGGTCACTGTCCCAGTTGAACAGTTTAGTAAAAACCCCGCCAGTAGGAGGTTGGCATTCTGGTGGGAAGTGAATGAACAGTTAAACTATGTTCACAGTGCTGTTCCCTATTTTATCTGATTTGTGTAATTTAAGCTTCAGGAAAGTAGGAAGCAGCCAGACTTTGTGGCCGTGCCACACAGGCTGTCTTTTGGCTGTCAGTGGCTCCACTCTGCAGCTGGGCACTGCCTCGCACAGCTGTTAGATCTGTGTTACCTGTGGCTGGCTGGCTGGCTCTGCCATTGTGGAACTCCCTTAGTGATAATGGTGAGCACTCTGTGTGGTATTTGTTGCGGCCTTGTTCATTACAGTAGTATTGGTAGTGACCTTTTATAAAGTCTCTAAAACTCCAGTTATGACAATGTGTAGTTACCCTTACGTTCTCATCCCTGTTAAACTGTTACTCATGTGTCCCTCCTGTACCCACCTCAGAGTGTGAAAACCCAAAACCTGTCCCTGTTTTCCTTCGCCTGACTTACGTCCTATATTTTCTAGAGCTTTACTGGGTTGTTAGTACCTGTGTCTCATTCTACACATTCTCTTAGAAGTGTCAATAGCTTGTCTCAGATTTGATTTATGTTAGCAGTATTTATTGAGCATCTACTATTCACCAACGAGTGTGCCTGTCCTAGTGATGCTTTCAGTGTGGAACCACTTGAACCCCTTGCTTGGTACTTGGTACTTGGGGCTGCAGCTCTGGGCAGTATCCTGACTGCCTGGCCCTTCACCGCCTCTACAAACACTGTGAGCTGACTGCATGTTCAGAGTTCCTTTGGGTACAGAAAAACTTCATCCATTGAGCCTTACTGATTCAGTGTTCGTTAACTGGTGTGCAGCTCAGTGATAGAACATTTACTTACCACACAGGAGGCCTTAGTTTGCTCCCCAGCCCTGAAAAAATACAAGTTATAAATTGAGCATGGCCTTTTTATCTCAAATCTTTAAGTAAAAACATTATGGTAGTTGGAAGCACATACAATTTGGGAGTCCCCTCCCCCATGGCCCCACGGCATCTCTTGTAATATGGATTTTTTTTTAAACTTTTGATGTTGTTGGTGCACTTTAGATACACATAAAATGGTAACAGTCATCATAGGGAGTTTGTACCTGTGTGTGAAATATCTTGCTTCTTTTTTCCATTCTCCTCCCTACCCTTCATCCCCTCTTCTCTTCTTTACTTGCAAAAACCTTTTCTTTTCTTTTTTTTTTTTTTTTTGTCTTTTTCCTTTTTATCAGTACCGGGGCTCGAACTCATGACTGCCTGCATACAAGGCAGGCACTTATGCCACTGAGCTAAATCCCCAGCCCCCGCAAAAACCTTTTCTACTTTTTCCTTCTATTGTTTTTTCTTGTCCTCTCCCTCCTTCTTCCCCTTCCCATTTGAACATTTGTTTCCTGTTTAAACTTAAACTTTTGGTTTCTCCAGGGAGACAAATGCAATATTTATACATGAGTGTCTAGTTTATTTCATTTAAAAATATGGTATCCAGGTACATTCATTTACTTAAAAATGTCTCAAGCTTGTCCTTCTTTATGGCAGAGTAGTACTCCATCATATTTTTAAAATCTCACGTCTTTATGCATTCATCAGTTGATGGGCATTTGGACTGTTTTCAAGATACAGCTGTTACAAACTTTTCACATATATGGCAGTTACAGCATGAGTATGCATGTATTGCTTTGGTGTGATGCTTTTAATTCTTTTGGGAAGATACCAAGAAAAATAGCTGGGTCAAATGGGACCTTTAGTTTTAGGTTTTGAGGAAGCTCCACACTGAGTTCCACATTGGTTGCACCAAAAGTGGAGAAGCGTTCCTTTTCCCCCACAACTCTGTTAGCATTTGTTGTTCGTTGATTTCTTGGCCAATTTTTTCTGGAGTGAGATGAAGTCTCAGCATTGTTTTAATTTGTATCTCTCAAACGAACAGTGATGGTGGACATTTTTTCATATACTTCTTTGCTGTTTCTACTTCTTCATCTGAGAAGTGTGTATTCATCTCAATGCCCATTTTTGGGTTGGGTCTTTAAACCTGGGAACCTGAGATAGGTAAGATAGATAGATTTCTTTATATATTCTAGATAGAAGTCCTTTGAGGAACAGCTGGCAAACATTTTTTCCCACATTGTGGGTTGTCTCTTCACTCTGTTGGTGGTTTCTCTTGCTGTGCAAAAGCTTTTTAATAAGATGAGATCCCAGTTGTTGATTTTTTGTGATAGTTCTTGTGCCATCAGGGTTTTGTTCATAAAAATCTACCTAAGAGCAGATTTTGTGTTTCTGCTTTAGATCTTCGGTTCATTTCTGTTTTAGTTTAGTGGCTGGTGAGAGATATGGGTTGTAATGTGGACTGCTGCCCCTTTAAGTTGGCCACACTATCCCCGGAGGCGGTACATGGATGGTGCTTGATTGTGGACTGATGACTGCCAGTAGTTCACAGACGTTCATGACTCTCTTTCTGGAAATCCTTTTGTTAGTTGAGTTGGGCTTGTTGACTGGCCAGTGTGTCTTGGTTTCTTTTCTCTTGCTGAGATAAAATATGTGATTCCCACAATGAAGGAGGAAAAGATTTACTTAGTTCACAGCTTTTGGAGGTTCCAGCCCATACTCAGCTGGTTCCAAGGGTGGCAAGGCAGAGGAGTGCGCATTCTTGTGGCTGCAACAGATTGCTAAAGTGGTGAGAGTGAAAAGGAGGAGCAGGCAGCCTTTCTTCCCTTACATAGGATGCCGGCTCCGCCCCTGGGCGGTGCAGTACTCACACTAGGATTCCCAGCACCAGACAATGATCCAGTCACAAATGCTAGACTGTTAAGCATTGGGATATTTAAACACAAACTGTGGGGTAGCCTAAGTGCCTACCTGACAGGCGTGAGGTCGGGAGTTCCATCCCTACTAACAAAACAAAGCAAAAAGCATGTAACTACAGTAATAGCACAGACTTCCTTTTTGCCCTGGATATCTGCATGAGACAAGACTTCTTTCTGCTGCAGAAGCTGAGAGGAACAGAAACTTGTCTTTGCCTGCAACTTTGTAGCTAGAAAGTGACCAGTAAGATGCCCCTAGTGTGCTTTTGATTTGGGTTTGTCTGTAGGTCACCGCCAGTAGTGCAGTGCCAGGTGAGGGTTGCTGGCAGGGTCAGGAGCAGTGTTCTTCCCTGGCTTCTTGGGGCAGAATTTGCCTGTGCTTTGACTCCTAGGCTAACTGAGCCTCCATCTCCAGCTCACAATTCTGAAAGTCACTGATAACCTAAGAAATCCCCTTTCTTAGTAAGTTTTTATCACTTGGAACTAAAATCCTAAGTAGTACAGCCTTGTGCTAGTGTTTGAATTGAAGTGGTATCAGCTTGGTTTTCTTATTTTGACCTTGTACACTGGCAGCCATGTTAAGCGCAGATCTAAAACATCCAGAAGGTTCTCATCTCAGGCCCTGCTCTTCAACCTTCCTTGACCTGCACTCCCTTTGCCTTACAGGGTCCCCTTCCTAATACCTGCTGCCATTTCTGGCTCATGGTTTGGCAGCAAAAGTCCAAAGCAGTTGTCATGCTAAATCGAGTTGTGGAAAAAGAATCGGTGAGTAATGTTTATCACTTACAATTTAGTGTACTACATATGCTCTTTAGTTACAAAGGTTTTCATGTGTGTGTCTTGCAGGAGGATTTATTCCTTAACTTGGACCTTTAATTGCTCAAGGGTAGTAATCAGAATGCTTCTAACCAGGACTGATGTGTCTTTTCTTAACTAATATTTATGTAATAATACCACTAACCTATGAGATATAAATATAATGATACAGTTACTGACTAATAGTGAAATAGAAGTCTTTGGAATCCTTAGACTTCATTAGACTCTATATTATTGCTAAAATTTTGCAAATTACCAGTAAGATTAAAATGATGCTTTTTTCTTTATAAATTATAGTTGGCTCTTAGGTTATGTGGTAATAAGTATAAATTTATGGAAAGTTAAAATTATAGGGCTGGGGATTTAGCTCAGTAGTATAAGCACATACCTGGCAAGCACAAGGTCATGAGTTCAATCCCCAGTACAAAAAGAAAAAAAGTAGTAAGTACAGTGCCTATTAGTAGTGTAAATTTAAGATGTTTTTGCATTTGTAGCTTTAGATTTTATTTCTGACCTGTGCAAATTGCAAAGTCTTGTCATTAAATTCTCTTCCAGCTTTAAGATCATGTACTGTTGGGGATGTAATAGCACAGGGTTCCCTTGTAATCCCAGACTCTGGGAGGCTGAGGCAAGAGAATCCCAAATTCAAGCCAAAACTGGGCAATTTAGTGGTTTAGCAAGACCGTGTCTCAAAATAAAAAAGGACTGGAGATGTAGTTCAGTGAAAATGCCCTGAGTTCAATCTCCAGTACCATCTAAAGAATTTTTTTAAAAAAATGTGTCACTCTTTCAAAATTTGTGGTTGCTGATTTTCAGTGATGTTGCAACTGAAGTGACATTGACATTCAAGAAGTTCTGGGGTCAGCATAGTCATTTATAGTGGTTTTCATGGTCTCTAAACTCATTCAGAAATTATTTGTCATTTTGAACAGTGTTGCAAACTAGATAGTTTGTAAATTTCATCCCTCACAGAGTTGGAGTACAATTACTGTTAGGATAATAGTACCACTAGAATTTAGAAATCATCATTATGGTGGCTGGATCTGGATACTTAAGATTCAAGTTTAATTACTTGGGGGAAGATTCTCGCTGTTTCTATAAGAAGCCTGGGGCTGCTGGTGATATAGCTTAGTGCTAGAGCACTTGCCTAGCATGTGCATGGCTCTAGGTTCAATCCCTAGTACTGCAAAAAGAGAAGGAAGAAAAGAAGAAAAAAAGAAACTTTGCCTTCTGTCTGCTTTCTTTTCTTTATACCAAAAATTGTGGTTTTCAAAGACATCTGAGATATAGAATGATTTATAATCGTTTCCTTCATCCTGTACCACATAGACAACAGAGTCCTAGAAATACCTGTTTTGTCACCAAAATACGTTTCAAAACTAATGTTTTTCACAACTTTTCCACTCTCTTCCTGGCTTTTCGTTTTTTAGTTGTCCTTATACTACAGTCTCCCACATCCTTTTTCCAGCATTCTGTTCAGTACCCTCATCTCCATGGGAAAGGGACTGTGGGACCCTCTAGCATTATGAAAATCTGTGGGTATCAAGCCCCTCTATGAAGTATGGTATAGTATTCGCATGTAAGTTATGCTTATTCTCCCTTGTTCTTCTCCAGATTGCTTGTAATACCTGCTGCAGTATAAATGCCATGGAAATAGCTGCCACATTGTAGTCTTTAGGGAAGAATGACAAGAACAAGGCCAGTGTGTTCAGTACTGATGCAGGGTTTTTTCCCTTTTCTTCTTTTTTTTTAAAATTTATTTTTTAGGTAGGGAATTGAACCCAGAACCTTGACACTGAACTACATTTACAGCCTTGTTATAAAAAAGTTTTATTTTGGGACAGGGTTTTGCTAAAATGCCCAGCTGGTCTCAAACTTGGGGACCTCCTGCTTCAGCCTCTCAGAGCAGTGGGTTTACAGGTGTACATCATCACACCCAGTTTTCCTGAATTTTTAAAAAACAAAATTGAGGGCTGGGGATTTAGCTCAGCGGCATAAGCACCTGCCTTGCAAGCAGGCCGTTGTGAGTTCAATCCCCGGTACCGATAAAAATGAAAAAGACAAAAAAAAAAAAAAAATCAAAATTGGTTAAATTTGCAGATGTAGAACACATGAATAGGGAGGGCCAACTATAGGCATTTCATAGTTATCACAGCCTCTGCACTTTTCTCTCCAGTTGTTGAGAAGCTTATTATCTAGTGTCTTTTAAGGAAGGCCTCAGGACATTGCAGTCTTTGATCTCTTGTCAGTGACAATTTACCGGTGTTTTAATTCATACAAGTCAGTATAGAAGAGTGTAAAATCTCTTGACTCACATTTGCTCTTCTTTGAACAACATAAAATATATTATTTCCCACCTTAAATATATTACATCATTTCCTTCTGACATTGCAAATAACTTGTCAGAGTCAAATGTCAAATGACATTTCCCGTTAAAACTCTAGGTAAAAGACTTTGAATCTTGTGATTCTTTTCCTTAATTTAACTTGAGTAAATTACTAATTTGAATTTCATTAAGTAAATATATGATACTTGTAGATACCTAATAGCAAATTGATAGGTAACTGTGGCAAGTAGTTATAAATAAAAAAAACCTTTTCAAAACTATTTTAAGATAGGATCTTTGTAGGAATTTGATACTTTCAGAAGCATAAATGAATATCATATGATGTTTTTTTTTTTTTTTTTTTTTTTTTATTTAAGGAGAAAAGAAAAAAAAACAGAAAGGGTACAAGTTATACAGATTTGCAGAAAAAAAAATGAACAGTAGGAAATCACTAGTTAATGGATTACATATTGTCATCTTAGAAATAATTGTTCAAGTCACAAAATTAAAGCTTGTAGAGTGGACATTCCATCAATGATACTGCAAACAGTTCTGTTCAATGATCCAATAAAACTCTGTGATATCATTTTTTATCTTATACACTTAAATATACATGCAGTTATATAGTTTAGAGCACTTTCTTTTCCTCTCTTTTGTACAATGACTATTACACATTTTGGGTTTCATTGCTTCCACGGTTCTTATTACTTTTTTGGAAGAGAGTAAAACCAAATGTGACATAACAGAACAGAATCGGTCAAGTCAAAAGGGTGGACATAATAGATAATGTGAAAACATAATACAAGGTGATCAACAATGGTTACCATAATGCCTCCCACTATCTCTAATAGAATTGCCTGTATCGTTAGTTATAATACAATTGAACAAAACAGTAAAGAATAAAAGCGACAAAACCAAAACATTGGAGACATTGTAGGTCTTCAAAAGTAGATAAAAGTCAACGAGAATGGGCGTTATAATGAATCTCATTATCTTCACAGCTGATGCCTAAACTTTCGAACCTGATACTATCCAGCAAAACAGAATAGGGGAACATCAGTTAAAAACCAGATGGTGAGAGTAATACAGGGCTTTAAATCGAGGTAATGGAAAGTCAAAGTGGGTTACTATAATATATCCTGCTATTTTTTTTCCTTTAATTAAAAGGATAAAAATAAAAAAGTAAATAATGGAGTGGAGATTGAGATAAAAGAAGGCATAACAACGAAACAGCACAGATCAAAACATAACCATTTAAGCAGAATAGTGTTTCACCACCAGATAATCCTGACCTAAAAGTAGTTACCATATTGTCTCTTTCCTTGAAATCCTTGAGTACAACTTCGTATACTGTAGCATTAAGTATATCAAAACAATGTAGAACCATTTAAGAGAATGACAGTATTACAGAGTATTTCGAATCGACTAACAGAAAATGAACAATGGTTTCTGTATAATCTCCTTGACTTTAAAAGGTTTTTGCTTATACTATCGTACATAATAAAATCCAGTAAGATACAACCTATTTAGACCATTGGAGACAGAAGGACAAAAGCTAGATGAGACTTCAAAACAAGATGATACTAAATCAGTATTACCTATTAAGATGTCATTTTCTCCAAAATAGCTGTTCCGATCATCCAATCTTCTCTGTCTCATTTCTGTTGAGCTCTTATTCTGTCAGTAGCTGTCAGTTTGTCTTCTTCACTTTGTTCTCTGCTCCATTCGTTGTGGCCTCCACTATTTCTGAATTCTTTGTATTTTTGTTTTTTTAGAATATCCTGCAATACTCTCTGTAGAGTTGAATTGGTGGTTGCAAATTCCCCCAGTTCCTCTTTATCCTGGAAGCACCTTGTTTTTCCATCAATTTCCAGGGACAGTTGTGCAGGATATCTCAATCTTGGCTGGAGATTATTATCTTTCAAAGCTTGAATTATTTCCCCCCACGCTCTTCGTGATTTGATGGTTTGTGCAGAGAAATCTGCTGTAATTCTGATGGGTGTTCCCTTGTAAGTGGTCTGTTTCTTGTCTCTGACAGCTTTTAATATTCTGTTCTTGTATTGAATTTCTGGAATTTTTATTATTATATGCCTGGGTGTAGTTCTGTTTGGGTTGTAGGTGGCTGGGGTCCTGTATGCCTCATACATCTGAGTATCTTTACCTTTTGCTAAATTAGGAAAATTCTCCTGGATTATTTCTGTGAGTAGCTTTTGTAGTTCACTTGTTTGTGTCCCTACTTCTTCTTTTATGTTCTTAATCCTTAAGTTATGGATCCTCTTATCATCTTCTTGTTTTTGTATTATTGCTGTTTGTTTCTTTGTTATTTTTAAGAAGTTTTTCATTTCATTCTCCCATATTACAAGTCTGCCCTCCAGTTCAGATAGTCTGTCCTTAGTTTCTTTCAAGCTGTTATGCCAGTCTTCGATAGACTTCTTAGTATCTTGGTAGTCCCTTTGAACCTGCTTCACGTATTCTGTGCTTTCTCTGTTTTCTCCATCAAACAATTCTCCCCTTTTTTTCTGTTCTTCCATTCCACCACCTGTTTTTTCTTGGGTGGTACTTAGCATTTCTCTAACTATTCTGCCTACTTCTAGCTTCAGGTCGTTGATAACTTCATTCCTGAATTGGTCTATGAGGCTCTCTATATGGCGCCTTATGTGTATTGGTGCGGTGTCTGCTATTGCCTGATTCTCAGAATTGGGGGCCGAGGAGCCTTTCTTGTTGCTGCCTCTTCCCATGCTGCCTCTTCTTCTCTGTTCCTTATATATGCAAGCTTATATAAGAGGCCCAGCTTCTCTCCCAGTCAGCCACAGCCTGATCGAATTGCGCCAGTTAGGTGTTCCCGCTCACCGCTGCGCACCAGGGAGTTACGGACCAGGCAGCCTACGCGTCTCCCCTCCCGGCCACCGTCAGGCTCTGGGATCTGGGTTGGGACAGCCTACGGGATCCGCCAGCAGCGTCACGCAGGCCAGGCACTTTTCACCAATCCCGCCCAAGAGGGGAATGTGTGGCGGGAGTCGCCACCGCGCCCTGCTCCCGCAGGACTGCTGGGGCCCAGGAAGTCCGCTGGAGTCAAACTGTGGCTCAAACTGTGGTGGAATGTCAGTCTCCCTCACTCACCTCGCCACAAGTCAGAACATGCCTCCCTGCCCGTCCTGTTTTCGACTCCGTTCACAGACTCCCGCTCCCAGAGTTTCCGCGCGTCTCTCTCCTTGCTGAGCCGATGTAGAGGCAGCCAGCCACCGCGCAGCGGGAAACCCAAATCGCGGCTTCCAATGGCGCGGGGTCCAGCCTCGGAGCAAGGCTTTTCTGTTCCTGTTTTAGCACCAGGACTGCATTCCAAGTTGGTTTCTCTCAGCCGAGTTCGTTCCTGAGTCAGCAGAGCATAAATCCACCAGCTTATGTCTCTTTAGTCCGCACCATACCTGGCTTCTGAGCCTAGTTTTTCAGAGAGCCTCCGGCAGTTGCTGTTATCTGTCCGCCATGTTCTCCCGGAAGTCGAATATCATATGATGTTAAAACTAAGACACCCTGGACATGGTGGTACATGCCGGTAATCCCTTCCTCCAAAGGCCAAGGCAAGAGGATTGTCACAAGTTTGAGGCCAACCTGAACGACAAAGTGAGACCTTGTGTCAAAAATTTGAGAAAAAAACTTTTTAAAATCATAAGACATCACATTTTACAAATGACTACTTTCATTTTTATTTTGTGAGGATGGTATGTTTGTGACTTTCTTAGTTTAACAGTTATATAGTGACATTTGATTTTACAAAGCTGCTTTATAAAATACCAGTCTTAATAAATCAAATATGCTGGTGACTGTTCTTAGGTGTGACTGCTCAAAAAGGTGTTAATACATATGTGAGGTTTTTTTCTTTTATGGTTTCATAATGTCTTCTCTTTTTAAATACAGGTTAAGTGTGCACAGTACTGGCCAACAGATGACCAGGAGATGGTGTTTAAAGAAACGGGATTCAGAGTAAAGCTCTTGTCAGAAGACGTGAAGTCATATTATACAGTACATCTACTACAATTAGAAAATATCAATGTAAGACTTTTCTTGCCTAGGAGTTTGGGGTTTATACAATATTTGAAGACTTAGATTTAGAGCTTGATGTGCTACATACATTTAAATATCTGTGATGGTATCCACTGATGATTATTTGTTTTTAGATTTTGTTTCTATGGGTTAGTTCTCTAAGGACTCTCAAGACAGTCTAAAAACCACGAGTTTCAAAGCTCAGGTTGATATCTGAGAATGGCACATTGTTTATTAAAAATACTTTGGGCTGGAGTCGTAACTTGGTGGTAGGGCATTTTCCTAACGTGCTGGAGACCCTGGGTTGAATCCCCAGAAGGGGTTGGTGGCTAAGAAGGGGCTTGTGTTAGGTGTGGGAGCCAGTCCTTTAATCCCAGCTATTTGGAGACACCCCCTTGCCTGCCTGACCTGTGCCTCTCGCCGGGCATGGAGATCAGAGATGTGCATGCCCCACACTTTCTGCAGAAGCCCAGCAGACCAGCTCCTGTGCTTGTTCCAGTTAGGGTTAGCAGAACAAGCCAGACATGACTGATTCCCACAGAAAGGTGTCCTTATAAAGCGGGAAAAATGATGAAGTACATGTAGCATATATGATGTCAAGAATGTGCTTGGAGCTGGGCATGGTGGCCCATGCCTGTAATCCCAGCACTCAGGAGGCTGAGGTGGGAGGATTGTTGCAAGTTTGAGACCAGCCTAGGCTACAAAGTGAGCTCAAGGCTAGCCTGAACTGCATAATGAGACTCTGTCTCAAAAAAGACAAAAAAAAAAAAAAAAAAAAAAAGAATGTGCTTGGGTTTTTTTTCCCCAGAAATAAACGAAGTGTTCCTTGGTGGAGACACATATACCTGTGAAGTTGTGAGTCAAGCTGGGGTCACTCCACCTCTTCCTTGGTCCATTTTCTTCCCTTTCTCTCTGTGCTGTAACTAGAGTAAGCTAGACAACAGCAAAGGGTCAGTTCTGAGATGCTGATAATGTAACTGTTATCCAGCATGACAGAGCATATCTATCTGGTCAAGGTAAGTGAAACACTGAAGTAATTGAACATGCAGTGCTCAGCACGTAGTCAGGACAACTCAGAGTTTTTCTGGAAGATAAGAGTGACAGTTTAAGCTGCTGTGCAGCGCAGGCCCCTAGGGCTCCCTGGCAGCGTGAACACAGGTGCTGCTGTGTGCTGACGGCCTGCGCCATTTCCTCTGCCTGCTTCGAGTTGGACCAGGAGTGAGCATGTGGTGTGACTTTTCCGGCTAACCTAAAAGACTCAAGAATTACAGTAATTAGGTCACATTCCTATTACTGTATTTATTTTATACCAAGTACTTACTGTGTCTTAAGCTGCATTGAGATACATCAGTATCCATGATACAGGATGGTACTGTACATATTCCAGAAAAAGACAAGATTTTTATGGCACTTGGAGTCATTTTATTTTGGTATTTACCCCAGGGACCCTATTTGCTCATAAAAGACACTAAACTTGATTATAAAGTGACGGGGATAGATGTACTTGCTCATTTCTAACGCAGCCATACAGGCCGGGGATATGGCATAAGCACCTGCCTGGCAAGTGCCAGGCCCTGAGTTCAATTTGCAGTACTTAAAGAAAAATGAAACAGCCTTAATTGGGAATTGATTATACCTTCAATAATAGAATAGATTTTTATATTTTGTTGGGTTATAAAACACTTTAAACATAGGCGTTTATGTATGTGTATATATTTGTAAAATTTGACACCCAGCACTGTGGATAGGTAAATACTCTTATTTATCTTTGTATATCATTTTTTAAAAAGTGTAAAATAACATTAGGTTGTAGAGTTTTTTCCCCTCTGTAGTTACCTAATAAGTGGCAGACCAAACTCAGATGTCGGTCCCTAACTTACGACATAAGGACATTTTTTTAAAAACATGCTAGTTCTTAGCTAGGCATGGTTGTACACACCTGTAATCCTAGCAGTTTTGGAGACTGCAGCAGAAAAATCACAAGGTATGAAGCCTGGGCAGTTTTGCAACTTAGCAACCCTGTCTCAAAATTTTAAAAAAGGGCTGGACAATGTAGCTTAGTGTGAAGGCCCTAGATTCAATTGCACGCTAAAAAACCAGTTCTTGCAAGGGAAAATTGCTTCCCAAGCTTTTTTCAGAAGTTGAGGTTGCCACATGAGCAGGCCACTCTTGTGAATTCTGGTGGAGCTTGCTCTTGAGGAGTTTGGTTGTGCTGTATAGTTTTGACAGGGAGCTAACGGTGTTAGGTGAGTGAAGCTAGACCACCTGAGTTTCAGCCTTGCCTGCAGTCCTTGAGCTTGAGTCACATTACCTCGTTCTGTGCCTGTACTGTCATCTTTTAGGTGAGGGTAGTAATCTGCCCACCTACATAGTTGCTGCAGAGCTGAGCTGGGTGACATGTGGCTGTGCTGAAGACCTAGGGCGCCACAGCTGCAGGCTATTGTCAAGTCTGTGTTTCCTTTGGTGCAGTTGTGAGCTGGGAAGGACGGTGGGAGCCTGACCACAGTGATGACAGAGGGAGGCCCAAGAGTCCGCCTTGCCTCAGACCTCTCTAAAGGCTCCCCGTGCCCTGTATGGAGGCCCAGATTGCTCATTCCAGTACCCACAGGCTACAGGAGCGGCAGAGCTACGAGGACCCCCCACTGGGTCTTGCCAAACGCTCACATGGAGGGAGAGATTCTGTCTTTGCTTTGAGTGACCTGAGGCTTATGCTGTGGCAGTAGTTTGGGGATCCTTGTAAATGTGAGGTCAATGTATGTATTTGTCTTTTAGGTTTTTCTTTCTAATTGCCCTTTACTTTTTTAGGTAATGTTGGCCAGCTTTTACCACCATCAGGTTCCAGGAATGCTGTTATGATGCTGTTTTCTGTTTCCTTGTCCCTATGAGTTTCCCCCAAGCAGAATGTGTTTGACTCTTTGGATGGACAGCTGGGATTGATTCAAACTATTTTAAATATTTGGCCCCCTAGAATATGGCTCTGTCCTCCTTACTTCCTGTCTACCCCAAGAGTCCTCAGCGGCCTGGGTCTTACTAAGATTTAAACTTCAGCAGTTCACTGACTTGTTAGATACTTGTATCACATATATATATTTTGACTCCATAACAAAGTTTTAGTTACTCCGGTGGCCCCACCTGTAGCCCATCCACATATGCCTGTCATGTTTTCCTTATCAAACTGCAGTGTGTATACCACATGTTACCAAAAAATGCAAAATTCCATTTACATTGTTGAAGTGCAATTCTGAATGTGATCTTTAACAAGGGGCCACTGGGATCTTTGTTGCTGTGGATGAAGCCAGGTGTGCCCAGGCTTAGGTGGAGCCCTGGTGGGGTGGACAGTGGGAAGACTTCCAAAGCAGTATGCAGCGGGCCTCAGCAATGGAGAGAAGGAGGACAGGATGCTTCCAGAGCAGCCACACTAGCTGCTGCTCATACATTGTGAGGGCTCCATAGGTGATTTGGTCAGAATAAGTGGAATTCCTTTCAGCTCTGACTCGGACACCCTGTATTCCCTCTTACTGCTGTCAAGCATGCAAAGGGTCCAGGTGTGCAGATCAGCATCTCCATGCTGGAGCAGCACATACTTGCATTTCCATCCTTTGTGTAACTCTGAGTTACAGGGTTTTTTGGGCTGTATTTTTTTTTAAACCTTGTTTCAGTAAAAGTAATCACAAACTCTCAGAAAAGTCCTTCAGTTTGGTTCTGTTGGACAAGAAAAGCACTGATTTTCAAAAATCTGTTAGCAGGAAAGACTGTTACACAAATAATCATGAGCACTTCTGGAAACTGGCTTCAGGTATCCTGGACAGTGTGACCTGAATATGAAAAATATCAAGAGATTATCGCTAGTGTTGAGCCAGACTTACATAAGCAAAGAGCAAGTATGCACTGGCTGCAGATTGCAAATCGGCACACAAGGCACAGCTGGCAGGGTCCAGGGGTCCCCATCAGGCCTCTGTGGACCAGTGCTGCATGTGGTGGTTGGCTGTCAGAGGAAGGCAGTCACCAGTGAGGGGAAAAATGGGATTAGAAATCCATGGAATCTTACACCTCGTATAACAGGCAGACTGAATGATCCAAGGTAGCCTCTTCCACCCATGCCTGTGCAAGTCCTGCTGTTAACTGTCTGTGAACAGCTTTGTGAAAAGAGGCAAAATTCAGGCTGCACTGGAATGCATTGAACTTTCATTTTTATTCACTATTTACTCACTGGAGATTGGCTCGTTTTGGAGTGTGCTGCTTTGAACAATGCATCCAGTTGTGTGACCAGGTCCATAATAAAAGTGATTCTTTTTGTGTGTTGTGTTACTGGGGATTGAACCTGGGGCCTTCTCTTTGAACTACATCTCTAGGCCTTTTTTTGTTTATTTTACAACAAGGGGATCTTGTTAAGTTGCCCAGGCTGGGCTCAAACTTGCTATCCTCTAAACTCAGCCTCCCAGAATGTTAGGGTTACAGGACTTTACCACCACACCCAGCTAAAATAATTGCTGTATGCCCCACTACTCCCAGTTTTTTTGTACTGCTTACGTACAGTAAATCCTATTTTTTACTTCTACTCCCTGGCAACCACTAGTTTGGTTTCCACTCATATAATTTTGCCTCTTGCAAAGTGTCTTATTAATGGAATCATTAATTGCATTAATAGCATTAATCATTGTATCATATAGCCCTTAGAGTCTGGCTTCTTTCACTCGGCATACTTAATTTAGAATTCAAAAGGAATGTTGGGTGACATGGCAGTTGCCCATAATCCCAGCTACTTGGGAGGTTGAGGCAAGGGGAGCTAATATGTGTGTACTCTGAAAGTAATGCAGGAAAGCAGTTTTTAAAAAATGAAAGTATTTGGGGTCCTAGGGCTGTACTTCAGTAGGAGGGCATGTGCTTAGCATGCAGGAAGCCCTGGGCCCAGTCTCCAACAAAAAGAAATAAAAGTGTTTTGAAATCTAGAAATTATGGTATCATTTTAATTAGTTGTGAAGTCCTATTAATGCCTTCAGTATATTAAGAACCTATGGCTCAGTGTATTTAGAATTTTTAAAGCTGTATATTAAAAATAAGATCACTAAGAGAGTGCAGATGTTTTTAAAATATCTTCTCTTTTTTTCCTGTATCTTATATGTCTCAATCTAGGAGAAGTTATTTTTTTTAAAAAGAAAGCTAACTTCTGTTTATGAAATTTTTTGTTGGGAGCAAGTGTTAAGATACTCCATAATATCAGCGTTTTAAAATAGTACTTCTATTCCTTTTCCCTCCAGAAATGCCCTGCAGTAAAAGTAAAGAATACTGCAAAGACCTATAGAATGTCATTGCTTTGGTTCCAGAAATGGCGAGTGTGAGCTAGAAACTTGCTCCTCTGGGCAAAAGGCAGTTGATAGACAGCTGGGGAGCATTTCCATGAGTCAGTAGACACAGAGATCATCAGGAATGTCCAGGCAGAATGAAGAGGCAGGAAACAGCACGTCAGTAAACCATGTAGCATATCGCCAAAGGCTTATACACAGCTTCGGGATCAGAAATTGTTACTCTGGGGAAAGGAAGTGATTAGAATGGCAATTTCAATTAAAATGTGCAGATTATTCCTGTAATTCTTAAGTTGTTCCTCTGTGCCTGTGCAGCATATATAAAAGTACATCTTATGAAGTGATTATATTTACAGAATAAAAGTTGTAAATCTTTTTTTGGAAATAGTCTCAATATATAGTTTGGGCCGATGTTGAACTTACCATGTAGCCCAAACTGCCCTCAACTCGTGACAGTTCTCTTGCTTCAGTCTCCCAAGTGCTGGAATTATAGGCTTGCGCCATCATGCCTAACATAACTTGTAATTCTTCCAAAACAAAATATTAAGGAATGTGAAATGATAGTGGAAGCATCAGAATAGACAGAAGGAATGCACTCACCGTGGCGTTTGCACTAGAGAGAATACTGGCAGGTGACTAGTACGAGTTTAGTAGTTGAAACCCTAGATGTATCCCTGCAGTGCTGCTTCACATCCTGACTTTGTCTTTTAACTCCGTGACCGTAACTGTACCTCAGTTTTCTCATCTGAAAATGGGTTTCAATGGGATTGTTAGGGTAAGTGTTATAAACAGGCCTCTAAAATAATGTGTCACATGTATCAACTTTTTTTTTTTTTTTTTTTTTTTTGGTCTTTTTGAAACAGGGTCTTGCTATGTAGTTAAGTCTGGCCTTGAGCTCACTTTGTAGCCCTGGCTGGTCTCGAACTTGCAGTAATCCTGCTTCAGCCTCCTGAGTGCTGGCATTGCAGAGATGAGTCACCAGTCCTGCTTGTATCAGTTATTATCAAATATTCCAGATTCTTGTAAAGGATATATATTCCCTAATCTGTATGTGCAGTTATCAAAACCAAAATGGAAAAAGCATAATACAAACAGCCCATAGAATTAAAACCACTAGGTAGTTCGCATGATCTTTAAAGGAAACATTAGAACTAATTTCTCCTTCCTTGATTTTCACTTTTTAGAGTGATGAAACCAGAACAATATCTCACTTTCATTATACTACCTGGCCAGATTTTGGAGTCCCTGAATCACCAGCTTCATTTCTCAATTTCTTGTTTAAAGTGAGAGAATCTGGCTCCTTGGACCCTGACCATGGGCCTACGGTCGTCCACTGCAGCGCAGGCATTGGGCGCTCTGGCACCTTCTCTCTGGTGGACACCTGTCTCGTTCTGGTGAGTGCTGCTTGTGTGCAGTCCTGCTGGTCTTGTTGTGTTTGTTTTGACTGTTAGGAAAGGTCCTGATGTCATCAACCGGAACTAGTCTTTTAAAGGTTAAATGTATACTTCTTTTGGAAAAACCTAAAACTTTCATTTCTGCATTTCAGCTGCATCTTACAACTTGTGGTGATACAGCCAAGGTTAACTCCAGAGACTCCCCAGGACAGCAGAGACTGTCTCCCCCTTTCACATACTAATTCGTATTGAGTCCCTCCTCACACAAACATGTCATATTTTTTTCTTTAGTTAAAAATGAGAGATAAGGGCAGTATGTACTTCCTCAGGATCGCTATCATGGGTTGACGGTAGTTCCTGAATACCCCAGGAATGTTAGCATGGTATTATTCCCCTATAATGTTTGTATGTGCCACCAGGGTTATATTCTTTTTCCACCAACCATGCCCAGCAGTAGCCTGGGTTCAGTGCCTTTTTTTCTCTTTTGGACATTCAACATAGGGGTCTTCTGGTTTCTCTGCTGTCCTGCTCAATTTCTGCCTTCTTTCTCCCTCCTTTCATATAGAATTAAACTCACCAGTGAACACTTTGTGCCCTGACTTCTGAGGCATCTACTCCTTAGTATTCTGTGTAGTTTAATATAGTCAGCGAAGTGGGCAGTTTACTGGACCTTCGTCACTAACATTGACTTGAAGGCCCTGTGTGCAGCTATCAGAGCCTCATTTCCCTGGCCTCTAGCCCCAAGTAGGTTTTCTGGTGAGCTCACTTCTGATCAGAAGTGTCTGGGGTCACAGCGCATGAAAGCTAGGGGTCAGGAACTGTCGAGTCTTGACTGGATTATCTTGCCGCTCTGCCTGTGTATAGTATGTTTCAGCCCAAAATTGATTACAGTAAACTTTATCATGTTTTATTTTGTTAATCGCAGATATTAAGACTGGATCATGTGTCTAAGCCTGTTCCCTGATACATTCTTTGCCTTTTCAATTAGGAAGTGGTTTCTAAAACTAGATTAGTAGTTGAGAACTGGTGCAATATCTCAGCAATGCTCTCCTGGATGGGGGATTTTTTTGGTCTCCTTTTCCATCATCTTCAGATGACCATTCTACATTCTGACACTATGCCTGCAGTGCAAACAGCAAGGTAATGGACTGGAAGGGTTACTCCTTCCAGGACCTTTTAAAAAAACCAATCACTGAGTCTGGCTTGGTAGGCACACTCCTATAATCCGCAGCACTTTGGAGACTGCGGCAGATGAATCCTTGCAAATTTGAGATCAGCCTGGGCTAGAAAGTGAGCTCAAGGCCAGCCTGAACTGTATAGTGAGACTATGTCTCAGAAAAACTAAAAAGCCCAAAAAAACCAAAACAAAAAAATAGTCATTGTGGATTCACTCTTGTGCTACCCAGAACTGGTCACAAGTACTTCCTTTGTCCAGTTGTTGGCCAAAATGCATGAGATAACTACAGTTGGTGTGGACCAGTGATGAGTGCAATGGCTAATTGAGAGTTACACTATCTCCATTTGGACAGTTGCGGTGTGAGGAAGCTGGTACATGGGGACATGGGCTGACCCATGCTCACGCTTACGGAGATACACATCCTCCACAGAGCCCAAGCACTGAACTTGGACTCTTTGTTCTCTGGACTTTAACAGTGAAAGGCTTCACTTCTTTTTGCCTTTCTTGCAGATGGAAAAAGGAGATGATATTAACATTAAACAAGTGTTACTGAATATGCGAAAGTATCGAATGGGACTGATTCAGACTCCAGATCAACTCAGATTCTCTTACATGGCCATAATAGAAGGAGCAAAATGTATAAAGGGAGATTCGAATATCCAGGTAAACTTTTCTTAAAAAAAAAAAAAAATACTAGTTAAATATAGCTAGCATCAAATAGCTGTCTTCCCCCAGTCCTTGATCTTGTGTCGTACTAGAGGTGTGTTTGACTTAACATGTAGACTTAGTTGGCTGTCATGAGCTTACGTCCTCCTGTGTGCTCACTCAGCCTCACGTTAGATCGTGCAAAAGTGCTGGTTGGAGGCTGGAGTGGATTTCAGAGGCAGAGTGCTTGCTAGCATGAGCAAGGCTCTGGGTTCCATCCCCAGAAGTCTTTGTGGGATCCGATTTCTCTAAAATAGCAAATTTTGAACAAAAAGGGCTTTGACCACTTAATTACTGAAATCAGAAAACGTAAGTACTTTTTGCCCTATTTAAAACGTGACCTGAGAATATAGTATGTTTATTTTATATGATGTTTAACTTTGTTAACATCTTTAACACTTTCTGTGCTTATGACAAACATAATGAGTGCAGTGCTAGTAAAATTACATTTTTCTGAAGGGTGCTTTATTCTCATGAGGGTATTTTTATGACGCATTTATAGAAGGTAAGGTCACAGGCTATAAAAAATCTGTGTTACCCTATGGCAAAATATCAATAGAAGTAAGACAACCCCCATTTTCTCTCTGGTCTCTTTACAGAATATTGGAGATAAGTAGGTATAGGCTGGACATCTGGAATCTGAAAAATCGAAAATCTGGAGCTTTTTGAGCATCTATGAGATCCTCAAACGTTTGGGATTTCAGATTCATGAGTTTTGGATTAGGGATACTCAGGCTGTAAAGCCTGTGCATTTTCCTGAAATCTGAGTGACTTCTGGTTCCCTGCATTTTGGATGAGGGACACTCAGCTTCTCCTGTTGGTCAACAAATGGTGAGAGGAGGGCGGCTCTCCTCGCTATGCTTCCCTTCTGTGGATATGTCCAGTTGTGAATTTCTGTGATTACTAGCCAGTAGAGAAATACTCTGAGTAGCTTCCTTTATACCTTTGACCATCAGTGTCCTGTAAGTGAGTGTTGTATAAACTTCAAAGACACCCTAAAAATACTCTTAGGTGATTCATTTATCATCTGTTGTGCTGGTCAGTGTTACTTTAACAAATCAAACTTTATTAGTAATGTTTTAAAGGTTTTGTTTAAAGGATTTTGTCCTGGCTTTTAAATAACATCAGAGAAATTTTAATGGAGAAATGTTAGTTTCTCAGTTTCTCAAAATACTCAGTATGCAAAGTTGAAACTCATGAAATGGGCCTATGTCAGAAGCCAGGTGGTGTGGGGGTGTTTTGAGACTGGCTGGGGTTGCTTTGACGGCGAGCAATTGATTCAGGTGAAATAAATCTCACCTCCAGCATTTGGGTAGAAAAATTTCTCTTTAGAAGCTTTAACCAAGTTAAATCTGGAATGTAACTTCCTTCCACAGTTAGACACTCATGCAGTTGTGTTTCTGTAGTTTATAAAGTATATGAGTATGTATTTTGGGGAATCTTTGCTTCACAGAGATATAGCTTGGACCTGGTTTTCTATGTTGCCTGTGTAGATCATGCAGTTTGTAGCCAGGACAACTCTTTTCATGTAGTCCATCTGGTGTATAAATCGGTCGATTTGGTGTGTAGTCGCCAGACTGTGTTTAAGGCATTCTCTGCTCTAGCTCCAGATAAGATGTCTAAAGTGTCTCTGCATATTTCTGTTACTCGGAATTTGACAAGCTTGTGACTGTCCCAAGGCATTGATGTCTACAGAAGTGTTCTTAGCCATACTACAGTGATATGCATGGTGCTATGAAATTGTTTTTGTTGGGTGAGTAACAACTGGGTACTATGAGACAATTCAGAAAATGTGGAAGTGGATCATCCACGAGGAAGAATTTCTCTTTAGCTCCCTCACTCCACTGTTTGAGCAGCCCATTTCTGCTGCTCTGACAAAAATTCCTTCAACTGCCAAGTGTGTACCTGTAATCTCAGTTGTCAGGAGGCTAAGGCAGAAGAATCACCACACATTCAAGCCAGCTTGGGCTACATAGCAAGTTCAAGGCCAGCCTGAACTACGGCATGAGACTGTTTCAGAAAACAAAACAAAAATACCTTCAGCTGAGTAGTGTAATTTGTGAACCACAGAGATGTGTTGCTGCAGTCTGGACCCTGGCAGGAGATTCAGTGGGTCTGGAGGGCTTACTATTCTTGGCAGCCACCTTGTTTTGGCACGATCGGCACCTGTGAGGGAGGTTCTCTCACATGGACCTCCCAAGCCCCCACCTGTCACACCCCCACTGTACAGTGTGTGTGTGTTAGGGGGTTCAGGTGTCCAAGGATGCCATGGTGTATGTTCTGCAGGAGTTTGTATTTTGCAGGAAAATGTGATTTTTTTTTTAACCCCTCCAAACAGCACATACGTGCCATAGCACACTCACTGTGAGGATGCAACCCTGCTTTCTCCTGGCACGGTGCTGTCTGCTGTGCGGTGCCATGCCATGCTAGGGCCCTGAGCTGGGAGTTGGCTCGTTTGACTTAACCTTGCTTGAAGTTTGAAATGCACAGTAGATTCAGAAGGCAAGGAAAGTGTGAAGTATCTCAGTGATAATATATTCAGATGGTAGTATTTCTAATACCTTGAGTAAGTAAAACGTTATTAAAGTTCATCTTCCTAATACCACTACTGAAAGGTATGGTTTGTGTCACATTTCATGAAACAGTTCTGTGCTTGAGCCTTAGAATAAGACAAATTAGAAGTTCCTTAAAACCCTAAATCATAAAACTTTGATATGTACAACAGAGACCTAAAGTTACTTGGTTAATGTGAAAACCTAAAAATGTAATGAATATATTTATTGTCCATGGCCCTGCCCCCTCTGGCATTCAAGGATGCAAGCCTGGTCTATGAGCTGCTGCTTCCCCTCCACACATCTGCCTCTTTGTCTTTGTCTGCTTTAGAAAAAGTTGGCTGGTCCGAAGGTAGTGAGTTATCTCAATTGATTGTTCACAGTCAGTACAGATTGAACTCCTTGTTCTACTCTTTCCCCCCTTCTCACTACTGCACTTGACTACTCTTAAAAAAAAAAAGAAAAGAAAAGAAAAAAAGTCATGTGTGTGTGTGACAGAAGGAAGCTTCTTTCCTCACCCAAAGTGTGCGGGGGGCATAAGGGAGGAATGCTTAGTTTGCATGTCTCTGGTGCTGTTTCTGGGATGTCTGGTTGGGAAGGAGGATGGTGCTTGTCTTGCAGTGACTGGGATCTTGTCCCCTTGGCCTCTGGCCTCTGAAAGAGGTGGCAGAGAACTGCAGGGTAGTTCTCACGTTTGGATCAAATTCACCAATGAACTGACTTGGGTCTGGTGTTTTTCTAGTAAAAATGGTAATGTCCTCTCCTCCATTTCTGGTACTGCTCATTTGTGTCCTCTTCTTACCTGGCTAGTGGCACATTGGTTTTATTAATCTTTTTCAAATAAGTAGCTTTTGGTTCTCCTGGGTTTTTTTCTGTTGATAACCTGTTTTCCATTTCATTGATTTCTGCTCTATTTCTTTTCTTCTGTTTACTTTGGATTTAATTTGTTTTTTTTTTTTTTCCTAAAGTGGACACTGAGTTTATTGATTTTGGGTCTTTTTTTTCTATAAACTTTGCACTCATCCCTGCTTTTTGCTGTATCCCAGGTTTTTGTTTAGTTCAATTTTTTTCTTTTGCTTTGCTTTGAGACAAGGTCTCACTCTGAAGTCCATGCTGGCCTTAAATTTGCAATCCTCCTGTCTGAGCTCAAAATCCCTTTTAGTTTCTCTTGAGTTTTAGTCCGTATTATTTAGAGGTGTATTGTTTACATTTCTGTGTGGTTGGGGATTTATCTTATGGTGGTTTTTTTTTTTTTTTTTTGTCTTTTTCGTTTTTATCGGTACCAGCGATTGACCTCACGACTGCCTGCTTGCAAGGCAGGCGCTTATGCCGCTGAGCTAAATCCCCAGTCCCTATCTTATGTTTTTAGTCTTGCTCCACTGTGGCCCGAGAGGAGCTGTCATGTAATTTTTGTGCTTTTAAGTATGTTGAGCTGTGTTTTATGACCAGAACATAGTCTCTGCCCTGGGATGTTCTGTTGAAGCTGGAAGCTGCTGTGTGTTCTGCTTCGGTGGGGGAAGGGTTTCAGAGGTGTTGCTTGTATAATGATTATGTAGGCTTTCTCCTGTCCTAAATGGCCACTGTCCAGCTGGGTTCATCCAGTTCTGGTACTGGGGTGTTGAAATCTGCTTACAAACATTCATTTCTTTTTTCTCTACTGAGAAAGTTTTCTGTCATGATGTCTGTGAACATGTTTTTAATGTCATTTGTGGTATTTCCTGCTTGTTCATTGACTCCAATTAATCTTAAATTACTCTTTGCAGCTGCTGGTTGATATCTCATGGTCCCTTGCTGGTTTTGAGAAATGTTTCTCTTCCTGGTCACTAACTGCAAGCCTGCCTTCAGTGTCTGAGATCCTGTCCTCACATTGGCCTAATCTGCTTCAAATATTTTCAGTGGAGTTTTTATTTTCTTGGATATCTGCCTGAATCTGCTTTATGTTTCCTATGCTACGCTTCCATAATTTGCTTAAGCTCATCTATTTTTTTGTCCCTGTCTACTCTAATATCACTAAGCCTGGTGTATATTTTGGTAATCTCCGTATTTATTTGAGAGATTATTTCTGATTTCATTTTGTCTAGAGCCTCATTCAATTGCTTTGTTGTCACTACTTAGGAGAGACTTGGTAGGGCGCTTTCGGATTGTCCCACCTCATTGTCCCCTGGGTTTGCCTTTGGTGAACTGGATATCTTAAACAAGATGCATCTTGTTTAAGTGTCTTCTCATTTCTTTTCTTTTTTTAGTTTAATTCCTGGGGTGATGCTTGTACTTGCCTGTGGTGGGTTGCTTTATTGGTGATATTTAGACACTTAGGTGATGGTTACTTTTCTGAGGTATCTTCCAGGTATAGGTGGTTTTTCAGTTTTGAGTCTGTTGGAAGATCATATCTTTTTAGTTTGTTGGAGATGAGAAGTTGTTGCTTGTTTGGTGTAGTCCTTGGTTCTTTGGCACTATATCACCATATTTTCTGTGACCCTTAGTTAATCTCATGGATTATCAGGGTCAGTAGCTGTTTAGAACAATTATGTCAGTTTTGGCTGTAGTGGTACCAATAGCATCAAACACAGCCTAAAAAACAACAAACTGAGCTAACCCTTAATTTGCAACTTTTAACCAGATGAACTACATTTGCGATTATTTATATAAATGTAAAACAATGTAAAATAAATCAGATAATTATAAGCAATATGTAAATTCTTAATGTGTCAGTTTTGCCCTCTGTGTTAAAATTTAAAAATGAATTGAGAAAATAGAGAAATGGAAAAAGAGAAAGAGATTATAGGCTTGAAGGACAAAGATGGATCCCACCAACTTGGGGAAACTGGTGCAGAAGATTGAAAGAAGAGAGGTGTTGGAAGAGATAAAGGAAGAACACAACAGAACCATACCCACAAAGAGGTTAGGAACCACTCTCAGATTTAAAAAAATTAAGGAGAAATAAAAAACAAAATAAAACAAGACAAACACGTAGTCTACTTGCAGGATTCTCTCTGGGTTATAGTAGACAGCCTGTGGAGACAGTCCTGAATTGTCCCGCTCTGTCCCAGCAAGCCCCCAGTTGCTTTATGGTGGAGTAGTAGATAATGTCAGCAGGTCTGCCCCAATACCTGACGCATTGGGCTCGATGCAATCCAAGCGGTTTCCATGGCTCTGCACCCACCTAGGAGCTGCTGGAGGAAGCCAGCAGCTGTTCTGGTTCCAGGCTCATCCAGTCCAACTCCATAATGTGCCAATAGCTGTGTGCCACAGGAAGACTGAGTCTTCTATATCCCTTGCCTTGCCAGCCAGTACAGTCGTCCATGTCTGCCACGTCTCTCTGCAGGGGCCTCTGGGGTTACCAGCCGCCATCATCATTGTGACCATGTGTCCCCAAGTTCCAGCAGCTCCTCTCATGCAGTGAGTCTGGCTCCAAGTGAAGGCACCACCTTCTTCACTGAAGTTTTTCTTTTTACTCTCTTTGTGGGCTTTAATTCATACCTTCAGATTCTTCCTGGGTTCTGGGTGCCTTCCTTCCTTTTTGTCTTCTTCAAGATGCTATATTCCAGCATCTGGATGGTCCAAACATTTGTATCTGTTTCTCCTTGGAGTTCTTAGTTTTTGCACCTGATAGTTGATGCTCTGCAAAGAGTTGGGTACACAGTAAGGACTTCTGTAACTTTTTGTAGAATAGACCCCTTTCTTTTTGTCTTTTTCTTTTTTATTGATGCCAGGAATCGAACTCACAATCACATACTTGCAAGGCAGGCACTTATGCCGCTGAGCTAAATCCCTAGCCACTGACCCCTTTCTCACTGGAGAATGCCCCCTTTTCCTTGGTAACTTGTTTGAAGTCTACTCTGTTTAAAATTAATCTAATGTGTTAGCATAGTTTTGTTGGTTTTTCATTAAAGATACCTACATGTGTGAATATGAAATGATTTGAGTCTGTGGAGACAAAGGAAAGCTGTTATGACACGTCTAAAATAATCATATCTTACATCAGTAAATACAAATGTATGACTGTGTAGCACGTACTCATTTACAGAAAACTCCAGTGACTTTGACCAGCCTAGATAAGTGTCCTCTCTGTGCACAAGACCAGGCGTGAGTACAGACAGTCATTGCTAGTGTTGCCGTGTTTTTGAGCAAGACCCCAGTATTGACAGCGAACCTCTAGAGTGATCGTCTGGTTTGGCAATGGAGAACTGATGTGGTGAGGTTGGCAGCTGCAGTTCCATATGCTAAAGTATAAGTGACATATGCTACTTTGAAATTCCAGGTTTAACTGCTTTCTGGGTGAGAGAAATGGCTGGGCTTAGGGCTCCAGGCTAGAGGAGAAGGGGCCACAGCTTGTGGCTGCATGTGGATGCGGCTGAGGTGGCGTCCCTGTGAGTTACAGTGAGTGGTGTCACTGTGTGGCAGGTGACCTTGGCATGCCTGCTTGCATGGCTCCACTAGTGAGGGTCCATTGTGAATGGGCTTGCTGTTCAGTGATGGGCAGGGTGTCGTGGCTGGTGTTTGTTTTTAATTCATTGGTTTTGCCCCGCTCCTTTGCCAAGTCCTTCCCTGCCTGGCAGACCCTGCATCAGTAGCATATTCTGGAAGGGGTCCAGCAGGGCATGGGTTTAGCGTTGCCTCATTTATTGGCCTAGTTGAAAGTTGTGCAAGAGTGAGGCCAGATCATTGTGCCTGGGTCTCCGGGGACCAGAGGCTTCAGTCTGGGGACATTGTGACCCCTGCACTGGCCAGTGACTGAGATTGGTGACCTCTGTGAGTCAGGTTGTCATGAGAACTGCAGGGTGGTCTTTCAGGCTGTGCCCTGCTGGGCAGATCATCTGGGTTCCATCTACCTTCGTCTGCAAGAGGAGGTGACAGCAGGGTCTGCCTCTTGAGGCTGTGGGAAGTGCCAAGGGTTAGAGCCCAGTGAGGGTGCAGCAGGTGCTTGGTGAGCGTCTTCTTTACCATCAGCAGTGCTGTGTGCAATGCAGCAAACTTGTCAAACAAGGGAAGAAAGACATCCCCTTCCCCCACCACACCAAAAGCAAAAGGCCCTCCTCTTAGAAGCCACCATCCAGGCAGGTCTTTCTAGGCAGCACTGTGCTCTCTTGGGCTGGCTTGGGCCCAGGCTGGTACTGGATTGCTCTCTGTCACCTCTGCTTCTTGGCCCTCCTGGGTCACCTGTCCCTGATATCAGGCCCCAAGTGTGTGGCTCCCTATGTTCCAGACACAGCAGGTTGTGTACTGTCACATCCAGGGCCTTCTGTAAGTCAATGTCACCAGACAAAAGACACGTGAATTCTGTAGCAGCGAAAGCAGCTGTTTCTGGTAAAGGTGGCATGTAATGAGATGCCTTTTCTTTTTAGATCCTGTGATGCATGATGACGAGTGAGAAACAAGTGTATCTAGTGTCTGATGGGATTTCCCAGGGATTTAAAAAAATCTAAATGTACAAGGGCTTGGAGGGGGGATCCTTTTGTGCAGAAGTAACTCCAGGGAGTGAATATCCTGCCAGTTCCTGGAAGCAAACACTGGATGTTAGCTCTTCGGGCAGTACATGGAGCATTCCTTTTAAATTAGACACCAGGCTCCTGACTTCTGCATAAGTTCAGCCCACCCTGCCGTTCATTTGAGGCCAGTGTCTGAGGCCCTGGAGAGGGAGGGCAGTGGCCCTTGCTGCCACTGCTGGCTGAGACAGATGGTGGCTGCATTCTTAGTCCTGGATGGCCCTGAGAGCCCATGCTTCATTCTTGGGACATTCCTCCTCAGACCAGGACAGAGACCCAGGGGAACCCTGCACTCTCTGCTCTGACCTTGTCCCAGGAACCTCGGCGTGACAGTTCAGGAAACTTAACACTCGCCAATTTGACACCAGGCATTTAATAGGCTGCCTCATCGATCCCACAGCAATCTGTAGTTGCCAGAAGGAAGAGACAGAAACAGCACCCCCTTCAGTCTGAGTCTTCAACCTTGCTGAGCTGTCTCTGGCGCAGTGATAGGTTGGCTGCTGGGAGCTGCTTTCTGACATTCTGAAGCACTGCTTGCAGATGCTGGTTGGTTCTTGCTGAGACTTGGTGCTGGCAGGGACCCAGATGGCTCCAGAGCTTCAGGGCTCCAGAGCATACTCACGGTTGGCTCATTCCCCGTGCCAGCTTTCTGCCACATCTGTGTGTGAGGGATGGATGAGAATGCAAACGACCTGGGTTTAACCAAAACCTTAACTGGAACTAATGTTTTAGTGAGATTCTGGTATAGTGTGTCTCAAATAGGTGGATCCACTACATTTTATTAAGGTAGTTGTATTCAGCTACATGGTGATACACACAGCTTTATAATACTGTTCTTTTAAAAACTTGAGCTTCAAATAAGCATATTTTAACAGTGCTGCGGAATAGTAAGACATCTTCTATTGATTTGTCACTGTCATGATGTTTTTTTCACTTGAGTACTTTCAGTTCATAAATTATTTTTATTTATTGAATTTTTAGTGTTTGCATCTGTTTCTAATTTGTCTTCCCTACCTAGAAACGGTGGAAAGAGCTTTCTAAGGAAGATTTGTCTCCTGCTTTGGATCATTCACCAAACAGAGTCATGACTGAGAAATGCAATGGAAACAGAATAGGTCCTGAGGAGGAGAAGCTGCCTGGAGATCGGTGCCCAGGGCTGGCCTCCAGGACTCAGGACCCTGCGGAGGAGAGCAGCGAGAGGTGAGTAGCTGTGCGCTGACAAGCATCCAGGGTGTGAGTAGTATGCACCCTTTGTTCATTGAGCCAGCATGCAATCCATTTGTTTATTACATAGGAGTTTTCACACAGTAGATGATGACATTATTACTCTCAACAAGCTGTCAATCCTGTTAAAAAGCCAGTACTGCTGGGCATGGTTGTGCACAACTGTAATTGCAGCCACTTGGAAGGCTGAGGCAGGATGATCACAAATTCAAGGCCAGCCTGGGCAACTTGGTCACACCCTGTCTGAAAAAAGGTCTGCAGATATAGCTCAGTACAAAGGCCCAGGGTTCAGTTCCCAGTACTGGGTGGGGTGTACTTAGGAACCAGTTAAGGAAATTGTACTGCTTGAGTGGAGGAGTTTATAAGGTGAGGTGCTAAACTACTAGTGTCACGCAGGAAACAAATGGTATGAATACTTGTGATTTGTATAAATATTGTTTGTGCTAGTTGACAATGTGCTGTTAATAATAAAATTATAAATAGTATATAGAATTCCATTATCAAAGGAAGAAAATCTTCCTCAGATCCAGGAGCAGGGGCAGACACCTGTAATCCCAGCACTTGGGAAGCTGAGGCAGGAGAATTGTTGAAAGTTCGAGACCAGCCTGGGTGACAAAGTGAGATCAAGGCTAACCTGAACTATGTAGCAAGACCCTGTCTCAAAAAGACCAAAAAAAAAAATCTTCCTCAAAATTGCATAAAATCTCCTTTTATACTTTTTGATTTTTAAATTCTTATGAGTGTGTAAACTATTTAAACTTTCAAGTTAAAAAAAATGAGTCTGGGTTCTGAGTGCCTCACACACCCTGGGAGCAGATACTGGGTACTGAGGTGTGACCCCCTCAGCAGAGGGAGTTCTTGCCCGCTCTATGTCCCTGAAAAGATGGCTTTCTCTTTCATGACGTGCACCATTTCACTGTGAGTTTATGTGAGTAGTATTGGGTAGACTGGGATCTTGGGTGCCTTGAGACATTGAGGGTCCCCTCTCTGTGTAGGGTCCCCTCACTATTCTCTCCTGGCATAGTGATCCTGTGTGCGGGCTGGGTGCCATCAGTGCAGTCTGTGCTTGGCTCCGGCTCTGCCCCAGATGAAAGCTGATGTCTTTGTGTCCTGTACATGTTTTTGCATTTGAATAATTTAATATGACTCGGCAATATTATTCCTTATTTGTGGCTTTAGTAGTTCTAGACTGCAAGTGAAAAATAAACTTGACTTTTTTCCTTGTTTCACCGTAAGTGTACTTAAAATCAGCAGGGAAGTGTTTTAAATTGCCTTTTTCAATAAGAGCTCCATATTCCTGGTGCTGTTGGGGTTTTAGATGCCTTTGACTAGTACAGAATCAAGACGAAAAAGCTGACAGCTGACTTGGGGACTGTTTTAGTTACTTTTGTCTCATTGCTGAGACAAATCTCTGATGTCCAAAGTTAAAGAGGAAAGGTTTATTTCTCTCAGTTTGTGGAGGTTTCAGTCCGTGCTTAGCTTGCTCCGAGGCATGGTGGCTTCACAGAGGAGAAACAGTTCATGGCAGGCAGAAGGTAGCAAAGCAACAAGAGGCCGACCACAGCTCTTTCTGTCCCTTTTACTGTTTCCCAGCTACTCAGAACGGGCAGCACTCGCACCCTTAACCCTAGAGCCCTTGATCCCAGCATTGTACCATGAATCCATCCCAGTCTACACTCTGGATCCAGCCACCTCTGAAAAAAGCCCACCTGTGACCGTATGGAGCTCTGAGGGATGTTGAGACACAACCATCATAAGGTCCTTAGTGTGTCTGTCAGGCAGGGTTTTTGTCCCACTGTGCTGCCCTCTCCTGTCTGTGCTTTAGAGTGCAAAGGATTAGCAAACCAGGCCCAGCAGCTTCTCTGGAGTGTGTGTTGGTACCTGTCAGCTCACAGGTGGCGGTTTTCTCCTTTTTCCCTTGAGACAGAGGGTGGTGCATGTTTGAAAGCAGAAGAGTACATGAGTAAGGAGGCTAAGAGCAGGCTGGGGGAGAGACCCAGAAGACAGGCACAGAAAGGGCAGCAGCAGCAAGAACTGGAGATACATGTCGGTCTGGAAAGCTGTACTGCTCAGACCCACTATTAGAGATCCTAATGAAAGGCAGATCCTATCAACTGAATCTCAGCTTTCAAAGAAATCGAACACAGTGTTTTCTTTTCTGCATTTTCATAATCAAATACCCCGCAAAGCAGTTTCTCAAATTGAAGGTCCAGTATCATACTCCAGCTCTTAATAACGTGTTTATTGAGTGATCAGAGCTTTTTTTTTTTTTTAAGACAGGGTCTCGCTATGTAGTTTAGGCTGACCTTGAGCTCTCTGTATAGCCCAGGCTGGCCTTGAACTCGCAGTAATTCTCCTGCCTCAGCCTTCTGAGTGCTGGGATTACAAGTATGTGCCACCACGTCATCAAAACATTTTTAAAGAGAAAAATAGGAACTCTCCTTGTACAAGTAGTAGATATAAGCATTTAAACAGATTTTTGTTTGGATGTGTATGTTTCTGTGTGTGCTGAATCCGGCTTTATGTGGCATGGCAAGGATGGGACCGAGGGGCAGTGTGGCATGGCTCTGCCCACAGATCCAGTCCTTTCACGTATTTTTCTCTGTTCACAGCATTCTGCGGAAACGCATTCGAGAGGACAGAAAGGCGACCACGGCTCAGAAGGTGCAGCAGATGAAACAGAAGCTAAATGAGGCTGAACGAAAAAGAAAAAGGTGGTTATACTGGCAGCCTATTCTCACTAAGATCGGGGTTGTGTCGGTCCTTTTGGTTGGTGCTTTGCTTAGCTGGATGCTGTTCCTTCAGCAGTACATCCAGTAAGTCGGCCTTGCGGCCGCGGCTTCTGCACTGCAGCCGGCTGGCCGCTCTAATCACAGGGTTCTTCTGACCCCAGCCCCGCACAGTGCGGCCGGCTTGACCTCACCAGACAGCCCAGCACCTCAGGACTCGCCGCCGCAGGTTCCTTTCAAAGCCAAGCTGTAAATCGCTGTCTCACATAAAGACACTCATGTGGTTAAAAACTGGTACGCGGTGCCACTGTGCACGCTGGTCCCAAGAGGTGTGTCACCTGACCAACACTGAGAAATCCTTGGTTGCAAGGATACGAAGCCTTTGAAGGCTGTTTGGATCTTAACCTGCATTCGATATGAGCAATAAATATTGTGGTTTCACCTATGTTACTAATGGAAAGAAAACGACCGTTAAATAATGTGTTTAATGTATAATGTGCTGTCGACGTGGGCATCAACACTTTATATACATAACCATTTCAGGGTAAATATATTTTATAAGAACCTATTTAATCTTACTTTTGTAGCTAAATGTACTTTTTAAAAGCTCAATTTGAAAATATGTTACCATAAGAAAATAAATTGTTTGTTGATCCAATTGTACCAGTCACATTTTCCCTTTTCCTAGAGAAGATTGTTACAAGCAGTTATAACTCTGAATAAGCAATTTCTACTACATATTTGGATTTCCTGTATGTTTGACAATTTTCTCTATTTTTAAAGGAAAAAGAAACACATTTTTCCTAAAAATATCTTTGAAAGAAAATTCTTCGCTGAGATAGGAACAGTTAGTGAAGACTTTGAGATTGGTCTCTGTAAAGCACATGACTACTGTGTTCATTTTTGGAGAACGTTTTCATGTAATTACCCTCATGTACTGGGTAAGTCATGGTTTAGGGAGTGAAAGGCAGCATTTTAGGGTCTATGATTTCAGCTCGCCAGGCTGGAGTTTTGAAGTGAAAAACTTAAGTTCTTTCTACTTCAATAAATAGTATGATGATGTGCGAACTTTACATTGTCCCTCTAACTTCTTGACGATTATTTTTATGAAGCATGTTGTCTCACGAATTGAACTGATGTCTTGACTGCTGGCTTTTAAATCTTAGCACTCCTTTCGGTGTCACTTCAGTAGCTGGCGTGAACTGACTTGCTGGGAGCCATAGAGTGAGTGTTACTTCACTGATTTCCAGACTCCATGCATTGGAGTTGCAGGAGGGGCCAGAAAGGGCCCAAACCGCCAGCCTTGCTTCGACCACAGCATGTCTGCTGCGTCTGTCTTGTACCATGCAGGGTGCTGGTAAGGCTGTAGTACATAAAAGGAGGCAGGTTCCATTTGAAAACCCTGAGTGTAGGCCCCGAGCTGACCCGAGCAGCTTCCGGGCTGCAGTATCTGACCCTGGAAGGGAAATATGGTGTGGGTGGCAGTGTGTACTAATGGGGGGTCACCGAGGCAGCCATGTCCTTAGACTGTACTTGGAGAGGAGGTGAGAGGGACCTGTCCTGTATCCTCCTTGTGCTGGCACAAGGGCCTCAGGCTTTCAGACATTCCTAGTGGAAAATCTTTCTCTACAGTTTGCCTAGCTGTGTCTTTGTGTTCTCTGCTTCTCAGACAGGCAGGTCTTGCTAAATTCCCACTGAAAAGCCATGTTTTGAACAGAACAGCAGGGGCTTCTTACAGGAAGCAGCTCCCAGCAAGGCTGTGGCCCAACTGCCTGGTGCACTGCCCCTTGGGGGTGTGGACTGCAGGAGCTCCCATAGTGCTGGGCTTTGCTGGCACAGGTGATCCTTGTGGGCTCTGGGTGTGAGTTACGAACAGGACACAACAGTGGGTGGCAGTGCTCGTGGTCATCGGCCCAGCCCTGTACAACCCAGTGAGGGACACATGTGGTCTCCCACCCCTGCTGGTTTGTCGTCCCAGGAAAAGGGTCTCTGAAAGGCCTGACTACAGCTGCCTTTCCACATAAGGAAAGCATCAAAATACAATCGTCCGTGTCTCATTTCAGCATGTATAAAATGAAAACAATACCCATTTTCTGTACGCTGCAACGAGAGTCTTTGAAAAGTAACATATGCGTGTGCGGACCTGTGTGGTTGCTCCTGCTTTGGGTGGAGCAGCAGAGAGAGCAACACTGAATGTCCCTTGCTGGTCACTCTAGCTGTGGGTGTTGCGGCTCCGTCCAGACTGCACAGTTTGTGGCTCCTGGCATGCAGCCCAAAGTTGACCCCTCAGGCATTGCTGTGCCCATCTTGCCCGTGTGACTGAGTATTGACATTTCTGCTCCTGTTATTGCAGTCTATGCGTAGTGCATTCTGGAATTGGAAATTCCAAGGACTGAGATCATCTATTTTCTTATCTTTGGTACCAGGGATCAAAATCACGACCTTGTGCTTGCCAGGCAGGCACTTGTGCCGCTGAGCTATGTCCCTGGCCCAACTGCAGCTCATTTTCCTCTTAGAAGAGTTTCCCTGACTGACTACATTCTGTGTAACTGGAGACTGGAAGCGAATTTTTCTGTTGACGTTGCATACGTGACTGAGTGCCTGCGTTTGAGTTGGCTGCCTGGCGGTGGTTCGCTTGTGGCAGCAGTGCAGTCTGCTTGGTTTTCACCTTCAGCTGCAGAATTAAAAGGGGAAGTTGAAGTCATCTTGAGCTGGATACTATGGGTGTGTCCATTCATTGCCACCAGGAACCAGGGTTTCAGTTCTTGGTGAGTGTGGCCCACGGTGCAGTCTCTTGCTTTTGTAGTCAATGTTCAGGGCCACCCTTGTCTGGCAGCCTTGTGCCTGCCTCAGCTCGAGGCTGAGGGCTCACTCTGCAGCAGCTGGGGAATTCACTTGTACTTTTGGCTTCAGGTGACTTTAGATGGCGATTCTGATAAATAAAACTGAAGAGCCAAAAACAGTCATGACGAGAGTCTGGCCTTGGTTACTGCCAGGGTAGTGTACTGTGGCGCTGACCTGTCTGAGGTTTCGGTGGATTTTGCTTTTCCTCACTCCTAGGGTGCTGTGTGTGTAGCCAACCTCCTTGGGCTACACACAGAGGACCCAGCCTCGGCCTGTTCAATACTTGTGGGCCTGGTGGCCATATTCTCCCGCCAAGCACGAGATCAGCATTGGCGGGCGGTGACGGCCTCTGCGGAGCCCTGCCTGTCTCAGCCGTGGGAGGTTACAGGCTCTGCCTGTGGAGCTATCTGTGCTGCTTTTGGGACTCTGAGTGGATGCGGAAGCCCCAGCCACAAAGATGTCACCGCTTGAGGCACCATCTGCATGTGTTGCCTGGTGCTGCTGCTGTGGGGACTGCTGTCTTTACAGAGACCCATTTTCTGTTGCTCTAATTTGGCGTCAGTCTTTCAGGCATATGACACTGGTAATATTTTAAGTACTAATTTTCTAAAACCTCAAACTTTTTTTTTTTTTTTTTTTTGTCTTTTTCCTTTTTACTGGGACCGCGGATCGAACTCACAACTGCCTGCTTGCAAGGCAGGCTCTTATGCCGCTGAGCTAAATCCCCAGTCCCTATCCTCAAACATTTTGAGTCTTGACAGATTCATGAGAAGACACAGCAAGCCGCTGCATATGGACCAGTGTGATGGAGCTGGTCGCTGAGCTCGCCGCACTGTGCCCCATGTGGGGATGGCACCATGGGGCCGCTTCTCAGGGCGCCCAGCCTTGCTCATGGCCGCTTGGTGCATTTGAACCCACTTTGCCGTATGTAAAGTGGCAGTGAGCACAGGGAATGTTCCGGAATGTCACATGCTTGCCTTCTCAGTCTTGCACATAAGTCTTCTGGAACAGTTGGGCCTCTGAGTGATTACATTACATTTTCTTCCTCCAGAATAATGAGCCAGTTTTTAAAAATCAGTCTGAGTTGTTAAAATGAGCAATTCATTCTCAGCAAGTGTCTCTTTCGCAACCAAGCAGGAAGCACAATGGTGTGGCCGGATGCTTAAGGTCCTGCCGGCCGGCCCAGGTGCACGCACCCTGCTTTCAGATGGGAAGATTGAGCCAAGGCACTCCGAGGGCACATGGCAGAGCTGGGACGCCAACTGCAGGCCATAGATTTCTCGGTGATGCCAAGCCTCCTGCTTTCTCCTTGTGTCTCGGCACCTCTGGAACACTGAGCCAAGTATTTAAGTGGAAAGATAACAGACAACCGCTGTCACCTGTGAAAGTCCACAGTCACCCTCTTTAAGCAGAACAAACAAAAAGCCACAAAAACAACTGTGAAATAGTTTGAGCTGCTGTAGGAAGAGAGCATCTTGGAGCATCTGAAGCAGGCCGTGTCCCTGACTCGCGTGGACAGCAGTGTGGGGACAAGGGAGGGCAGCTCCAACCAGGGCTTGGGTCCCAGGTGGCCCCTTTGGCTCTGGGACCACATGCCTGCCACCACCTGGTGCCGGGCCCCTGTCCGCCACACTGCAGGAGTGGGCCTGGTTCTGCAGAGGGCTTGCATGTAGGTGGCTTCCCAGAGAGGGGAGCTATTGGCAACATGACTTTTGATGTTTTTTTTGTTTTTTTTTTTTTTGGCCAAATTGTGTGACTCTGGTTTACATTTTCTGTTTATGCATGTGGAGATACAGGACTGACACATGTTTAGATTTGGGGTGTGTGTGTATAGAGGAACAGAAATAGCATTGCCTCCCCCAAAGTCAGGTTACTCCCAGAGAATTGTGAAATAGCATTACACACTTTCCTGCTCCTTGCAGTGGTCGTTCCCTCCCTTTGTCGCTGGCTTAGCTCATGATGTCACTTTGTGGCATTAAAATCGAGTCTGTCGATCACTGTCCATGTGTTTGCTTCCCCGGGCCTTGGCTCTGCAGCTGTGCTCAGAAGTGCCGTCCTCAGATCAGACACAGGTGCCCGCAGCCTAGTGTCTGTGGCAGATGCCACTGTGGTGTCCAGACCCTGGGGAGCCCCTGTCCATCTTCCCCAGTGCAGACAAGGCCAACACAGCCAGGTGGCAGCACTGAGTTCTTGTGCCACCTTGGTTCTGAAGCCACCTGTCAGAACATTATATGAAGGTCATTTCTGGAACAAACAGGATGACCTAAAGAATTCAGTTACCAGTTCTTAAAGAAGCCAGTGACAGATCTCACCACTACGATTTGACTGAGAATTGGGGAGCAGAGCTTGTGTGGCCTGTGCACCTGGGTGTGGCTCCCAGTGGCCTGCATAGAGAGCAAGTCCTTAGTCCTGTCACGTCTGCTCTGTGTACTCTGTGTCTTTGGTAACTGCGAATTGAACAGATGACTTCTTATTTTATGTTTTAGGCCAAGATTGACAGACACCTAAATGTTCATGACTTGCGAATATTCTGCAGCTATAAATTTTGAATCATTGATGTGCAGAGCAAGACCGAAGCCCACTCCGGAGCTGACGTGAGGCGCATAGCCCTCGATCGCTTCACGGTTGTCTGTTTACAGAGTAAACTCCACATCAGGGACGAGGGGCCACCAGCAGAAGATGTGCAGAACCTCGACTTTGCTGCATCGCTGCACGCTTTTTGGTGCGTGTGTGACAAGTAGAAAGACATCTAAGAAAGAAATGACAGACTACTTTGTATTGTACTGCCATTCCTACTGTATTTTTATACTTTTTGGCAGCATTAAATATTTTTATTAAATTCTTGTTTGTGTGCTTTATCTTAGGACAGCTCTGCTTCATACAGTATTTTTTTTTCTGAGGTAGGGTCTTGCTTGATAGTCCAGGCTGGCTTTGAACTCACTCTGTGGGCCAGGCTGGCCTCAGATGCTCAGTGATCCTCCTGCCTCAGCCTCCAGAGTACTGGAATTCTACGTATGCACCCCTGTGCCTGATTCACATGGTGTTTTCTTAAAGAGTTTATGCTCAGCCGCTGGTCAATTGCAGCTGACGTGTACATTGAAATTGTTCAGAAATGGGTCACTTCCTCACCTGGCTTGCCTTGTTTTCTCCTCTCAGTACTAGGGATGGGACCTGGGCCTCCCATGTGGTAGGCCAGGCCTGCACCACTGAGCCACACCTAGCGTGGGTCACCTTGAAGTCTGGGATGGGCATGTACTGTGTTGCACCAGAACTTGGGATCTTCCTGCTCAGCCCCACGTGTGCCACCATGCCCACTAGGTACGGGCTCTTTGCGGTCTTCCGCTTTGCCTATTGTAGCTCTTCTGACATGACAGCGTTACAGGTTAGGGCAAAAGCAGCAGCAGAGTGCTGACACTCCCCTTCCCTGGAGAGACATGGCAATCAGCTGCTGGCCTGTGTTCCCATCTGGAGAGGCATCTTGGTCCATCACTGGGGAAGGGGGATGTGATGTGAGAACTCGACCAGAGAGGCACAGAGTCACACTGAGCAAGGTATGACGGGAGCCAGCATTTCCCTTTTATTTCAGAAGAACAGTGTGTGAGCTGCAGAAGATCTAAATGTCACAGATAAAGCAAGTTGGGTTTTTGGGATTTTTTTGGCCGTGGGAATTGAACTCAGGACCTTGCACTGCCAGGCAGGCACTGTGCTGCCATGTTATAACCCCAATCCTTTTTTTGTTTTTGAGACAAAAGTCTTGCTGTGTAGTACAGGCTGGCCTCTAAAGCCAGGGCTTTAGAGTTCTGAGGATCCTCAGAGTAATCCTCATGGCCCAGCCTCGTGGGTTTTGAGATTATCATGCCTAGCCGGGTAAGCAGTTTAAAGTCACCTGTAAACACTGCTGGCATTTGGTAAACTACTGTCACAGCTTTTTGCTTTGCGTGTATAGCCCCCAATTGAAATCATAGTGTAAATTCTGTTTTGAAAGTCATCTCTAACCATGTGGTTAAACACTGCAAGTCATTAAATATTTTTCCGTAATCATTCCTGCTAATGTGTATATTTTCTAAAAGACATTAACTTTGTACCTCTGTGGTGCCCAATAGAGTCCATGCAGTTTCCATGTAGGTCAGTGTACCATGTTAACTCCTTTTTTTTTTCTTGGTCCTGGGAATCAAATTTATGACCTCACACATGCCAGGCAGGTGCGGTGCCGCTGAGCTATACTACTGGCCCTGTATTAACCTTATAGAGACACTAGGGTCACTCACCAGTCTTCAGCTGTGATTCATTTCAGTCTTTCCATACTTTCTTTTTTTTTTTTGGTTTTTGAGACAGGCTCATTATGTCATCCTGGCTGGCCTGGAACCCACAGTGGTCATCTTGACTCAGCGTGTGGGATCACAGGTGTGTGCTACCATGCTTGGCAGTTTTTCATTGTAAGTAATAGCTTGTCTAAAATTCTTGTACACACACACACACACTTTGAGAGACCCAGCTTGGGACGCCTGCTTCTGTGAGAGGGAGAGGCTCCTTGAGCCAACCCCTCCCTCAGTGGTACCTTGGTGAACAGGTGTGCCTGCTGTTTAGCACAGCATAACAGACAGGACTGACCAAGGAGCAGATGGACCCAGGGACTCAGGTAGTGAGGGGCAGTCTCCTCGTGCATGTCACCATTGCACATTTCTCATGCACACAGCACTGCATGCTCAGCTTGCTCTCCGGCAGACACTGACCACTGAGTAGCAGTGCACAGCTGCTTCTCCTGGACTTCCAACAGCATGGTCACTGATAAGAGGTCATTTCCAAGAATCCATCACCTTAGGTTTCCTCTGGTGTAAGCACAAAGTGTCGGTGGTTGAGAAAGTTCTCGTAACGTGGGCACGTGGGGAACCACACGCTTCAGAGCAGTCTGTGTGCAGGTTGGTTACAGCTGTGAGGACACTAGCACAGCCTGGAAGTTCTGACTTGGGAACTGCTGTAAAATTTCTTAAAACAGTGATGCCGGCACAGTGGTCCATGTGTGAGGCCCAACTACAAAGGAGGCTGAGGCAAGAGGATCGTTTGAGTCCAGAAGTTTGGGGTCAATCCAAGAAGCATTGAGATCCGTCTCAAAAATTTTCTCAAAATGTGTAACAGTGGAACTACTCAAAAGTCAGAGTTTATTTTGGACAAAAACATTTTTTGAGGTATCTAAATGTCAATAGTTTGTTCAAAGAAACTTCAAAATTGTTAACTTTAGTACAGCTTTAATGTTCAGTTTTAAGTGGAATTTTAGGTGGAATTACTGCCCATTGAGATAAAACTTCTATCCTCACTTCTAGTAATTTATCTTCTTCTCAAAAGGGAAAAATACTGCATTTCTGCCAGCAGCAGCAGCAATTATTTTTCGCCCATAAAACGTACAAACCATATGACCTCAAAGTTAAAGAAAACAAAAACCAACTACAAAAAGTTGAAAGATGGGACTGGGGATTTAGCTCAGCGGCATAAGCACCTGCCTTGCAAGCAGGCAGTCGCGGGTTCGATCCCCGGTACCGATAAAAAGGAAAAAGACAAAGTTGAAAGATGAAAAAATTTACAATGTTCATTTTGTGTGCTGGGGATGTAGCTCAGTAGCTTAAGTGTATGCTTAGCATGCATGAAGCCCACGGTTCAAGCCTAAAACAAGCCTAAATAAATGTATTGGGTAGAGTTAGATTTATAAATTGATCTGCCTTTCACACTGTGAATGACAACCACAGATTTTTGCATGTATAAATAAACTGGCACATCGGAGGAGCAAGGGGCCAGGCATCTCCTTCTGGAAGCTTCCATGGAGGGCATCTCCCCAACCTGGGTGCGCAAGCAGGGTCACCACATGCAGAGAAGCAGTGGGGAGCATTTTACCTCCGAGCTTGTTTTTTAAAATAATGGTGGTATTCATTATAAAGTTTTTTAAGATCCAAAATTACATGACATTAATCTTGTTTTTAAAGACGTATGCACCTGCAAACCCCAGAATCAACTGACAGAGTGCCCCACCCCAGCCAAAGCCCCTGCTCCTGGGGTGTCCACAGCACAGGGCCACCGCACTAACAGCCACCACTGAGAGACAGCTTTGCTTCAGGACAGGCATGTCACCTGGCAGAGACTGCTGGGATGGCCTTGGGAACGGGCTTGGAAAGGGGAGCCCTGAGGCAGGCTCTTCTAGCCTGGGAGGCCCGGGATTGGACCGAGTTAGTGGGCCAGCTGGTGCTGGGTAGGCTTGGCAGACCCACCCAGGGCAGCTGGTGCTAAGAAGGCAGAATTGAGGCTGGCACTGCTGCTCACACCTGGCAAGCTAGAGTGCCAGAGGCTGGTATGAGCACCTCACCTGTCTACACTAACACCAGCTGCTTGTTCACTGTGGTGCCTAGGGCCTTGATAGCCAGGTGACAGCATATACCAAATCCACTAATTACTGTCATCACCAAAGTGACTGACAGTGGATTACAACTGGTTTTCTATGTATCTGGATTTCTTGGAGGTCGAAAACAGTAAAAAGTGTGTAGATAATAAGACCTTGGGTTAAATACAAGCAGTTTCTTCTGCAGGCACCCACTGATGAGTGGGCATTTCTGAAAAGCTTGAGCTTGGTAAGCTCCTTGCATGTGAGTATATGTGACGCCAGTGCCACCTGGCTCTCCGTCCCTGGGATCCAAGTGGCCGTCTCCTCCTGCTGCCGTGCCAGGCTATCTCCTTCAAGTATAGACTCACCCACTCCCTCTGCACCCCAGCGTGGGGGGTGGAGTACACAGCGAGCCTGGGTGCTGAAACCTTACTGGGGCTGGTGTTCTGGCCAGGTGGTGAGGCTGCACCTTCCCGAGCAGCTGCCTTCCTGCTGACATCAGCTCCCACCTGATCCTTTAACGCTGAGGGCTGAACAGACTACAGCATGTGGCCAGCTCACAAAGCATTCCACCAAGCACTGTGCTGCAAGGCATGCCTTGCTATGGCAGGCAGGCAGGCCACCAGTACAGCCCACCCTCATGAACCCACAGGTGCGCGAAGCGTGAATGGCGGCCACTGAGTGTGTGTGGGGGGTCATGTGCCCAAGGTCTTCACGCTGCATTTCGTGGCCGGTAGTTACCCTGGGCCCCCTTGGCCCTGGGGGTGGGCCAGGGTGAGCACAAAGGCCCTTATGAGTGCAGGGGGTACAAGCGCTGCTGCTGGGGGGCCAGAACCAGGCATGCCGCAGGGGCACAGCATCCACCCCCTCGTAGCCCAAGACCATCTGGACTTCTGAGCTCTATAACCGCTGGGAAAAGTTAATCCGTGTTCTTTCATGCTGCTAAATTTGTGGTAATTTATTCCAGCAGAAATTGGAAGTTAATAAAGTCTGAGTTTTAAAGATAAATTTCAAACAAAATTACTTAGGAAATAAAGTTTTATTGTACAAATTTTACACCTGTTGCAGATGATGAAAGGCCTTTGGTTAACCCATTTTTCTTTGAAATATTCTGTGAAGAGTATCCATGTCCTAATCTGCTTTATATAGAATATTTAACAGTTGTGTTTGTAGTGTCTCAGGACACTACAATAGAGCTGAAAGCAGATCAGAAAAGTGCAGGGGGAAGACCACTGCCAAAGAGTAGTTTCCAGGAACTTGGTATTTTCCAAGGCAAGGTGGGCGGTGCGGGGTCTTTACTCTGCAACCAAAGCACAGAACATTAATTAACCTTTCTATTTATCATCACATCTCTCCTTGGGTTCCCTTCAGTTCTGACATTTGAAGCTAGGTTTTCCGTTAGGGAAAATACATTTCTGTATCTTCATGTGAAATACAGATCAATTTCTTTTAAGTTAAAATCACAAAGATACACCAGAACGGATGCAGATGGCCTCTGCAAGTAAAATCAAACCCAGTCCTGCTTTGGCAAAAGCAGGAATAAAAAGACAGAGCCCGCCCCCTAAAGCAGCCTAGAGGTGCTGCTGCTCCACTGAGGACAAGCTTGTCCGCCCGTGTGGCTGCTCACTGCCCAGCACAGAAAGTGCTCGGACTCCAGATGCCCCCAACCCCAGGACTTCACAGATGGCAGCAGGCCTCACTTCTCTGCGTCGTCCCTGATTTCTGCAGAAGACTTGTTTATTCTAGTACACCATCTGGCATGATGAATTCAACAAAGGAACAGGATTTTCCTTTCTGGAAAATCAGCCTTAGTGAAACAGCTGTAAAAAACAGACTAGGGAACTGTCTCTTGCTGTCCGAAGTTCAGCTTGAACTGTGTTTTTTGTAAAGGCGTTTGTACTTAACAAGAACCTCCCCACAAGCGCATCCACGCAGCAGGGTACACTGTGTGACACTTACCTGTGGCTTGATGAGCTGCAGCCACTCGTTCAGGTACTCGGCAAGACCCAGCGCATCCGGAACATTGTCCCCTTCGGAAACGAACTTCAGCAGAACCGCCATGTAGATTTCTTTAGAACAGCTGCAAGCAACAGGACGCTCAAGTTCTTCACCAAGGGACACACTGAGCCCAGCGTGCTGGCTTCCGTGTTGCACTCCTCCTGGGCAGGAGGGACGGGACCAGGAGGTCCATACCTCACCTCAGCCACATGAAAACTAACAGAGCCAGATATGGTCCCAGATCCCTCCCAAAGCCTAGCTTAGAAGACAGAGTAATTTTCAGAAGCGACACAGTGAAGTGACTGGAGGGGACAAGTGCTTTGTTATTAACAATCTAAAGCAGCAAAGCAAGCCGGGCACAGTGGCACACACCAGAATCCCAGCACTTGGAGGCTGGGGCAGGAAGACTGCTGGGGTTCAAGGTGCTGGCCTGAGTGACTCTGGGAGATCCTGTCTCATGAAAAAAAAGCAGGAAAGGAAATCTGGAAGAGAATGAAACAGTTACGAGGAAAGGAAACTAATTTCTTACAGATACCCCTTGCCATGTGCTAAGCACTGCTGGCAAATTGGACAATTTTCTTACAACAACCCTTCAGTAAACTGTCATACTTTCCATGTGATGAAGAAATCTGTGTGGAACAGTGAAACATGGGCAGAAGGCCAGGATTCCAACTCTAGCTCTCCGACCTGCGGGTGGGCCTGTGAGGACTTTTCAGGGCTCCAGGTCCCTGGTGCGTAAAGCAGGACAGAGGCTCAGCGCAGGCTGGAGGGAGGTGGTGAAGGCAGAGAAGTGAATCTGCCAGTCAGCCCATCTCGATCAGAGAGCCCACACCCTGGATGGGCGAGGAGCAGGCCTACGGAGCCTGACTGCTCCTTACCACCCACGTCCGCCTCAAGCCAGTGGCGAGGCAGTGACATACCAATGCTGAGGGTATCTTATTTGCCAACGAAGCAAACCTAATTCCTAACACCCTATGACCGAGAACCATGAGGAAACGTAAGCCAAGCACAAGTGGGTGTCCCATGCTCCAAGAAGGTGGGCTGGGGTCCAGCAGGGCTCACACAGGCAGGTGTGGCTCAGAAGCCTGAGCAGGGCCCGGGCTCCTCTGCCACCGGGTCCCAGTACTCAAGGCTGAGACAGCTGAAGCTGCTGGCACCCCTCACGCTGGCCCACAGTGCACTCATGTCCCAGAGCCCGGAAGTCTGGCTCCTCAGTGCCTGTGCGGTGGCCAGGCGCCTAGTTCTGTGTCATTCCCGGGGCTCCAGGTTACAGCCCAGTGTACCTTAGCGCACAAACAGCAACGCAAACCTGAAGCTGGGGGAAAGAAAAGAGTAACAGGAGGGTAGAATGCAGGTAAGAAAGGGAACAGGAGAGACTGAAAGACTCAAATTAGTAAAGTCAGAAATGGAAGTGGGAATATTACTAGTATAATTTTTTTTTTTTTTTTTGGTCTTTTTCCTTTTTATCGGTACCGGGGATCAAACTCACGACTGCCTGCTTGCGAGGCAGGCACTTATGCCGCTGAACTAAATCCCCAGCCCCTAGTATAATTATTTAATGAGTACAAATTTCTACTTATGATGATGACAAAGTTGTGGCAACCAACCCTGTGTTCCCTAGGCTGGCCTTAAACTCCTGAGTTCGAGTGACCCACCTGGCTCACCCTCCTGAGTGCCAGACTATGGCAGGAGACACTTTGCCCACAATTTAATTTTCCAAAGTTTACTTATTTTTGTGGTACTGAGGATTGAATCCAGGATCTTTACACTAAGCCTTATCTGCAGCCCCTTTTTATAATTTTGTTGTTGTTGTTGTTAAGACAGGGTCTCGCTGTGTAGTTCAAAGTGGCCTAAACTCTTAGTTATCCTTCTGCTCAGCCTCTCCAGTGCTGGGATTACCAGTGTGCACCGCCTCACCTGGGTCAGGCTTTACCTCTAAAGGTAAACCTACGTAGGAAATAGACAAGGAGGTAAACTCACCCCTCTTCATACAATGCTCTTGTGATCCCTCCTCCTGGAATCCGGACACAGTAATCAGAGTCACTCATTTCTGGAATGCATGGAGTTTTTTCCATTTCTTGCCAGTTAAGGCTCTTTATTTTATTCTCAACACTCTTTTGCATACAAGGTGTAAGCAGGTACCGAAAAGGAGTGCTAGGAACAATCATATAGTTATGCTTCCAAAACTTACAAATATAAACACTAAGGAAACAATCAAGTCTCCATATAATCTGCAAAACTGCCAGTTTCAGAAGACTTGAGAGAATAACATGCAGCACATATCACACTGGTCTACTGCTTAAACGCTCAGAACAGCGCAGCCAGGAGACAGAAAGCAGGCAGGGACCAATGCAAGAAGGGCTGGGCCCCACAGCTCTGCCCCACGGTGGGTGCCCTGAGGCCCCACCAAGGCACTGCCCTATCAGCTCAGCCTCAAAGGCAACCATGAGCTGACTGGGGTTTCCATCAATGTGACAGGTGGGTAAGTGACCATCTAAATGAACTAAAAGGCAGCAGAGCTGTATTCCACAGAGTATTTTATCAATTTCATGTATAATAAAATGTAAGTTTGTATTTCCATTTTGGAGACACTCTTGTCTTTTATTTAAGAATTCACCACAACATGCTAGTGCGCTTACTTGAAACTGGGTTCCCAGAAATACAAATGATTGCATATCTGGAAACAAAGATCCAGGACCAATTTAATCTTTCAAAGCTGCCAGCTGATGGGGCCAGGTGTGCACGCAGCAGTACAGCACCCGCCCAGCAGGCACAAGGCCCGCTCTGATCCCCAGCTGCACAGGAACACAAGCGTTATCAGTGGTCACTTGGCTCTTCTTGCCTTCTCCTCTCCCTTAACCAGCTGAGCGCTGTGCTGCTGGCCACACAGGACAGAAAGCCCTGAAAGCACAATTCCCAAACCCATTCTCCTGACCCAAAATCTTTGTGCCTAGCTGTACTAATGTCACAGGAATTCAGAGGATCTGTGTCCCTTTTACTTCTTTTTCTGACCTTACTCTTTCCAGTTGGCGAGGTAAGCACACCTGTGACTTTTAAAATGTAACCTTTAGGGGGGCTGGGGATTTAGCTCAGCGGCATAAGCACCTGCCTTGCAAGCAGGCAGTCATGAGTTCGACCCCTGGTACTGATAAAAACGAAAAAGACCAAAAAAAAAAAAAAAAAAAAAAAAATGTAACCTTTAGGATACAGCTATCTGTCAGCATGAGCCCTAAGTAAGGCAGATGCATACCTGCGAAGCTGTAGGTCGTTCCGTTGGTAGGAGTGACTGCTGGAAAGAACGATAACTCTAGTGAAGCTGCTACTTTTCACCCAGGACAGGAGTTTTTCACAGAATGAGTTGGATTTATACTTTGTATGCCATGGAGAATAAAAAGCACATGTAAAAGTGAGACTTTAGGGTGTAACAGTCTGGACAGTATTTTACAAACTTTATGTGGCGATGCTGTGCACCCTGCAGACATTAATGTATTCACACTGTACTGTTAGACCCACCAACTACTCTGGAAGACAGACGAAGAGCAGTCATTTAGTGCACCTTTATTTACAGTGATGCGATGAATTACCCATGAGGGATCCACATGTCAGAACAGTCTAAGAAAACTCACTTTTCTAAGTAATTTACCATTATTTAATTCTGTGTGCAGTGCCAAGGACTGAATCCAGGCCACTGAGAGTGACAGTCACTGAGCTGCACACCCAGCCACAATCTCATAGCTCTATGATTCACCACCACAAGGAGCTGGCATGGTGCACAAGCCCGTGCTCCCACCTCATGGGAGGCTGAGGCAGGAAGAGCCCGAGTGAAGGCTGGAGACAGCTTAGTGAGACCCTGTGCCAAAGTAAAAATGAAACAGGGGAGGGACCCGGCCCACTCTGGAGTGCTTGCCTGTCATGCCCAAGGCTCGGGTTCCACCCCTCATCCTGGGGAAACTGCACAGGCCATTAGTGATGCATTCATCAGAAACTGCGGACTGGACTCAGACCGTGAGGAAAGAAGGCAGGTGCTGAACGTTCTGGCCTCCCCTCGGCAAAGGCAGCAGGACCGTGAGGAGCAGAAAGGGGCCCAGGGCTAGAACACACCATAGGACACCAATGACAAAGACGCACTGGCCAGACACAACCCACGGACCTTGCCTGGTCCAGTACTGAAGGGCACAGTATGGCTAAGCTGGACGTTCAGTCTACGGAGGGAACCTCAGAATGATCAGCAAAGGCTGGCTCCCTGGGGAATGGCAAGGATGCTGCAGTTGTGAAGGAAAAAGTCTTGATCCCGACAGTGCTTTTCATCTGCTTTGGCAGTGTGGGGCTTGTGCGCCCCACCAGGCTCACCCAACCCTGTTCTCAGAGGCTGCGGCTGAAGCCCTGGGGGACGAAGTGTCAGACTGGGAGCCTCGTCTCACACTTAGCAGAAGGAAACTGTGTACGCACACAGAGAGAGGTCACGTATGTTCAACAGTGTCAATAGCTGGTGAATCTGGGGTGTGGATCTTAAAACTTGTGGGGAATACCCACTTAAAATTTTTCCCTGACAGTTAAAACATAATATTCATTGACATTTAAAGTGCAGGTAAAAATGGCAACCTTCTAAAAATGAGAGCAGCACAGTCCAGAGATCACGAGGCCCCGCTGCCTACGAGCCTACTGAACATCTCCAGCAAACTGTCTGGCTTTCTGGGTTTCTGGGTCCCAATTTTCTCACTTGAAAAATGAGTTGCTGCAGGGAGCAAGTAGAGTAATATACATGAAGTGCTTACAATAACATTTGTGTGAATAACCAAAGCTCAATAAATCTTGGCAATGTTTTAAATCATTATTTCATCTACCAAAACCCAATCTGGAAGGACGTGTCTTGCCTGTCTAAAAAGCACATGGCACAGCATGAGAAGAGTAGCACGTCTCAGTGCAGAGCGCGGGTACACAACACCATTAACCACAGGAGGGGCTCCAGACACACACACCGTGCAGGGTGTGGGTCCATGACACCCTATAACTACAGGAGGGACTCCGGACAAAAGCGAAAAGTGCTGATGGCAGCACCATTCATGACAGGCTCAATCTGGGAAAAAATATCCAATGATTTTTTACTTATTTTAAATTAATGCATTAAAGTTTAAATAGCTACAAGAGGAGCACTTGTCTCGCATGCTCCAGGTTCTGGGTTCCAACCTCAGTACCACCCCCAAAATAAAAATAAATACATACATATATATATATATATATACACACACATAAATACACTGAGAGAGTGTGAGCATGAGAGAGAGGGTGGGGGTACACTGGCACGTGCCTGTGACACCAACTACTAAAGGCTAAGGCAGAAGGGTTCCAAGTTCCGGCCTAGCCTAGACAACTCAGCAAGTCCTCAAAGTAAATAAATAAACAAACAGGGCCAGGGATACAGCTCAGCAGTAGAGCAACCTGTGTGAGTCCCTGGGTTTAATCCCCAGTGTCACAAACATCAGTGACTGGGCCCAGAAGCCCCACTGGACAGCACAGATACGCAGCCTCGTAGCCCTGGTGCAGGGCTAGGCTGTGGGCCATGGGCTCCGGGAGCCAGGAGCTGTGCGGGCTTTCAAAGACGGCAGTCATGTGACTGAACTCCACTTAAGGGATCACTGAGAGGTGAAGCAAGAGTTAGGACAGGAGCTTGTGCGCAGAGGGCTTTGAGCTGAGTTGCTCCTACGAATGTGGTGGGGAACAGGAAGAAAGGCAGATTCAGAATCAATCCTGACAGACACTAACTGATACGTAGATCCGCCAGCTGAAACCTAATACAAATGCAATTAATCTATGATACTTACATGCCTGTTTATTTTTCACCAATATAACCTAAATCAAGAATACATCAGACTTGACTTGCAAGTCCCAATTCTTTATATAGTGCCACAAAAATCATGGTAACACATCTGAAATAAGATTATTTTCTACTGAATTACAGCTTTCTTAACTGACAAACAGCAAAGCACAATTTTAAATCTCATGGTACTTAGTTTTCCTCCTGATATTATACTTCAAGAATCTCAAAAAGGAAAAAAAAAAAAGAATCTCGAAAAGATAAATATACTAACCTTAATAAAAATAGATCTTAACTGAAGAGCCACTAACTTCCTTGAAGGCAATGAATATACTACGAAGACAAAAAGAAAACGAAGTCATAGGGCAGTTAAAATGACTTTTTCAAGCTAAATTTTACAACAAAAATATAAATTAAAATCTTTTGCATCTAAATATTTTCAATCATTAAAGTACAGAATGTAAGTATGATATTAACTGCTTATGATAAAATGAGAAACAAAACATGGCAGTGGGTTTGTTCTGCTGAATATATTTGTTTTTGAAATGCTAACTGTAAGAAAACACTCAAAACTATTTTTTGCTAGTCATGGTGGTGTGCAGAGGCCAAGGCAAGAGAACTACTGGGCAACACCACAAGATACCTCTCCTAGGTTTTTAAAAATTTCATTGTAAAACTAGAGAAATATTCCCTTGGAAACGGTGTTATAGCAAATGAAATCATTCTTAAAGTGAAACTTCTCAGTTTTTGGTATTCATCCCTCTTCTCTTCTGAGACCAGCAACACTCACTAGAATTAACAGAATACACTTAAGTATAGGACAATGTCAGCCATGTAAGAAACTCCCTGGACTAGGTACATCTGTGTTTCTAGGAGTTTCTGAAAGACCTGAAATACTGTAAAATGTTCTGTGAGTTAAGATGCATGTAGTTTTCAGGGAAAGGGTTCACACTTCCACCAGATTCCACTAGGGGCACACTTTGAGCTGTGTAGGGCTCCGGGGCCAAACTTCTCCTTTATGAATGAGAAGCTCTTGTGTTGGCCAAAGGCAGGATAGTTACCGAAGGACACAGGACCAGACAAGCCACTGTGTGAGGGGCAAGCCTTGGTTACTATACACAGATTACAAGTCACCTAGTCTAGGGAAATGAAGTGGGTTAAACTGCATCCAAACTTTTGACCCACTGCCAGTTTGTGAAAGGAAAGCCAAAGGATCTGTATGTGTACGTTACTGGAGGCTGAACCAAGGGCCTTCACAATGAGCTAAATCCCCAGCCCTTCTTCAAAATTTTGAGACAGGCTTGACCTTGTGATTTTCCTGGCTCATCCTCCCAAGTGCCACCATTACAGGTGTGCACCACCATGCGCAACTGTGGTCTTCTTGAGTAAGGTGCAAACAGGCAGGTCTCTGGGCTAGATTGCCTTCACCAGCATCACACCAGTCAGTCACATGACCTTGAACAGCTGAACTTCTCTGTGCCATGGTCCTTCACTGATAAAGATGCAGCTCAGTGGCAGGGCACTTGCCTACCATGCGTGAAGTCTTGGGTCCAATCCCCAGCAATGGGAGGAAAACCCATTTACCTTATAGAATAATTGTGAGGTTTAATAATTCTATGCACTAGAATACATAAAAGAATATAACATTCAGCCCATAGTAAATACCAAGTGATAGTTTTTATCATTAGAGGAATAAGTATGTATTCTTGCTCGACCATTTGTGGGCTTTTAAGACTAGTCTTACAATAACAAAGCCATCTTTATTTCAGGAATTTCAATAATAAAGTTATCCCTCAAAAGCACATTCATGCACACCTGTAATCCCCATACTCGGGAGGCTGAGGCAAGAAGATTGCTGTGAGTTCCAGGCCAGCTTGGGCTACAAGGCCAGCCTGAAACTACATAGTGAAACTCTGTCTCAAAAAGACAAAAAAAAAAAAAAAAAAAAAACCCAAAAAGCACATTCATTATGCAACCTAAGAATAATGGCATGGCTCATAAAACTGACAGACTACAATGCTTAAGTTTGTCATCCATCCACCAATGGCCTTCTATGCTCTTTTATAAGATCTGGATTTGATCTTAGGATGGTAAAGAAATAATTGAAAGACCAAGGCCAACACAGCAATAAGCCACCGAAGTAAGCTACAGGATGTGCCTGGGCTTCCATCAGCAGGAGCTTTTCCCTACTCCTTTGAGATCATTCCACTTATAACCTGACAGAGGTCAGTGCAACACAGCTGTGCACACCAATTAACCAAGACTGACAGTCCAAGGAGGGCTCGTGTAGGAAAAGCTTACACCAACTAGTGGGACCAAGCAACTCAGTCTCTCTGAGACTTCTTTATTGTATTGTTATGGAGTCTGTAATAACATGACAGCACATCTAAGTGGCTTAGATGAAGTAGCACATGTTAAAATACAGGACCTGAGCCTAGTGGAATCTTCCTTTCCTTTATCTGTAGTACCAGTGATGGTTATACATGCCAGTAAGAACAGAAAATGAAACTGAGAAAAAAAGGAAAAAAAGGGGGGATGCTTGTTTTAAAATTTCAAATTTGAATTCTATCCAGACACAAGTGCAAACCCTCTAGCTACCATGAGAGGATCATAAAAACTGACTCATGGATATAAAAAGGACAATGTAACAGGTTGTGAACTCTACACATAGCTGGCACTAATTTTACAACAAAATAGCACTTGTGGGTTTCCTTCCTTCTTTGTTTTGGGAACAAGGACTCCTGTATTGCTCACGCAGGCCTTCAACTCCTACCATAGGGTCAAGTGATTCTTCTGCTTCATCCTCCTTCTGCTGGAACTACAGGTGTGCATCAATGTGCCTGGCTTAGAGACTATTTCTAATTTACAAGAACTCTACTTTGTAGTAGAACGAAACTTGCTAGAAACATACCTTCCGTATTTATACTGAGTTCAGTTGAATTTTCTTCTGCTGTTGCATATGGATTATTTCCAACCATTGGCACCAGACAATCAGTATAGAAGTAACCGATCTTAGACATGTTCAATGTAGAAATAATCAGATCTATTGCAAGTTGGCCAACATTTCCAACAGATACTGCTGGCTGAAATATACAAAAGATACATTCCTTGAGGCAGCAAATTAGTGGTCATTTAACAAGTTTACACTGATGAAAATAATCAAAAGGTAAACAATAATCAAAAAATTCAGACATTAGGCAATGATTACAACAAGAGTACTGAATGCCTATGTCCAGGTACATAGCTAGATATCAACACTTTCATGCAATAAAGCAAACTGACAAAAATTCCTGCCCTGGTGGAGTTTCCAACCTAATGAGAGAGTTTAACTGGAATAAAATCAACAGTAAAGTATACAGTGGTAGTGCTATGAAAAGAAATACAGTGACTGTGAGCACGTGTGTATGTGGTTCCCTGTATATAGGGTAATTCAGGAAAGCTTACTTCAAGTCAGAACTACAGACCTGAAGATGAAGAAGAATCAGAGAGAACTCTGAATACTCCAGAAGTGGGAAAGCCAGCACAAAGGCTGTGAGGCATTAGCAAAAAGCATTCCTGGTCTTCCATCTGCTTTATAAAATGTCTCTCTCCCCACTCTCAGAGGCTAGAGTGGCTTTCTTTTCATATTAAAACTCACATACATACACATACACACACACACACACACACACACACACACACACACACACACTCACTCTCTCCCTATGCCCCAAATGCCAAATACCTATCTATATCCCACAACAATTCTCTGAGCTCCAGAGAATATACACATATATGGATATAGGTCACAGGCCATTCACATTCAACAGGTACAAAACTAAACTTTTCCCAAACTTGTTTTCCATTTAGAGTTCACAGAAGAGAATCATTATTTATTTGGTTACTATCTAAATTTATTCCTTTTCTTTTACCAACTATATCTGATTATGACTTTTACTAACTTATCTCCAAAGTATCTCTTTAATAAGCTTCTCTGCATTCTTCCAGCAACTGCCATATTTTGGCCTTCAACTGTTTCTAGAGCACACTCTCATTTTTCACTGTTGTCATCTACTAAACCCCTGGTTACCTGCTGTAATTCCCTCCTCACGGATTTGCTACTTTGGTTAGACTGATCCGTATCATCTTTTTCTACTAGATTATTCTCATTAGCACATAAAGATGTCTTTCCATCTTTCAATCAAAAAAATCTTCCCTTGGTAGATGCGGTGACACACATCTGTAATCTCAGCACTTAGAAGGCTGAGGCAGGAGTATCACTGTTTCAGGCCACAGTCGGTTCAAGACCAGCCTGAACTTCATCGTGAGATCCTTCCTCAAAAAAAATAAAACAATCTTCCCTTGACTCCCTTAAATGCCACCTCATCTGTCATTCTCTTATGCAGGCAAAACTCTCCAACAGTTGTCTACTAAAGTAGAAACAGGAATTTTACTCATAAATTCCCTCTCCTTCCCCTCTTCCTTCCCTCCTCTTCTCTCACTCAGTTCACTCCAATATGGCTTCTTCCTCCATACTCCACTGGTAATTTTGCCCAGGTGATACTGCTATCCTACACCTCACTAAATCCAAACAGACACCCTCCTATCTGTTTGACATTTAATGAATAAGACGATAGTCCTATCTCTCTCTGGTCTTACATCACTCCACACAGTGCGTACTGCGATGTTAGGGTGAGTCCGCTCTGCCTCAATGTGTCATTCCAAACTCTGCAGTCTCCAGGTGCCCCGGCTTTTGTGTCTCTGCTTTCGCCATCCATCGTCCTCTAAGTCCACTTCCCTAAATAACTGGGGGCCTTTCTATATCCTCTTCTGTTAGTATTACTGGTCCTACTGATTATATGCGTTTCCAATAGGACTGCAAAGTCTTTCAAGAAAAGCGACTAATCTTCTCACAATCTCAGTGTTCACTGAAACGACTCAATATGTGCAACTGCAACAGCGCTGCGTGAGCTGCAGTCAAAAGTGACTTGTATATTCCGTAATGACAATGACATGCTAGTTTAGGGATGACTCTAAAACTACCTGAAAATAAACTTTCAAGGATAACATCGGGATGCCCCGTATGAGGTGCCTGTATCAAACATGCTGTTTTGCAGGCACAAACTACAATGTGTAGACGTTTATTTACAGCGTGGACCAAGGTTCTAACTGGACCGCCGCCTCGAGAGACAACTTCCCTCCGTTTTTCCGACGGCCCCGCAGGCCCCGCGAGAATCCGGCAGCGCAGGTTCGAGCCGACTCACCAGCACCAGAGTGCAGCCCGAGAAGTCGGGGTCCGACTCCCCGCAGGGCACGAACATGGTCTCGGCGCGGAGGAGCGCAGCCCTGGCTTGAGGAAGGCAAGATCTTGAGGATGACACCAGAATCCAACATGCAGTCCCCAGCCAGCCGCCCGCTAGTTTTTGGGCGCGCGCACCGCGTCCCACAATCCCGCGCGGCTCGGGGTCCTTCCATTCCCTCGGCGCCGCTCTAAGGTTGACTCAGAGCCTGCCGGGCAGGAAGAAGTTGTGCAGGGCTCCGGCAGCCAGGGGAACGGTCAGGCGGCACAGGGGCAGCCCGGGGCCTCCGCATCGGCCCGTTTAAAAACAGTTGGCGCCGCCGCGCCCCGTTCTCGCCCAGCCGGGCTGACGCGGCGTCAGCCCTCGTGAGCTACCCTGTGTACCACAGAAGCTGTGGCGGTGCCGGGGCACCTGGAGGCGAGAGCGTGCTAGGGCGGCCGCCGGCATGTCGCTGCCTCCAGAGAAAGCCTCCGAGCTGAAACAGCTCATCCAGCAGCAGCTGAGCAAGGTGGGGGGCCGGGGCCTATGGCGTCGGGGGACTGGCTTTTGGAGGGACCAGGGCGGCTGGGGGCCGGGAGGCTGGGGCCTGCTGGAAGTGGTCGAGTCGGGCCCCGGTGACAGTGTCCACCTAGCGCTCGTCCTCCTAGCTCTGTCCAGAGCTCCGTGCGTCTCGCTTTCGGCCTTCGGACGAGAAGACTGAGTCCTAAATGGGTTAGTCCCGCGGACCTGCTGCGTTGCCCGACTGCGCTCGGGATCTTGCTGCTCCCTGTGCCCGAGATTCACTTTGACCAAGTGTTGGCAGCAGGGGTGGTAGATAACCGGGAGAAAGTATCTTTGAAATGTTTACCCAAACGTTTTCATCTTTTAAAAGTTGATCTCTTTCTCATTCAACGATGGTGGGGACTATCTGAGTAAAAGCCCACAATTTGAGGAGTGGTACCGAATGCCCTATCATGTTGTACATTGTAAACGGGCCTTCTGTGCATAGATGGATGTCCACGGTAGGATAAGGGAGATCCTGGCGGAGACCATCCGGGAAGAGTTGGCGCCAGACCAACACCTGTCAACAGAAGATTTGATCAAAGCTCTTAGACGTCGAGGAATCATTGATGATGTGATGAAAGAACTAAATTTTGTTACTGTGAGTAATGTTTTAGGGGAAAGTCAGAGTATACGTGTTCGCTCATGCAGATGCTGTTTGTAGGATCTATATTTGATGTTATTCTCTTAGTATGAAAAGGGTCATTCTACCTAATAATGTCCTTGTTTTGGGTTAATTCTGTCCTGAGTATGGAAATTAATATTGTATCGCTGAAATTTGAGTTATAATAACATACTTCTGTTTCTGCAATGACAGAATTTTTTCTTCTTGTACTCTAGGACTACAATTTTACTTACCTATTTGTTAATTTTTTTGTCCTTTTGAGACAAGGTCTTGCTGTGTAGTTCAGGTTGGCTTTGAACTCACTGTGTAGTCTATGCTGGCTTCAAACTCACCTTAATCCCCTGCCTCAGCCTCCTGAATGCTGGGATTAAAGATTTGCAACACCACACCTGTCTAGAATTACCGTTATTTATGTATTTATTTGGTACTGGGAATCAAAATTAGGGCCTTATGCTTACCAGGCAGGCTACAGTTTTTAAAAATACATGTGCTTTAGCCAAGTTTTAACACTGTTTAACAAACTTCTTTTTCACCAAGATTATTATATAATTGTTTTTTTACTTTAAGGATTGTTTTTCCTAAGTTACACTTATTAAATTCCCTAAGAAAATAACAGGCTGCTTAAGACCCCTCAAATCTTTTCATAAAACTAGGTCAGTGGTGGGATGATGGTGTCTCAGTGCACAGTAAGTAGGCCCTCCTTTGAAATGAGGCAATAATGAAAACTGTGACCTCAATACCTGGTAGTGTCAGGTAAAAATAGGGTGGACTTTGGTACACTAGGGAATAAGTATTTGCATACAGGATTTGCTCCTTTGGAGCTATTTTGCTATAAAAATTGACCTAGTATTAGTCTTTGCTGTGTGGCTGTCACTTAATTAAATCAATTCATGGTAGAATGTTAATTCAAGTGTTATATAAGATTTAGGGAAAGTTTAATCTTGTTTAAAGCATTAAGAATTTGTTTTGAGTGTTCTGTGGATGCAAGGCTTGAAGACAGTTTAGTTCCTAGTGTTAGATCATAGGAATGACCACTTGTACCACTTTCTATGGAGGCATTTATTTTCATTACTTATTTTGGGAAAATAAGGGGTCTTGGAAAGGGCCTTCTGTGCTTAGTTCAAGTGGAGGTTTTTACCTAACTGAAATTTTGTTTCCTAATTTGTTTTTTCTTGTTACCTTTCTAGGACAGTGTTGAGCAAGAACTTTCTGCTTCTCCAAAACAGTCTGTTGGTTTTGATAAGCAGTCAACCTTAAAAAAAAGTATGTATGTATTTTTTAACATTAATTTAGTGGTGGTTACTTATACATATTGATAAATTTAGTTTTTGATATTTGCCAGGAAACTTTTTAATTTTTGTTTTCCAAAATGAAGTCCTTACTTTTCAATGTGTGGTTAACTTAAAACTTAAATTCTATTTTGCATGAAGTGTAGAAGAAAAGCTCATAGCACAGTAGATACAAAAAATAAGAACATTGGTCTCTTGTTTTAGTATATTATGAACACTGTACAGCTTTGCTTTTTTAATAATAATGTAGTAATCTAACTGATACAGTTGCTACTAAGTTGGTAATTGTCTGACTTGCCTTTTTGAAGTAAAAAAATGTTTTATGCACTGCTAAAAACCAAACCTAGACCTTGGTGTTTTGACTCCTTTCTGGCTGGGAGAAAGCAGCTAGGATGAAAACTCAGAATAGCATATCTTTTCTTTCCAGAGTGCAACTGATCCTGCTATGTAGTAAATATGTTACTTTTTTTTTAGTCTTTACTTTTATTTATGTCAAATTATTGTTTCCTAATGTCTTGATCACATTTGTGAAATTATTTGGCAGTTTCCTCATATATATTGCTACACTTTACAGCTAATATTGATCCAACACGGAGGTATCTTTACCTTCAGGTTTTGGGTGGAAAAGCTTTCTTGGAACATCTTCAAGAACCTGAGCCTTTACCAGGACAAGTTTGTTCAACTTTTACTTTATGTTTACATTATCGGAATCAGCGTTTTCGTTCTAAACCTGTTCCATGTGCCTGTGAACCAGATTTTCATGATGGTTTTTTACTTGAAGTACACAGAGAAAACTTAGGTAAGGAACAAGATGATCATTTAATTGAGTAGATTTTTTTTTTTTTTTTAGGCTCTATGGTGGAAAAAGTACAATTTTTGTTCTAGGTAGAGATTTGTAATGGATAAATCTCTCTAGTTTTTCGCTCTGCCATTGATATTTTTGACTTAAAACAATTTCTACCCACTTTCCTGCATTATGCTGTGTTTTGCTAATTAATTTTCCCTGAAGATTATTTTCTTACTGTCTTAATTACTGGATCTTTAGTAGGAAATACTTAAATGTCTACAATGTGTATATTACCCCATGCTAAGCAATTGATGGTGACATAGTGGAGAATGAGATAGGATTCTTGTAACTGGTGAAGGATGGCTAAGTTTGTGATACTCTGTAACTCTTAAACGTGTATAAGGGCATTTTGTACATTTTAATTGTCAATACAGAGCAAAGGTACAGAATTAAACCTTCATAGTTTTAGATTGTAAGGTGATATCATTCACTTGTAAAGCTTACTGTGTTTTTCTCTATTAAATTTTTGTTAGTTGGGTGTGGTAGTATATGCCTGTAACCCCAGCTACTTGGAAAGCTGAGGCAGGAGGAATCACAAGTTGGTGGCCAGACCGAGCAACTTAAGGGGAACCTGTCTTAGAATTTTAAAAGGGCAGGAGATATAGCTCAGTGATTGAGTGCCACTAGCATGAGCAAGGCCCAGCGTTCAATCCCCAATACCAAGAAAGAGTAATCAGGTTGTTCACATGGTAAATTGCTGTACCCAAAGTGCTGGATCTTCCAGTTTTGCATAGATTATTTCTAGATCTTGAAGAATTGAAATAGTTTGAACATGAACATTGACATATTTGACTTTTTTATTACTGTAGTAGTATATGTTTTAGATAATTTTTTTTTTCCTTTTTATCGGTACCCGGGATCGAACCCATGACTGCCTGCTTACAAGGCAGATGCTGAGGCCGCTGAGCTAAATCCCCAGCCCCTAGATAATTATTTTTACAGAACAGATTTTTTGTCAGAAAACTCTGATGCTGGAAGTAACTAGATAGCCTGATACAGTTCTGTCAATTGCTTCAGAAGTTAGTGATAAAAACAGGAAGTGCCTCTGTTTGTAGAGTGGCATGCTTTCTATGACACTACCAAATTATTCTGTTTGGTTTCATATAAACTTATTTTTTCACATACTTTTCAGTACAATTATTGTTTTGCATTGGCCTAATACAGTTTTGTTTATTTACTTATTTTTTTGGTTTTTGTTGCTAGGTGATGGAACTAGAATGGCTGATTCAACAACAATGTTATCAATAAGTGATCCAATTCATATGGTGCTAATCAAAACAGATGTTTTTGGTGAAACCGCCTTAGTGGCATCATATTTTCTGGAGTGGCGATCAGTTTTGGGCTCAGAAAATGGAGTGGCCAGTCTGACGGTGGAACTTATGGGTGTAGGTATGGCGATTGCTGTTTGTTATCTCTCAGTAACAATACCTCTGCACGCCGGCTTATACACCCGGCCAAGCGGGAAACCAGGATTTCCTCACAGTTCTGCTTGTGGCCTTGAGAGAAACCTTAAAGAGTGACCCCAGTGCAGTACTTCACAGGCAGTCTGCGTTTTTAAGGAAAATTATTTTCTGAAAAGTTAATATAGAAACTTTGAAGGTTTTCAATTTATTTTTATTTTTTGGAGTAAATACAAGGCTATAAAGAAAAAGAGTGTGGTACACACAAATAAACAATGCCCACTCTGGAGCCTAGCATGTCTCTTGTCAGCCCAGGGACCTGAGTGCTCTGGCATCAGTCTGGGCCTCTCCGCGCTCTGCAGTCTGGTGCCACTGTCTGTCTTGCAGACTCACTGCTCAGCAGTGTGCGTTTGCTGATGGAGAAGCCAAGACAGCCAATCATTTATTCATGACACACACAATTACTTTGCTATTGTACAGTTATTTTTTAATAGAACTACATTAGTTGTGACACTTACTCATTACTTAAACATTAGTAAATTGTATAGCCTTCAAGATTTTAAGTCAGATCCAGAATTTCTCCTTACATAGAAAGTAGAGAAACATTTTTTTTTTAAGAGAAATAATTTTTACTTATCCAGGAGGTTTAGTTTCAAAACAGATTCCCAGCCAGGTGTAGTGGTGTATGCCTGTGATCTCAGCATTCAGGAGGCTGAGGCAGAAGGGTCGCTGCAAGTTTGAGGCCAGCCTGGGCCACAGAGTGAGTTTAAGGCCAGTCTGAACTGTATAGCAGGCCCTGCCTCAAAAAGCAAAAAACCTACCAGATTCCCAGTTGTTTTCAAAACTAGGCCTAACATAGTAATTATGAATGGCCAAGAAATAAACATATACCGATTTAGTGAGGAAGTACTAAAAAGTTCTCATATACAGTGTTTTCTAGTTCTTTAAGTCCAGGCATCGACTGAAAATTTGTACTCATGTGTAATGTGTTAATAAGAAAGTAAGTGGGGGCTACTCTATATGACAGTATAAATGCTTTCTGACCTGTTTTTATGAACATAAAATGAAACGTTAACTGTTGCTTTGGCTTCAGATTTAGTGTAAGTCTGATTGGTGTTACATTGACTGAAGATAAAAATTAAACCCAAATCATACCAGAAGAGTTCCTTAAAATATGGCTAGAAAGTTAATAGTTAATCTCCTTATACTAGATGCCTTTGTGAAAGCTAAAAACTAATTTGTTAGTTTATTTTTAATATTAAATGTAATGTCAAGTATTATCTACTCCATGTACTATGTCTCAGTTATTTTTGTTAGACCTTAGTTGATTAAATATAGTATTGAAACCTTTAAAATTCTAAAATTTATATTTATAGGTACAGAATCAAAAGTTTCTGTGGGAATTTTAAATATAAAATTCGAAATGTACCCACCACTCAATCAAACACTATCTCAAGAAGTAGTAAACACCCAGGTAAGTGATTTTGAGTTTTGATTGTATTTGTCTTCATTGATCCTAGAAAGTATTCTTTTCAAATAATTATCATTGATTTAGATTAGCATTCATGGGCTAACAAAAAAGGGATGAGAAAGAAAAGAAATAGTTATTTTATGAAGGTTATTTTTCAGCCAACTGTGGTGGTGCATACCTGTAATCTAGGCACTGGACAGGCTGAGGCAGGAGGATCACTAGGTGTTCAAGGCCAGCCTGGACTGCATAGTGAGACCCTATCTCAAAAAAAGTTTTTCACAAGGAATTTGTAGTCTTGTTTGGGAAAGTCATGAATATTTGCACACCATCAGGATAGGTCAGAAAGTGTTCCAGACCTGATGAGGAAAGAAGAGTAGAGTATGGCCTGGCTCAGGGCCAGTGTGTGTGTGTTCCTGTGGATTGTGTCTGGGCGCAGTGTTGAACTCTGCCCTGCCCTGTGCCCTGTGCCTTGTTTGGGGCTCACCAAATGCTACTTCTTGGCTGCATTCCTCAGTCCAAAGCTGCCATTACCCCACCTTCCCCATGGGGTGGACCCAGGGCCTTGTAGTGCTCGGCACATGCTCTGCCCTGGAGTGACAGCTCAGGTCCTTGCACACCTCAGCCTTTTGTCTTTTGAGTTCGGGTTGCCAGCCTTGCTATCTCCGGCACACAGTGTGCTGCTCTATTTTCTTGAAATGGCTTCTCCCTGTGGCAGTCTCCCATCTCCCTTAATCTCTGGCATCTGAGATGCATGGTAGCCTGTGAACACCTGAGGCCACAGAGTGGAAGCCACTCCAATGTTACTCAGCTGTTATGTGCACATGGATGTGTACCTGGGCGTTTTAATTACATTATAAACACGTGATATATAGAGTAAATATTTGGGTTCTACTTTTTTGATAAATTTTTTTATTGAGCATATTGATGAATAAATGACTTCTGCTTTTTCTCGATGCTGGGAATGGAACCAAATGCCTTGCATGCGCAGTGTGCTTACCCTACCCTGAGCTGCATCCCCAGTCCCGAGTTGCTAACCTTGACATTGTTTCATAAACATTTTCTCAGGGGGCTGGGGATTTAGCTCAGCGGCATAAGCACCTGCCCTGCAAGCAGGCAGTCATGAGTTTGATCCCCAGTACCTATAAAAAAGGAAAAAGACAAAAAGAAAAAGAAAAATTTCTCAGGTTTCTGCTGTCCAATTTACTAAAGAGTGAAGCATATGTTTATTCTGCTGTTTCTAATATATAAATGGTGTCTAATTTCAAGGCATTTCTAGTTACACCATTATTGATGTTTTTACCAGTGCCGGGGATTGGGCAAGGCCTGAGCTGCATCCCCAGACCCCATTCTAATCTTTATTAATTTTGAGACAAAATCTCTGTTGCCTAGCTGAGAGTCAACCTGCCTCAGCCTCCCAGAGAGCTGGGCTTACCGGTGTGTGCCACCACACTTGGTTTAAAGTTTTTAAGTCAAAAAGACTCACTGCTCTGAAACAGATGTTGAAAGACATGAGGCACTGTCCTTGAAACCCAGGCGATAGCTGTGCCTGAGGCAGGCAGCATCTCTCAGGCCTGGATTCCAGACTGAGTAGCAGGATTGCACCTTGAGCCCTGGCTAGCAGTTTGGTGAAGTGGTGAGACCCTTTCTCAAAATAAAAATGAAAAGGCAAAATAGGCTGGGCATGCCGCTCAGTGTAGAAAGCACTGGGTTCAGTCCCCAGCAGTGCAGATGAGTACAGTGTGATTCTGGTGAGAAGATCATAAACATAAATCAGTAAGCAGAGTACCACGTGGTGGAGAGCATTACGTGGGGCGTGATTAGCACTGCCCAGGCTGAGGGATTGCGGTCGGGAAGGTCCCCTCACACATAGAAGAGCCGAATACACTTAGGCCAAGTGTGCCGTACGCGGTAGGGAGAGGAGGAGCAGCCAGGCCACATAAGCTCGCCAGTGAGGGGTGACAACAGGGTTTCCTGAGCACCTTCTTGTCCTGGGAGTGCCAGGTCACTTGGCCTGCTGGGTGGGATGCATAGGTCTGCGTGAGGGCTGGGGCTGGTCCAGGTGGCCACTGGGGCTCACAGGCCATTGGGCACTGGTAGTTAAATTGCTGTGGCCATCAAGAGGATGAAAAATGTGTTTTCAAATTCCCAGCTTGCTTTGGAGCGCCAGAAGACTGCAGAGAAAGAACGGTTGTTTCTTGTGTATGCTAAGCAGTGGTGGAGAGAGTATTTGCAGATTCGACCCTCACACAACTCACGACTAGTCAAGATTTTTGCACAGGTTTGTAAATTATGTTACAGATCTTATTTAACTATATTTATAAAATATGTTTATTCCTAACTAAGAAAAGTTTATTTGTAAAATAGAATAGTAATTTTATAATACTCATTGAGTATAAATGGTATAATACAAACTTTATTTTGCTTTCAATTTTGATCATTAGACTTTAAAATTCTTTCTGAGTAGACTTGGTTTAAAGTAGATAAAGATCTAATTTGTTTAACTATCCCCCATGACACTTAGACACTGTGATGTGTGTATAAATTCAGTTCTTGTGTGCAGAACAGGAACTATATGTGTTCTTTCTTTATTATTAAAAATAAAAGAATGAAACCAAAAACGAATAGAAGAAAATAATAAAGATCAGAAAACACAATCCTTTGTCCAACTGTCAACATCATTTTTCATATAAATTAGCATTTTGATTCTTACATTTCTGTAAAAATAAAAAAGACGGAGTAGTCTATAAACAACTTTGATAAAGGGACAAAATTAGAGCTCCAACCCTCCACAATCCCACGGCTTATCACAAAGTTACACCAATCATGGCAAAATGACATTGATATCAACATAGACAAACCACCAAGTACCAATATGAAGTCCCAAAATAGCGACATCTGGCAAAGATGCAAAAGCAATTAAGTGAAGAAAGGATTGAACCCTCAGTAAAAATACTAGAACAACTGGATGTCCACATGCAAAAAACCCAAAACGTACAGCACATCAAAAATTTCTTAAAACGTCCAAAAATCAACTTAAAATGGCTCACAGTGGGTTAAAGTGAAGGCAAGTGTGGCCTGAGTTGTTGCTTGGCTGAAGTCATTCACTCTTGGACAAAATGCATGTTTTTTCCTTATCATACTAATGAAACAATGGAATGATTATGCATGAGTGACATATTTATTTCACTATTAAGTATGTTTTCAAGGCACATGCATTTACCTAAATGTCCAGTTTATCAGTTTTTATGGCTGAATAGTACTCCATTACATAGAAATACCATGTCTAGGAGCTGGGGATTTCGCTCAGTGGCATAAGCGCCTGCCTTGCAAGCAGGCAGTCGTGAGTTTGATCCCTGGTACCGATAAAAGACCAAAAAAAAAAAAAAAAAGTACCATATCTTTTTTATTCATTCCTCAGTCAGTGGGCATTTAGGTTGTTTCCAAGATCTGGCTGTTATAAACTGTGCTGCTATAAATATCAGTGCACATATATTGCTGTGGTATGATTTTTTTTTTAATTCTTGAAAAAAGATATCCAGAAGGGGAATAGCTTGGTTGAATGGGCCCTCCAATCTTAGTTTCTTGAGGAATCTCTACACTGATGTCCACAGTGGTTGCACCAATCTACATTCCCACCAACAGTGGAGAAGGGTTCCTTTATCCCCACAGCCGCTCCCCCCCCCCCAGCATTTGTTATTGGTTGATTTCTTAATACTAGCCATTCTGTCTGGTGTGAGGTGAAGTCTCAGTGTTGTTTTAATTTGCATCTCTTGAATGGCCAGTGCTGTTGAAACCTTCTTTTTGTTAGGTTTTTGGAAAGACATATTGGCGGGTGTGGTGGTGCAAACCTGTAGTCCTAGTGGTCAGGAAGTTGAGGCAGGATTGCTATGAGTCCAAGACCAAGCCTACTGCGTGAGTTCAAGGCCAGCCTGAACTGCATAGTAAGACCCTGTTTCAAAACAAATAGAAGACCAGTATTACATGGAATAATTATGTGTAACCACGAGCTCTAAGCCAGGGAGCAATAGTTTTAATTGCAGGACCAGCAGGCCTTAGCTTAGTGAGGGTGCTGTACCTGGGGAACCTATTGAAAGTTGAAGTGCATCAATGCACCTGATGTAGTGTGTGGAGTAGCTCAGCAGCGCAGCACACTGAAGAAGGGGAGTTGCTGTGATGATGAGGCTGGAAGCTGTAGCTGCCCGGCGTTGGAATCCCAACATTCTGTATGTGCTCACTGAGATGAGAACACACAAAGGCACAGAACTTTCACAGTATTACAAGCTGAGACATTGTCACACCCTCGTGAGTATGGAGCTATATGTATTATCTCTGCTGGTATTTTTTCTGATTCCTAGCCACATTTTATCTTTAATAGAGTAACAAAATAATTGTTCCATATTCTTTTTGTAATTTTTTTTTTTTTTGTCTTTTAGAGACAGGGTCTCACTGTGCAGTTCAGGCTGGCCTTGAGCTCACTTTGTAGCCCAGGCTGGTCTCGAACTCGCAACCATCCTCCTGCCTCAGCCTCCTGAGTGCTGGGATTACAGGCATGAGCCACCACGCCTGGCTACTTTTTGTAATTTTTGAGGAGTCATTAATATGTTTCTATATCTTCACCACCACATAGACACCTTTGTGTAAGTGTAATGTAGTAAATGATGTAACACATTTTAGTCATCTGGCTTTACCCCGCCATTCTTCCTAGGTTGAGGACAGATGAAATGTGGTTCTGTTTCTAGATGGGGAGCTTGGAGGTGAGGTCTCTGCTGGCTCATGCTGGGAAAGAGAAAAGTAGCCTCTGACCTTCCAGCAGTGGTCTCTGTGCACTGAAAGGCCAGGCAAGTGAGGTAGCATCGCCAGCACCGAGGCCTACTGTCCATCTAGTTGGAGATGGGGCCAGGTGGGGGCGGGGAGGCAGACAAATGGCAAATGAAAGCGAAGGGGAAGATTCTGAGGGTGTGTGAGGGCCTGGTTCCACTCCACCACTACAGACGAGGTATCACACTGCTAAGACACACACTGTGACTGTAGTCACAGCAGGGTGGCTACAGGTGACAGCACTGCACTACATGTATTCTCTCCCCCCGCCCCATTACTGGGGATCGAACTGTCAACCGTGTACTATGCCGCTAAGCTAAATACCCAGCCCCTATATTACATATTCTTAAAGAGCTAGAGGAAAAGGTTTCGATGTGGGAGATGTTGGGGAAGGGAGCCATGTCTGCCCTGATTTGAATATTTCAGAATGAATGCATGAGTTGAAATGCATGGTACCTCATAAATATGTGCAATTTCTGTGTATTGGTTAAAGTGTTTTAGAAATCAATTTTTTTTTTATACTCAGGATCAAACAATCTCATACTTGTCAGGCAGGTGCTTATACCACAGAGCTAAATCCCCAACCCCTAAAAAAGCAATAAATTTTAAAAGGAAAGATTTAAATCACCACATGTGGTTAGTGGCTTTCTTAGCACTGTAACTGTAGCTTCCATTTCCTCACCTATGGAATGAAAATAACGAGGATGTTACTTGCATTAAAGGAGGTTACATGCACAGCATTTAAGAAGCTAGTGCTAGGTGTAAGGTGAGCACTTAGAGAGTTATTAGAAGCTGGGCTGTCGTAATTTTCTGTGTTTCCCAGCTGCAGCATGTTCGTTCATCTTTGCTTTTATGACCTTTTCTCTTCACTCAGCCCAAGATTGCTCTGCAGAGCCAGTTTCTCCCCCACTTTGCATTTTCTCGATTAGGACACTGGAAAAAAAGAAAAACAGCAGCAGCTGTTACAGTTGGGGATGACTAATCCGTCACTCCAGATAATTTCTCCCCTTCCCTCCAGGATGAGAATGGCATAAACAGGCCAGTGTGTTCCTACGTGAGACCACTTCGTGCTGGACGGCTGCTGGACACCCCGCGGCAGGCAGCAAGATTCGTGAATGTGCTGGGGTATGAGCGGGCCCCGGTGATTGGAGGAGGAGGTAAACAGGAGCAGTGGTGCACTCTGCTGGCCTTTCTCTGTAGGAACAAGGTACCACACACACCCTGCAACGCCATCACTGCACTGTAGTCATTGCCTTTATAGTGTGCGTGTAGATGACCTCAGGGCAATCTGTGATTACCAAGCAGGGCACAGGGCCATATGCCCGTGATCCCACCATCCCAGCCACCAGGGAGGAAGGATTGTGAAGGGCAGCCTGGACTACATGGCAAGACCTTATCTCAAAGAAATAATCAAAAGGATTGGGGATGTGCTCGGTGTGAAGGCCTTGAGTTCAGTCCTTATTCCTGAGACGTACGGAGAGAATGAGGAGAGAGGTAGAAAAAAGAAAGTGAACCTATCATAAGCTTGCAAGCTAAACTGGGCTTTCACCCTTTTTCAGAATGTTAGCATGTTAGCACATAAAACTTGTCATCTTTATTTTTTCTTGTAGTTTCTTATTAAACTCAGTGTGGTTTCTTCAAGGTAGGGATACTTAAACAGTTGTCAAAAACAGGTAAAGAACAACTTAAAGACAGCATATGACCAAACCATGGTCTGTTGGTATAATTTATGCATAGAAATTTGCTGAGGTAGGGGGCTGGGGATTTAGCTCAGCGGCATAAGCGCCTGCCTTGCAAGCAGGCAGTCATGAGTTCGATCCCCAGTACGGATAAAAAGGAAAAAGACAAAAAAAGAAAGAAAGAAATTTGCTGAGGTCATGCATATGTTCTTTTTTTTTTTCTTTTTATCGGCACAGGGGATTGAAATCACGACCACACACTTGCAAGGCAGGCGCTTATGCTGCTGAGCTAACTCCCCAGCCCCCACATACATTCTTTTAAAGAGAAAATGGTACACAGTGAATATAGATGCTTATGGAGAACTGTCCTGCCTTGCATGGCAGTTTGCTCAGTTATAAACACAAGTACCTATTTAAGAACTTGTATAAATTTATTGATGTTAAACTCTTTTTTTCATTTGTTTTGCAGTGCTGGGGCTAAACCCAGGTTCTTTTCACTAAGCTAATCCCCACTACTTTATTTTTCTGATTAATTCTTTGAAGCAAGGTCTTGCTATGCAGTGCAGTCTAGCCTCAAACTCACAGCAATCTTCCTGCATCAGCCTCCCAAGTGCTGGGATTACAGGCATGCACTACCACACCCAGCTTTATCCCTGGTATTTTTTTTTTATTTAAATTTAAATTTAACTCGATAAATTGCTGAGTTGCTCAGGCCAGATTTGAATTTGTGATCGTGCTACCTCGGTGTCCCAAAGAGCTGGGATTTCAAGTGTGTGCCACCATGCCCTGCTTAATATTGAGTTTTCTTTTTTTGTATTTTTTTATTTTTTGTCTTTTTCTTTTTTTAGCGGTACCAGGGATTGAACTCACAACTGCCTGCTTGTAAGGCAGGTGCTTATGCCACTGAGCTAAATCCCCAGCCCTAATATTGAGTTTTCTAAGGCTTCAATTTCAGTAAACTGACTATATTAATCTAAATTCTAAAAGTAATGAGTAAGGCTGCCTTTAACTTTTCGTCTGGTTGGAACAAAGAGAAGAGAAATCTGTTGTTTTGCAGTAGTTTTGTTTGGTCTGAGGGCAGATGAGTAGCTCGGCATTTACAAAGTAAAGCTCATGGGTGCAAGAAACACTTGGGTGAGAGATTGGTTTGTCCTTTGGTTTGTTTGTCAATCTTTTTTTGGTACTGGGGATCGAATTTACAACCCCATGCTTGTCAAGCAGGCACTTATACTGCTGAGCTAAACTCCCAGCCTGGGCTTGTCCTTTGGGAAGGTGTCTGAATTGGAAAGCAACTAAACCGGACTTACTGAGCTATAGTTCAAGAAAGTTGTGTTGTTATGCAAGTTCTTAAAATTCCACATAGAGTAGAGATAATAACATATTTGAAATTGTTATGTAAATGTGTTATAAATCAACCAGTCACCCTCTTGGTTCAGTGTTGTATTTTTAAAGAGAAAGCACTTTTTAAAGTAGAGCTTGAAAATTGAGTATTTAAAACAGTTTTGTTGTACAGACAATAGCATAATAGTAAACTGAAACTTCACCTATTCCTGAATTTATCAACTTTTATATTTTTGTTATTTTTAGTATCTGTGTCATTTTTCCATAATTATAAGTAAGGAATAAATGATATTTCATGTCCTCCTTTGTAATTTAACATGCTGTGAGCATTTTTCTGTGCTGTTGCTTTCTTTGTGATTTCCGTCTCAATGACAAAGTTTTCTTGAATTGATGTACAAGATCTTCCCTTATTTCAGGAATGTTTCTTTTGGTCAACACACAGTTGCTCCTTGTCTTTTGATATTATCATAAATGAATTTTTGCATTGAGTATCTTTATTTTTCTCTTGAATTTTGTTTCTATGACAATAATCTCAGGATAGAAAGTGTTGAGCCTCAAACTTTTTTGTAAAGTCAGCTTTATAAGAATAAAACATTGTGTCGTTCAGTTAATTTAAAAAGAGCCATTAATGCACACTTTTTGGAAGAAAAAGTTTTCATCCACTCAGTAGTTATTATTGCTATTCTCACATAGTTACAGCCATCTGTCTCAGATATTGCTTATTTGCAGTCTTTGCAATTGTTTTTAAGTTGTGAAAGTAGTCTATGTCAAAGAGAATTTGGAAAATAGGAAATTACATATAACCTACTCTACCCTATTGTTGTCATTTTATTGGTTTTTTCTCTCAGTCATTTTTCTGTGTGTGTGTCCTTAAGTTATCATAGATAGACAGTACAACTGTTTGGTTTAACCTGAGTGTTTATTTTCGTTTCCTACAGGATGATTTATCAGCTTATGTGTTTCTTATTCAGCTGTTCTGCTTTTCTTTTTTATTTTCAAGAGGGTAAAATTAAACACAACCAAAACAGAACATAAGAAAGCAACATAAGAGACACAAATTTCAAAGCAAGACACCCAGAGATCTTCACTATCTATCATATTGACTCTTGTTTTCTTCCAAATAGGTGTCCCTGTCTTCACATACAGTGAATTCATACAAAACAACATAGTATAAAACTGATTCAAACAGGAATTTGAAGACGTTTTAGGTCTTCAAGACCAGGCAATAGGAAAGTCAACAGTGGCTGTCATAGTGTGTCTCATTCTCTTCAAAATAGTTGTCCATACCTTCACATATGTTGAAATTAAACAAAACAAAACAGACTAAAATCACTCTGAACAAAGAATAATAGTATTGTTGGGTTTCACATCATGACCCTATGGAGTCAGCACTGGGTACTGTAGTGTCTCTTTCTTCAAAGTAGTTGTTCATTTCATTGTGCATTATATAGTTGATTCTCATAAACTGTTTAGAAGTTCTATGCATGCATGACTCTCTACATGTATTTCTGTCCTTTCTGTATTAGAGGGAAAAACAAAACAGCAAGGCAAAACAAAACGAATTCCTAGAAAAACATGAAACAAAAAAGTCATATAAAACTGCAATACAAGGTGATCTACAATGATTACTATGAATTTGCTTGTTATCTTCAATAGAATTATCTATATCAGCAAGCATAGTATAATTGAATATATCTGTTTTTCTTTTGATGTTACATGAGTTCTTTATAAAGTTTTTAATCAAAATACGTTGTTATAACTGTTGGATTTGTGAGCACTACATAAAATAACTTAAGGCTCTTCTAAAATTAGTTTATCTGTTTTCCTACTTGATTCAGCCTAATATTGGACTAATGATGCAAGGTCTAAAATTTATTAATATTCATTGCAATTTTGCATTTAAAATCTTGACTGAGGAAGGGAACCACGTGAAGAAAGAAATGCTCATTTTGGTTCATTTTATCCTCCAGGGCGACTGTGAAGACCACGCTAACCTCCTGTGCAGCCTTCTCCTCGGCTATGGCCTGGAAGCGTTCGTTTGTGTGGGGACTAAGGCCAAAGGGGTGCCGCATGCCTGGGTCATGACCTGCGGGACCGATGGCACCATCACCTTCTGGGAGAGTTTGACAGGACACAGGTGAGTCACTTGAGTGCCAAGAGTAGCAAGACACGGAGAGAACATCTTTGGTTAGTTAGGGTTCCAGTGCTGGGACTCAAACCAGGGCTTCATGCATGCTGGGCAGGCACTTTACCTCTTGGCTACACCCCAGCCCTAAATATTTAGAATTGTCCAGTGTTTATTTGGTGATACCTACAGGTGCATGTGTATAACGTGCTTATAGCCTTTCTAGAGCACACATTAGAAGTTACTTGCAGTTGCCGGGTGTGGTGGAATATGCCTGTAATCTAGGTACTACTCAGGAGGGTTAGAAAATAAAGAAAACTCAGGTGTGGCTGCTAAAAGTAAACAAGCTCTAAAAATATTTGCACCCTTAAAATAGTCATTACCACATGATATCGATTTAAGAAAAATTTGTGATTTCATGCTTTTCTTCTGGTGGTTATCCTTAAGCTTGCAACAGAGCTCAAGTTGTAAATCACAGTTTCTCTTTGAAAAGTAATGTGGGCGCTATCTGAAAGCGCTCCTTCACGTGTGCCACTAGGAGTTTCTGTTCTATCTAGTGGCTGGTTGTTTCCTTTCTCTTGGTGGGTTTTTTTGTTTGTTTGTTTGTTTGTTTGTTTGTTTGTTTTTGGTACCGAGGATCAAACTCAACCTCACGCTTGCCTGGCAGGGGCTTGTGCTGCTGAGCTAAATCCCTGGCCTGGTTTTTTGTTTTAAAGAGAAAAGTAAATAACAATAAGACAGAGTTTCAAAACAGGTTATTAGGAGTTACAATAATTTATGCCTTATGTGCGAAATCTTGTTTTAAATGCTGGGTGCTATGGTAGTGCAGCTCTGAGCCTTCTACTTCTTTCCCTGGGTCCTCGTTCTGCCTGACTAATGAACATACTGGTCATGTTGCCTGCTAATATGTAGCTCAATTATCTAGTATTATCCAGAGTAAATTCTGTTGTCATTGGTTGAGACATGGTCTTGCTATGTAGACCAGGCTTTGAACTTGAGGCGATCGTCCTGCCTCAGTCTCCAGAGTGCTGGGATTTTAGCCATTCACCGTCATGCCCAATTTATAATACCTTGGTAGTAGACATAGAATATATCCTGTAGTCAAAGGAGTAAAATTGGTTTCTATATTACAAGATGTACCATGCAATGAACAGAGTAATCACACTGTGGAGACAAAGAAAACAAGTATTAAACTCAAGACCTGGGAAGTAGTTTCTTAGCTGTAACTTCTTACATGTGGCTCAGTGTGGGCTTATGACTTTCAAATGCTCATCCAGTGAAACGTCTTGACTCTGCAGGTACATCCACAAGCCTGCCACTCCTGACGAGCCTCCGCTTACTGAGCAGCCCAAACCGCTGCACCCGTACCGAACGGTGGGCTGTGTTTTCAATCATCAGATGTTCTTGGGAAATTGCCAGCCCTCTGATGCTGTTGAAACCTGTATATTTGATTTGAATGATGAATCCAAGTGGAAGCCAATGAGCGAAGAAGCGATTAAATCCGTATGTGCTCCCGGAGCTACAACCTCCCTCCCGCCCTTCCCGCCACTGTGCGCATCCACAGTGGATGCGTCAGTGACCAGTAACGAAATCGAAATGCAGCTGAGGCTCCTGGTGTCTGAGCATAGGAAGGTGAGCCCTGGAAGCCATTGCAGCTTCATATGTGCTTTCCTGTGTTCATTTATGCTTTTGTTCAGTGGGCGTGGTCATTCCAGGCAGTACTCTAGCCTAAACACAGTGAGTCCAGTCCCTGCCTTTTGAAGCTTACGGTTTTGAAAGCTATGAGAGTTAAGTTCTGAGACTGAAAATTTTCCAAGTTTGCTGTTCTAGAGTTATTACTTTCTCCTAGAAATGAAGAATAATGGATTTGTTCACATTTGGACTTCCTCTTTCCAAAATACCTTAGTCAGATAACTACACCATTAGAAATACAAGGTTACATTGTTTTCATTTTCTTTCCTCCTGGTTTGTTGCAGTTAATTTTGTTTTCACATTACAACTAATGGAACAAGTAGGTGAGTGTAAAATGATGTCTTCATTCTGGCTGTCATTTCCTGATTGCTGGCAGGATCATACATCTTTGTTAGTCATGTAGATTTCTTTATAAAGAACCTTTAGGAAGACATAAAGAGATCACCAAAAAGGAAGAGATGAATATATTTTAGGAACTTATGTTGCCTGGGGTGCAGCCCAGTCTTAGAGCACGTGTCTAGCACATGCTAAGTCTTGCAGTAGATCTACAATACAAGACAAAACCCAAAAATCAACAGGAGAAATCGTCAAGAGACTAAAACCTTGAGGTAGGTAGGGTAAGTTATATGGCAACAAACATAACCCGCAAAGGACTAGTACCTAAAATTCCTATGGAAGATTTATTTTGGATGCACCTTGGTGTTCACTGTTAGACTGCTCTGCTTGGGTGAGCCCTCTTTTCTGTTTGCCTTGAAACTGGCAAAGACATGCAGATACAGTGTGCGCTCTGAGTTCCATGTATTCTTAGCTTTGGCCTCTAACATATTCTTTACTCATTTGCCAACTAGTAAAGCACGTAAACAGCAGCTTTGGGAAATACAGCATTTGTAGTAATTTCCCAGCAAGGGCATTGGTTTGGGACCTAGTTCATTAACCTGCCAGAAATGAGTGCATCGCTACACTCACTAGTGTTGCCAGTTGTCTTTGTTTTCTAAGGTTCTGCTGCAAATGAGAGCAGGGTCGCTTCCATTGTGAATAATCTACCGTGCATGGCTAATAGACAAGAGGCTTGGTTCTTCTAGTAGTTGGGAAATGCAAATTAAAGCCAGGATGAGGGTATCATTTCCACCTAACCATCTAGTTGAAATAGATGTCAGTTAGTAGAACCTGCACCCAACATGTGGAATTCACATTTTACCACAGGCAGAGTATACCAAGCTGATATGGACCTTTGAGATTGCTTGTGACCTGCTAAAACCGGGCAGATGTGTTATGATGAGAATTGTAAAGATTCTGAGACATTTTTAGTGATTGTGACTGTGTAGTTGGAAGGTTAAATTATAATAGTACCTAAAAATCTTGACGTCCATTAAAATAGTCAGAACTTGTATTTATTTGTTTCTCTTTGCCTTCTCTGACTGCTGCAGGATCTGGGCCTCACCACTGTATGGGAAGACCAGCTTTCCTACCTTCTGTCACCAGCCCTGGCCTCCTATGAATTTGAACGCACCACGAGCGTATCTGCAGGCAACGAGGAGTTTCAGGATGCCATCCGGAGGGCTGTGCCCGACGGGCATACCTTCAAGGGTTTCCCAATCCACTTCGTGTACAGGAATGCACAGCGTGCCTTTGCCACCTGTCTTCGGTAAGCGGTAACAGCCAGAAGCCTGAGTGCGTGGGCTTGGGAGTCTTGGCAGGCAGCGAGACCATGGGGTGCTTTGCAGTGGCTCCCCTGCTCGCTGAAGCTGTGGCTCTGTAGTGCAGCCCCAGAGCCCCACTTGGTGGGTAGAGTTTTCCCAATGACTCCAAGCAGTTGAGGATCTCTGAGCTTGTCTAGTGGGAGTTTTTAAATTTGTAGGCTGTGTGGAAGTAATGAATACCTCCACCAATATTACTGAGCCATTGATAGCAGACACAGGATTTCAAAGTATTTCAGGACTTACGTAAATACTTAGTTGGAAATAGTAAAGTAAGCCCCATTGTTACTCCTCCATTGAGTACATTTTCTTTCCCGTGCAGCTCCCCTTTCTGTGAAGAGATAATCTGCTGCCGTGGAGACCAAGTGCGGCTGGCAGTACGCGTCCGAGTGTTCACTTACCCTGAATCGGCCTGCGCTGTCTGGATCATGTTTGCTTGTAAATATCGCTCTGTGTTATAGGACTAACATTGCCACCAAAATTATACCTGCATTTCACTGGCATTTTCCACATTGCACATTACTAGCAGTTGGAAATTACTTTAAAATCACAATCTAGCTTCGGTGTCATGTTTCAGTTTTGTATAGATGCTTTAAAACAATCATGTGTGTATTTAAAAATAAAAATGTGTGTAAATCTTAGTTGAGCTTGGTATGAATGAAGTGTATATTCTATTTTAATAAATGCTGCTTTGTCTGTAAATATCTAGTAGTTTTAAGTATGAATAAAAAATTTATAGCGGGACGTGGTGGAGCACACCTGTAATCCCAGCACTTGGGAGGCTGAGGCAGGAGAATGGCTGCAAGTTCAAGGCCAGCCTAAGCTACAAAGTGAGTTCAAGGCCAGCCTGAACTGTATAGCTGAGAGCTTTTCTCAAAAAGACCAAAAGTAAAAAGATGTGCTCAATTTTTTAACACTAATAAGTAATCAGAAAAGCAGTTGTCTATTAAGATCAACATGATTATTTTTCATAGATGAATGAGAATTTACACAAATTAGAAATTAAAAATACAGTTTGTTGACTTGTCACTTTTGCTGACCATCTGTGACGCTAGATATTTGAGATTTTCCAGAAATGTCCGAGACTTTGAAGTAAGAACAGGAAAAAATACTAGAACAGCGTAAGTGTGAATAACAAGCTCACATGAAAAGACATGGATAACTTACAAATATCTATGATGAAAATGAGTGTTTAGGAACAGTGGGTCCTGCCCTCTCCCTCTGTTATGAATGTTTTCTGCAGTTGCCACTGGTGGTCTGTCCCTACCTTCAGTGATCGGGAGATGAATTTCTCTGGAGTCCATCTTTTGAAGCCAGTTTTCACCTTTTTTGTTGGGGGACTGAATGAGAGAGCCACCATGTGAGGCTGCTGGAAGAAGTATGTTTGTGGTTCCACACTTACCTGACAGTTGAGCAAGTGTCTGAGCACAACTGAGCATGGAAACGAGTCCCAGTGTGGCTGCAGCATAGGTAACAGACCTTCCTGTTCCCTTGCATCATTCTAGTTTCTGGGCCGCATTTGCTGTCTGTCGCTGGGACTGCAGCCAGGCCGGGCAAGGCTAGGGCTGCCAAGTGCACCCAGGCTGTGCAGGTTTGACACAGTCTTCTGAGGATGTGCATGTGTACCGGCTGGCTAAGACGTGCCTTTTTATTCTGTTCACTACTGCAAAGACTGATTTGGTTTCTAAAAATTAAAAATATCTTACAATATGCTTTTTATTTTTTACATATAAATGAATATGATTTAGCTTGTTCTAAAAGTTTGAAAACATTGTGCATATCAGTTTTCCTTGAAAGTGGTAACCAGGTATTTCTTGTAGCCAGATAGGACTTTAGAGAATTCATAAATGAGGATGAAGACGTTTTATCTGTTGTCAGAATTGAACATAAAGCTTGTACCTGCAGCCTATACAGAGCGCAAGGCACATGCTGAGGCAGGCAGTGGAGGCCCCGCTGCCCTCCTGCCTTGCTGCTCAGTGGCACGTGTGTATTACAAACCTGCTTCTGGTCTGAATGTTAAAATAAATTTGCTTCCTGTACACTTTTGTAGTCTTGCATCACTGTTCTCCTCTCAGCTGGCTTACTTCATGCTTCATGAGTGATCACTAGAATTCCACTAAAGATTTTTTTTTTAAGAAATTTACCATGTATATTTAGCTGTCATAGTTATTTTTCTATTAAAATGTAAACATTTTTATATAATGTCTCTAATGTGTTCTTGTTTTTGACAATTTGTAGACAGTCCTCTGCTACGTATTTTGTGTATATGTATTGATTCAGTAAAAGAACATCAGTGAGCATTGGCTGCGAGGTAATGTGCTTGCACAGCACAAGCAAGGCCCTGGGTTCAATTCCTAGCACCAACAAAATAAACACAGTTTCAGTTATAGAAGATATCAGACACTGAGTCTTACATTACTCAAGCATGAACCTACTGGATAAAACAAGTTCAATTCCAACCAACTGGACACTTAAAAGTGCCTTCAGACTTTTTCTAGTATCGAGCTAGGTACACATGATCTGCAGAGTCACACGGCAGTGATGGAAAGCACAGACATTTGAAACCCATTTTTCTACTGCCTAGCAACAAGCCTGAACCAAAGTACAGGCTGCATATTTGAAGAGAAAATAGCTCATAAAAGTAATTTTCTATCCTAAGTAGCTGATGATCAGATGGTAGTTATGAATCATCCATTTTTTTAAGTACTCATTTGATTTTATGCCCTACTAAGCCTCCCCCGAAAACAAGGTCTTACAGTACTATAGTTTACAATTCGATCATTGTTCATTGATTGCATTGTAACAATTTCATGCTTTTTATTCAAGGAGATAACGGAAATTAGATGGTGTGTTTTAAATGTGGACTTAACTTTTGTAGCAGTGAAAGTAGTGTTTCTTTGCAGCAGTTGGCATTTAAGGAGCTATGTGAAATTAGCCAAAGGCTATACTGTAGAAGTGAAATCTTAAAATAACCAAACAGATAGCTAGCTAGAAGACAGGACCCTATTTTGAAGAACCTTAACATACTCTTTATGGCCTGGATTGCTTAAAGCACAAGTTTACTCACAACCACTAGTGCATTTAAATACGGGTTTAATATTTTCTCCTGAGATGAGTGGCTTCCTGTGTATAGTTACACTTGACTTAATTGTTCATTACCTTAGCCACGGGATAGGATGTGGAATGGTGATTTTAGAAGGGAAGGGGAGGGACTGCTTGAGTGCTGTTCACATACGTTTTTTACGAAATGAAAAATTTCTGATTCTACTGAATTTAGATTTGTACTACGACACCTGAACATGTCATCTAGTGTTTTTGAAAGTGGATAGTAGCATTTGAGGCCTTTTAATTATAGGTCAAATTTGATCAAAACTAGAGTTTATGTTCTGTATTTTCAGATGTCATTGACTATCTTTTGACCTAGAATTACAGAATTTTGGATTTAAATGGAATCACAGGGCTTCGGCTTAATTTATATATTAATGAGTTGGAGGTCCAGAAGTTTCCTGCCCAAAGATGCCTATGTATCTCTAGTGAGGGGTCTAGGATTACAGTTCTGACTTTTTATCACTGCACAAATGTGAGTTTCCCCTGTGCAGAGATGGCATAGTTGTGACCAAGTCACTGTCTGTCGGGCCACCATCTGAGCTGTCTTCCATTTTATTGTTGCTACCCGTGAGGTGGAAATATGGAAATCATCTGTCCTTACGGCACCTGTCAAGAGTCACAGCGATGATGGATGCGAAGTCACTGGCCAGAGAAGAGGGTTCAGGATGCTGAGGCTGCGGAGGGACAGTAACAGTCTGAGATTCCGGCAAGTGGCCACTTAGCTCAAGCGCATGTGGGTACCTGACAAAGTTGGAGGGGGTCAGATCCTGAGGCTGTACACACACTCACTTCAGGAAGTGTTTGTCCTCGCAGTTTGTGCTCGGACAATGAAAACCATTTGCATGTTAGGTGTTGACTTGCATGAGATCCTCTGTGTATGTGGTGGGGAAGGGATGGCTCAAGGATGCTTCTCAGAAGTCAGAAGGTAAGGAATTTCATTAGCAACTTAAAGACTACTGTCGGGGCTGGGAATTTAGCTCAGCGGCATAAGCACCTGCCTTGCAAGCAGGCAGCCATGAGTTCGATCCCTGGTGCCAATAAAAACCAAAAAGTTCAAAAAAAAAGACTTTACTGTCTCAAGGTGTAAGTTACACATTATGCAATTAAAATTTACAGTGGTACGTAGAACACTGGTATTTGCAAATGTCACTAATTTTAGAACGATTTTCTTCATCTGTACCTTGGCTATTGCCCCCTATCTGCACATCTCACCCCAAGCCCTACTTTCTATCTCTAGATTTCCTAGTGAGTGGAATTAAACTGTACACATCTTGATGCTGGCATCTTTCCCATGGAATAATGCTTTTAAATGTGGCCCATGTAGGGCATGTGTCACTGCTTCATTCCTTTTTAGCAGTGACTGCTGTTCTGTGGCATGGTATCCTATGTTCTTGACCCATTTGTCAGTTAACAGACATTTTAGTTCCTTCCACCTCTGGCCATTATAAGCAGCTGTGCTGTAAACATGCGTCCAACTTCCAGTGTGAATGCCTGCTTTCACTGGGAGGACACGAGTCTAGTTGGGGACTGGCTAAATTGTAAGCTTCAGTGATAGCAGTTTTTCCAACGGCCGCAGTGCTTTATCCTCCTGCCAGCAGTGAGTAGGGACTCTGAGTTCTCTGCATCCTCGTCAGCTGTCCCCTGACTTCATTCCAGTCCTCCTTAGGAGGTCCTGTGATTTTGATTAGCATTCCCTGAACCCCAGTGACACTGAGCATCTTTCCCAAAAAGTCCCTTTTGGCTTTGTGTATTTTGGAGCGATGTCTCTTCAGATTCTGTCTATTTTCACTTGGGTTACTTCTCTTTACTGAGTTGATTTTTTTTTTTTTTTTTGTCTTTTTTCCTTTTTATCGGTACCAGGGATCGAACTCACGACTGCCTGCTTGCAAGGCAGGCGCTTATGCCGCTGAGCTAAATCCCCAGCCCCACTGAGTTGGTTCTTTATGTAATGTAAATACAAGCCGCTTTTCAAGTATGATTTGTAAATACTCCATTCTGTGGATCATCTCTTTGTTTTCTTGATGATGTCCTTTGAAGTACAAACGTTTTCAAAAAAAATTTTTGTTGTGGTTTGTTTTTGAGACAAAGTCTCGCTGTGACCCATGCTGGCCTCAAACTGCAGTAGTCCTCCTGCCTCAGCCTCCCAAGTGCTGGGGTTACAGGTGTGCTTCACCATGCCTGGCAAAGGTTTTTAATTTTGAAAAAGTCAAATATATTTTTTTCATGGTTTATGATTTTGGCATCATATTAAGAATTCATTGCCAAATGCAAAGTTACAAAGATTTACCTGTTTTCTCCTGAAAGTTGTAGTTTTACCTCTCACACTTCAGTCTTCCATCCATTTTCAATTAACTTTTATATATGGTGTGAGGTAAGAGTCCACAATCTTTTGTACATGCATACCTGGTTGTAACAGCACCTGTTTTTGCAAACTTTTTTCTTATTGGTATTCAAACTAGAAAATGTCTGAGTGACATCAGTAAAACTGATACACCTGTGATGCTGCGTAATGCCATGAAGCAGGACCTGAGGCAAACATCCTTATTGAAATTGCTTGCCTCAGCTAACACAGCCTGTTTGGAACCTGTGATTTAGAAAGAAAAAACAAAAGCACAACTCTAGAGGCTGAATTTGCTAAATGCAATTCCAGCATTTGCCCATAACAGAGTTTTTGTTTTCTGCCCTGTTTTGAAATCCAGAGACCATCAGTTTGCAAAGCTTGCTCTCTGGGGCTAATTTCACTAATTCCACTTGCTATCTCATTTGTTTCCTGTTATTTCTTCACTTGCAGGGGAAGCAAATTCTCTTTTTTCTAATTTTTTTGTACATTTCATGGAGCTTGATAACACCTTTGTCTGCACGGTTACTGACTGGAAGCCTTTCCTGTTTCTTCAGTTGCACTAGCCCTTTCCCCGGGCACGCCGCACGTGCATCTCGTAAGTCTTGTTGTGAGTCTCACTATGTTGTTCATTTCCGTTCGTCTTACAGTACTTCCTGATCTCTCTCTCAATTTTCTTCTTCAATCTGTTAGTCATGCAGGAGTGTTACTAACCTCTCCCTGCCATGGTGGTCAGGGAACGTGCAACATACATTGTTTTATTTCTATTTATTTAGAAGGTGAGGCGGATTTTAAGGCCCACCTTACTGTCTTGGAATGCATTCCCACGTGCACTCTGTTGTAGAGCACAGTGTCCTGCTGGTCACTGGGAGGCCGGCTGAGCCAGGGTTAGAGTTAGTGTGGTCTCCGGTTCCTTCCAGCACTCATTGTACACTTGCCATCACAGTCAAGGCTGGGCTGCCTGCACCTCCCAGTCTGTGCTTCGTGCATCTGGGTGCTCTGTTCTGGGAGACTGCTGTGCCTATCTGGATTGATGCTGTACTCCGCATGTAACATTCCTGCTCTAGGTTGTATGTTTCCCAACCTTTAGCTTCCAGTTGTTCTCCTCTTTGGATCTGAGTGTGTCTTCTCTAAATGATGTGGCATCTTTTTCTGTGTGTTTTTTTTTTTTTTTTTTTTTTTTGGCTTCTGAGTCTAACGGGATCTGCTGGTTGACAACACTGTTGAAACCACTGACGTTCAGGTTAGAAGTATGGCTCTGGTGAGTTGTGTTTCTGATGTGGGAGGCCCAGGCTCACCCCAAACCCCTTCTCCCCCAAATCCACTCACATTCAAGGCTCTACTGGTATAGCTGGATTCAGGACTCTTATTTTACTTGGTCTCAGGCCGTGCTGTGTCTGTATTTTTCCCTTAACCGCCTCATTTCATGTCACGTGGCTCTTCTCTCATATGCATTTCACTCTGATTTTATCCCTGTTTTAGACGTGGGGGGTGCTCTCAGGTTTTCCATATATATTTTATCAGAATCACCTTTGGATTTAAACTAGCTTAATTCCAGGGATACACGAAATCCATATTTTAAAAACTAATCATGTAATTTTCTTATCTTTAAAGGACTAGGTATTAAACCCCAGGCCTTTGCCCCAAGTCACATCCCTACCTTTTCATTTTGACACAGGGTCTCACTAGTCACTAAGCCAGGCCAGGCGCTCACACCTCAGTTCCCCTCCGTCCTCTGGGATGCTAGTCACTATGCACCACTACCATGGCTAAGTCCTGATGTTCTGTACAAGCCCTGATCACCTTTTAATGCAGTATGTTATGAAAGCTGCTAGCTTTGGACTAGTTAGAAATGTTAGAAGTTTCAGGGTTTTGTTTTTGTTTTTGGTTTTTTTTTTTTTTTTTTTTTGGTACTGGGGATTGAACTCACGACCTCATGTTTGCCATGCAGGCACTTATGCTGCTGACCTAAACCCTCGGGCCTAGAAGTTTCAGTTTTTGATAAACCTGCATATAAGGATTAGCTAAATAGCTTGTACTGTATAAGAAAAAAATTAATTTCATTGTAATCTTCCCTGGCACTATCAGGTTCTTGTTAAAGGATCTTTTCAGCATTAAAGTGTTGTGAAAGGTCTTTAAGGGCTACACTTTGCTTCTAAACTGTGCACCATGCAGAGTGCAGTCATTTGGGCCGTGGCTTCCTCTCAGGAAGCTCTGTGTTTGTGTTGTGAACTGCATGGTGAATGCAAGCGCAGGTCGCTGGGGGCTCGGCTGGTTCAGTGGGGCCGAGGCACACATCCTACACCTGAGCTTCAGGGAACCGATGTCGGAGTGATGACTACAGCTGGATCATTGCTAGAGATTTGTTTTTTTTCCTATACTGGGGATCGAATTCCTGGCTGCCTGCTTGCAAGGCATGTGCTTATGCTGCTGAGCTAAATCCCCAGCCCAACTGGAAATCTTTTAACAGGTGGCAGATTTTTGTCGATTACTTTGTACTCTTCCTCTTAGCTACCTTACACAATTTTCAGGTGGTCTGAAAGAATTTTACTTCTGTTAATATGATTGATTTAATTTTTTTCCTTTTTTATTTAATTTACCTTAAAATCAAGTAATACTGTGCCACTGTGGGGCTTTTGCTATGTTTACTCCCTAGGTAACACCTGGCTCTGTGCCGAGAGAAGCAGAAGTGTAGCTAGCAGAGTTGAGGCTTTGGGCCCTGCATAGGACATTAATGGGTATTTTTCAACAAACACATACTTTTTCCATATGAAAGAAAAAGTTCTTTCTAAATTTAGACCAGAGGAAGCCAATGTTGTTGTGCTTACCTGATCTGTGTACTTCTAGCTCTGACCGGAAGGTCACAGGCTAGTTTTTATGGCTGATTTTTCACTTTGCTTGTGGGGTAAGGATGGAACCTAGAATCTTGCCTGTGCTAGGCAAATGCCCTAGACTGAGCTGCACACGAGCCCATTATGACTGATTTAAACGTTATCACCTCATGTCCACTCTAGTTTCACAGTGCACTTGAATCCTTAATAGCATTTGGCCTTCACGGAGTGATCCCTGGCAACTCTTTGATGGGGCTGGAAGCACCCAGGTCCCGGCGCGGGTTGGGTTCAAGCGATGGCATGGGTTCAAGCTTCCATGGAGAACCTGAATGCCAGAGAATTCATGAACACCACTGGCACCATGCAGGGTTTCAGGTACAGTGTTCTAGAAGTCACCAGTCTGAACAAGCAATGGGTATGTACAAATGTTAATGCAACGCCTGTGTTTTTTGCTCTGTTGGCTGGAAGGTGGTGAGTGTGGGAACTTTCCCCTCACTCTGCAAGTAGCAGACAAAGCTGGGCTGCCCAGAGGAAGGCTAAGGTTTCATGCTCACCTCTTTAAGCCTCACCTATCATCCTGAATGGAATTTTCTAGTCTGTAAGGCAGTGATGAATATGCCTTACTTTGAAATTACTAAAACAGTGCTATAAATGTACAAGGTATTATAATTATGGTCACTGAAGATTTAGGTCATAGCTAAAAAAAATGCTGTTCTATTTTTTCCCCTCTTTGCTGTCCTCTCCCAGGTGAATATGCCTTCTAGGAGCAGTTGTCTGTGAGCAGCTGGGATGAGTGGCATGATCCCTGAGGCCAGAGCAGCACAGCAGGTGCATGGCACAGAGCATGTTTTACAAAAATCTAAAGTAAATATAAGGAAAAATTCCAACATTCCATTTTTAAATAAACACAGCAAATCAATGAAAATGAAAATATTTTGAGAAACCCATGCCATCATTTTTCACAGATCTCTCAACACTTGAAAGAGATGCTGAATTGTTAAACATTTTAATTACATAGAGCAATTTTTAAAAAATTGTAGTAAAAATAAAATCAGTGGTAGCAGTTGTAACAAAAGGTGTGGAATGATAAAGACATCTGAAACTGTGAACTGAAAACAGGAAGGCATCTGAACTTTCCACAGAATTCCTTAGCTCCTCCAGAAGCCCTGGGGTGGTGTGTGGACAAGTGCAGGGTCTCACAATGACAGGGTGCAGATGTGCTCACTCTCCCTTGATCTGAGAAAATACTGGAGCAAAGTGATGTAGACTTTTCTTGCCTCACAGTTTCATGGGCTTCAGTCCATGGCCTAGGACATCAGGATCAGCCCTGTCCATCTCAGGGTCGCTGGGAAGAAGACGGAGGAAGGGGGCCCAGCATCCCCTCCATGGGTATGTGCCTGTGACCTGCTTCCTTCTCCAGCTTCAGCACCCAGCAACAGTACCTACAGCTGGGGACCGCACCTGCAGCACAGAATCTTGCAGGACACTTAAGATCAGATCGGCACTACCATGGTGAGGTGAGGGTTACAGAGTTTCACAGAGTACGAAAGAAAACTACATAAAAGTTAGAATTATACCATCTTTGCCCAGAAAGTCCCAAGGGAAAAGATTTACTATCTCACATCATGGCCATGAATCTGCACTTCACCAAACAAATGCCTTTCATAGCACATAACCTTCCTGTGACTCTGGGCCATCAAGGTTTCCCTTTCAAAATGTGCTTATGTATTTTTTTTAACTATCACCTAGGAAAGGAAAAAGTCCTAGTACAAATTGTTTTTAAGGTAAAGTTCGCAATTGTCTTTTTCTAACCTTCTACTCCCTTTGTTCTCCCTACATGGCCATCGTGCCCTGGGTATTGCTGTATCTTGGCCTGTGCCAGCAGTGAGTGGCTCACGAGCTCCCTGACCGCCTTTCCCAGGCCTAGGAACACCGTTTCCCCGCATGAGCTGTCCACCCGCACCCGGGCAGCACCGCGTGGCGCCAGCAGGTGGCGCAGTGGCTCGCGAAAATGTGGACTGTTACTGCATTGTTCAAACGGTTTTAAATGCTTCCCCATTTCCGAAATGCACGCGGAATTTAAACTTTTAAAATAGCAAAATTTGAGAACGTCTGTTTATGACTTCATTAAGAGAGCCCGACGTGTCCAGGCTTGGCGCACATAAACATTTACCGGTGAGATCATGAATCTAACTACGCCTCTCTGCCGCGACCGCCCCACGCAGAGCTCGCTCCCTCACCACTCCTCGCCCTCCTGCGAGGCCTCAGTCCTTTGGGGCCCTTCTGAACCTGCGGACCACGGCCTTGGGTCCCGCTCCACAGTCGGTCGTTAGCTGGCTCGCGCTACGACTGAGCTCCGGGCTTTAGGTGGGCGGCTCAGTGTTCTCAGCTGGCTCAGAGGTGAGGGTGCAAACCACACTAGAACCCAGCAGGTCGAGAAAAGACCCAACCCCTCCGAGGCTGAGGCAGGAGGACTGCGAGTTCTAGGCCAGCTTGGGCAATTTAGCGAAACCCTGTCGCAAAAAGGGCTGGAGGCTGGGGATGTAGCTCAGCGGCATAAGCGCCTTCCTCGCGAAAAGGGCTGGGGATGTAGCTCAGTGTCTGCCAGACCTCGGCTTCAATACAAAGTATAGGCAGAAAAAGAGAGAGAGAGAGAGAGAGAGAGAGAGAGAGAGAGAGAGAAGAGAGAGAGGAGAGAGAGGGAGGGACAGAGGGCGGAAAGGGGGAAGGAGGGAGGGGGGAGGAGGGAGAGAAAGAAAGAAAAAAGGAGAGAGAAAGAAAAGGAAAGAAAAAGCAAGCAAGCAATTAAGCACTAAAATCGGAGGAGCAGGCTGTTGCAGGTGGTCCTCGCAAGGCCTCAAATGGGGCGCGGGGCAGCTAGCCCCCATTTCCCTGTGATCCCTGCCGACCGCGGCCAAGTCCCTAACCAGCTTTCTGCAAGGAGGTCACATGCTGGGCCCAGATCTGAGCGGTCAGCTGCTCCAGAACGCCGAACAGCTGCCCGGGCAACGCCGTCTTCTCGCCCCGCCCCGCGCCGAGTCCCGCCCCCGGGCCCCGCCCTCCCCGTTCAAGACCACGCCCCTCCGACTCCAGGCACCGCCCTCAGGCATGACGACAGCCGCGCGCTCGGGCGGGTGGGCGAGACACGGACTCCGTGCGTCACCGGTCGCGGGCGGTCCGGGCGCGGCCCCGCGGATCTCCGCGCGTCCCCGCCCCTCCCCCACCCCCCCGGGTGCGCACGCCCGCGGGACGGGGACCGGGACTGGGACCGGGACGGCGGCGGCCGGGCTGGCGGGGCGATGCAGCGGCGCTGAGGCGATGGCGCAGGCGGCGGGCGGGCGCGAAGCGCTCAGCCTAGAGGAGATCCTGCGGCTGTACGGCCAGCCCATCAACGAGGAGCAGGCGTGGGCCGTGTGCTTCCAGGGCTGCGCCGCGCTGCGCGCCTCCCGCCCGCCGCGCCGCCTTCGCTCGGCCGCCCAGCTGCGCGTCTGCAGCGACGGCGGGGTCGTCGTGGGCGCCGCGGAGCGCGCGGAGGAGGAGGGACCGCCGGCCGCGGGTGAGCGCCGCATCCCGTCCCCCGCACCCCCCGACCCGGCCTGACCCCCGCCCTCCCCACCGCTGGGTTCCGCACCCAGTCCCTTCCCACCCCATCCCCCTCATCCCCACCAGCACCGCGTTCCGGGACTCACCGATCCCCACCTCGTTCCCATCCTGCATTCCCATCCCTGCCCGTGGCGTGGCCGTGGCCGGCTCCGCCTTGTCCTCACCTGGGGACCTTACCCGGCCCTCACCCTGCACCCCATCCCCATCCTCAGGGGACCGCGGGGGAGAAGGGCCTGGACTGGAGCCACATAATGCCCACCCAGGTCAGCCCCTGAGGTGGCAGTGGGCTGGTGGCCTGGCCTGGCTATTAGTCTCTGCCAGGCGCTGCCCTGCCCAGGCCTCAGCTTGCAGATAGGTGCTGGCCCGCAGCCGCTCACCTTCGGGTGCAGGAGTTGTATGTGTTACCTGTGGGCTGTGGACCCATAAGCTGTGGGTCTGTGTGTGTTCACCCATTGGGGCTCTGGAGCAGTGAGCGTGTTCGCCTGTGTGTGTGTTCACCTGTGTGTGTGTTCACCTGTGCCATGTTCATCCCTGGGCCGTGTCAGTGTTACCCTGGGGTGCTGTAGCACTTTACAGAGGGCTTGCGCCCTCTGCACCTGTGCCAGGAGGGCTGTACTTTTCCCAGCCAGTTGCCAGCTCTGAGGGCACTGGCTTTGACAGTGTTTGGTTTGACTTGGGAACATGGAGAAAGTTGCTTAGCCTAGAGGAAAAATGGAAAAATAGTCTAAATAATGATTTTGGTGGCATGGAAGTTAGAAAGTAGGTATTTCTTTTTTTTTTTTTTTTTTTGTCTTTTTCCTTTTTTATCAGTACTGGGGATTGAACTCTCGACTGCCTGCTTGCAAGGCAGGTGCTTATGCCGCTGAGCTAAATCCCCAGGCCCCAAAAGTAGGTATTTCTAACGTGAGTATTAAAATTGGTTGTGATGGAAAATGGACTTGTTGACAGAATGTTGAGATAAATGAAAATGGCTTTAGTTTTATGTCATCTCATGGGCATTCTTCAGGACTGGTCTCCTACACCATCATTGTAGTTAAGGTGCTCACAGCGCTGTATTGGTGATAAAGGTTGGTAATAGGCTTTGCCTACCATTTTTTACCTAATTCAACCTTTTGAGAGGCAAGTCTATTGAAAACATAGAAAAACAATCCACCCTCACACTTAAAAAGTTGATGGAAATGTCAAAATGCTAAGTTGAAAGATGTAATTCAGTAAAGTGACATGGAAATCCTTTTCTAAATTGATGAAAACATTCAAGATTATAGTTATCAGTTTTTTTCTACCAGAAAAATGTAGAAAACCTAAAAGTTGTCAATGGTTATGGGATACCATTTAGTGTTTCAGTACAGGAATAGATTGTTTTAAAGAAATCCAGCTTTTTAATATTCCCCTGAATGTTTCCGGTACTAGGGATTGAATCCAGGACCTTTGGATGTGCCACATCTCCCACACTCTGAATCTTTTTGGCTTGGGAAAGGGTTTCATCAAGTTGCTAGCTTGCCTGTGCTCCCACCTTTGCTTCCCTGAGTGCTGGACTTACATCTGTCACCACATCCACTGAAATTACATTTATTTCCAGTCATTTAAAAAAGTATTTGATGTATTTCTTTTAGAGTTGGACTTGTTAATGATAGAAAATAGTTGCTATTGTTATATTCCTTAATTACTGTGCAGTAAGAGAGTATGAAAAGGTGCATTTTTAAAACACAGTGACACTCTGCCTCTCTGGTTGTGTGCGAGCTGCTTTTGGAAGCCATGTTGACAGTGGTGATATGTGGAGAGAACCCTGCGTGGCCAACAGTTCTGTGGGCCCAAGGCGCGAGGTGGAGTGTGGCGTCCGGACTGAGGTTCTTCGGGGTGTGTCCTGCTGTGGTGTGCTCAGAGCTGATGTTGGGCAGTGTGAGTGCCTGTGTCCTTGGAAGTGCTGATGTGATCAGTGTGAGGCCGGGGAGAGCACAGGGAGCTGTCAGTTTCCAGAAGCGGTGTTGGTGTGGAACCGTCCTGTGTGGCCCTGCAGCTTATGGATTGAGTGTGGACTCATGGGGCGTGAGTGCCAGCTTGACCACCAGGGCCTGGCTGACAAGCAGAGCACTGTAGCATGCTTCTTAGGAACTGAGAGGAGCTGGTGGATGTGTGAGATGTTTGACCTGGATCCTAGATGGGTGATGGGTTTGGTGTGGCTCATGATGGGTAACTGCTGTTTCTAAGGAAAGGCTGCGATCCTGAGCATGTGTTTCCAGAGGCACTTCCTCCTCTTCCATTTATTCAGAGGCCAGTGGGAGTGGCGTGGGAGGGGGCGGCATTCCCACTTTCCCGTTATGTGAGGATGTAGTTCTGCATCTCTGGGCAGGGGCATGAAGCAGGCTGGTGATTGGCTCAGAGTCTGCTGGTGACTGGAATCCAATCCAGGGCTTTGCCTTAGGTGGGTAGCCTTGTGGAAGGACACACTGGGTTTGATCCCTGGAAGAAGGCTGACCTTGGACAAGGCTGCTCAGCCTTCTTCTCTCAGCCTGCTGTGGAATCGGAAGCTCAGGTTAGTGCCTTCCTCAGGCGAGGACAGATGTCTGGGTCAGGCTTCCTACCTCTGTGCCACTGACATTTTGGCTGAATGAGCCTTTGTTTTTGAGGCTGTCCTGCCACTGGATGCCACCCCCTGGGTGACAATAAAAAGTCCTGTTCTAAGGGTGGAGCCCAGGGAGGTGTGGTCTAGCCGAGGGCTTGGAGCCAGGGACTGGGGAGAGGGGTGTCAACCAGTACCCACAGGCCCCTGCCACCAGTCATGTGCGTTCAAACTGGTTGGGGCTGGATGTGGAATAACTGATTTTGGTTGCTGTCTATGTGTGTGTATGCATGTGTTGTAGGCCTCCGTGTGCCTGGCAAGCACTCACCACTGAGCTGCCTTTTGTTGCCCTCACTGGTGTGTGCAGCTCAACATAGTCTGTACCACCCCAGTGCAGCGCCCACCTCCCCTCCTGGTCACTCATGGCTCTGCAAAGCAGGTAAAGGCCGTGCCAGGTGGAAGCAGCAGTGAGGTATGGTCTGCGTGTGCTCAGCACATGAGCATGTTTATCCCCCATGCTTTAACCTGTAGGCAGCTGAATCTGCAGATTGGAAACCTGGGATTTTAGAGGAATCAGTGATAGCAGAGCATTAGAATCATTTCTCATCTCATCCAAGGCCTTGGATACTCATGATAACAGTCATTCATTTCACATTTTGTCACATTTTTTGATGCACCGTTAGTGTTAGCCATATAGAGAACATTTGTCACGTAGGGCCAAATCTTGACTGTAAATAACCCTAGCGTTGGGGATGGCTTCCTGGAGCCTGGAGAAGACCTGCTGGGTGTGGAGCTTCAGGTGTGGCCAGGCCAGACCTGCAGAGGGTTTGAGCTGGTTGGTGGGAGGACATTTTCTGTGGTTCTAAGGAGATATTGTCCATGCAGAGACAGAGTCCTGCGAGTCGCAGGAGAGACGTGAGGTAATGAGACCATGCGTAGAGAAATGTGACTCTTGCCCACACATGCAGTGTCTCTGAGCCCTTGCTTCCTGGTGACTAAATGGAAGGGTCATGTGAGGCGGGGAACAGAGGGACTAGTGGTGGGGTGGGGCAGGGCATCCTGCCTGTTGGGGAGGAGGCATCTGCGTTCATCTGTATCAGGTCAGTTCTGGGCAGCAGACGCTTTGTGTCCCTACTGTGTGTGAGCAGCAGTCTGGTTTTCTTGTGATTCAAATATGAATCAATTTTGTTGTGAATGAAACTAGCAAGGCCTTATGGCTGTCACCTGTGATCCCAGCTTCTTAGGAGCTGAGGTAGGAAGCTTCCAGCTTGGGAAATTTTAGTGAGACCTCGTCTCAAAAAATAAAAAACGCTGGGGTGTAGCTCAGTAGTAGAGGGCCCAGCATTCAGTAACCTAGGAGGGAAAAAGACAGAAAGTGAGACACCTGCACAGTGCCAGGGGTGCTAGGCAGCTAGTGGGGTGTGACCTTTAGGCTCCCCAGGCTCCTGCGCATCCTTAGAAGGCTGGACTGGTGCAGAGGTTCCTTTGCTCATGTGGGAAGAGCTGCCATCAGTGCAGCACCCTATGCAGGCTGCCACGCCTGGGTATTTTGGCTTTCGTCTGCCTCTGCCCTGGGCCAGAGACCCAGTGGTCTCACTCCGCTTTGGCACTTAGGTCAGGACTCCCCTGGAAGCCGCTGGCCTTGCTGAGGGTTTTGACTAAACCTCAGAGAAAAGGGATCTTGCTCTCCGCAGGCAAGGTCACCCTGTCTGCGCCTCTGTGGGATCCTGGTCGCCTCCCCAATTGTGGTTCTGGCCTCCTCCATTGGCTCCAGACAGCACAAAGGAAAGCCTGACCTGGGGTTTATAAATGGTGAGGGAGCAGCTACCTGTTGTTCGGTGCAGTATACTGTGTTTTAATAAGACATTGTCTTTTAAATAAAATACCCATTTTCGTTATTATTGAACGTCAGCTTTGAGTTGGCTTTGTGTTGCCAGAGAATCATGGAGCTCATCTGAGAATGCCACGTCTGCTCCCCATTACTGCGTGCATATGTGAGAGCGAGGCTGCAGCGGGTGCCCTGCTGTGTGCCTGGTGGGGTGACCACACATCGGGCTCTGCTTGTGGCTCCTGTTTCCACTGCCCGAGCCTTTTGTCTGGTGCCCCTGGGTGCTCAGGAGGACCTGTACGGTGCCCCAGACCATGTGTCTCTGCATGGGTCCCCTAGTATCTGAGGGAGAGCCCAGAGATGAGGTGGCTCTTCTCGGCACACGGTGGATGCATGGCTTGTGCGGGCATCAGTGGTTATGGCAGGCTTGAGATGTGGGCAGGCAGGGCTGTCCTCTGAGAGCCATGATTCTGCCTTTTCTGTGTTCATGCTGAGAAGTGAGTCACAGAGTCCGGCTTGTACTCTGGGATGGCCGGACTGCTGAACTACCCTTCTGTTGGGACAC